GCCCAATAAAGATTGTAGTTATTTTTATTAATTAAAGTTAGTTAAATTTATTCGCCGATTACGTCATTTAATTTTCCCAGTAGCTTAAGCGATTTGTAAAAGACTTAGGGTTTAATCCGATTACGTCTAGGCCGGGGATTAAGTGGATTAGGCGTAAAGTCGCCCACACCTAAGATTCATCGAGTGTCACAAGGCACGTGACTTAAGGTGATTTCAACTCCGTTCGATAAAAGACAATTAAGCGAAATCATCTGACGTAAAGGCGAATACACGTACAATCATACGTGTTTAACGGAGCGGCGGTTAACTCTGCACCGTGGGAGTTTGTTCTTAAATAAATTTCCCATTTTTTAGATAACCTCCCCCGTTACAGTAGCTTGTGTCAATGTGGTTAGTCTGATGATTCCATTGAACACATTTTTTGGGAATGTCCGTTATATAATAAACAAAGAACTGTTCTTCTTAAAGAGATTAGACGTATACACAAATACGGGCCCTTCTCCATAATATCTTTATTATCAGAAAAAAATCTTGATTTGATTCTATATATTGCGCAATTCATTGTTAGTATTAAATATAAAATATAAGATAAGTTAAGATATATCCTTTGTACAATATAGTATAAGTTGAACTTCGCGCCTTCTTTAAGGCTTACCTTCATGTAACATGGCAATGTATATTTCATATAAGCCAATAAAATCACCATTCTATTCTATGGGGTACTTGGGCTGGAGAATTCTTATACATTGCTCTTCGTCGCCTGTATGCAGTCTCCATGGCCAGCACCCATAATTAATTTTATCTGTTTTTCGCATCAAGAAAATGAGCATAATCGACGCACAAACGATAAGTGATTAATTAAAAACCGCCCAATCGAATGGTGTAATTAGTTTATAGATTTGTTCAATATTTCAATTATTAACTTAAGCTAACTTTTAAGATCTAGCCTGAGGACCTAAGGCGTTTTCAAATTTACTTTACAATAAACATGCACAGAACTTTCAGAGTTTCAAACATATGTCTTCAAACCTACCTTCGTTTGAAAAACGATAACAATTATGCTTTGGCGTATTGTAAAAAATTGATGACCAATAGCCCTATTAACAGTTTATGTAGATCATTAGATAATGATTATTTATCTGTCTATATTGACCAACAAGATTGATATAAAAATTAAAATTATAAAAGATTCTATAATAAACAGGTTTTTTATTGTATTTTTCGTTTATATTTTCTACATTTAGTGTATTACTTACGCACAGTGCGCATTTTGAATTTGAATTAATTTTTTTACAATGTTAGGCTCGATTCATCCGATTCTTCGATTCTTTTGGGGAAAAATCGATTTTCAAGAATCGATTCTTTATATAACTTGATTCTTAGTATTCGAATACTTTTTCAGGAATCACCCATCTCTATATCTATCACTGTTGGCAATTTTGTCAACACATCTATATTTTTTAAAAGTGATTTTACCAAGCGCTAAGCTCCTTGTTATCATCTACTTTCTTTTTTACCTATACCCCAAAGGGCTCTTGTTGTTAGGTTTGTTGTTAGGTTTAACAAAGTCATCTGTTTACTTTGATAAGATACTAAGTTTGTTCTATTAATATTGGCGTTTTCAATTCACTTACGTTTTTAGTAACTCAACTAAATTACTCGCGCGGAAAGGGAGGCGAGGTTTGAATTGACTGCTCAAATGTATTGGAACTAAGAACAGCTCTATTACAATGTACAAGGAAGCAGTTATCAATGAATCTCCGGTGACGGTGAGAGCGAACTCATGGAGAGCCGAGAAGCGATTTTAGGCGAATCGGAAGAAAAGAAGAACCGTGCAACTCGCTACCGGAGCTGAAATGAGCTCGACGGCGTTTGGAAGGAGAAAAAGGAAAAAGAAACGTTATTATCTCCTTGTTCGCTTCGTCTCGTCTACACCTGCGCACTTGTAGAAAGACGCCACACGTTTAATGTTTTGACCAGCTCTAGAGTGTGGCCAGGCTCGCAGGCGCCAAGGACGGAGGAGAGACAAAACGTCTAACAGCGAATGTCGGAGAACAGGCGTTTATTAACGTGATGGTTACGGCGAGGGCGTCAAATGCCCGATGACTTGTTGTCGGATGGTGCGCTACTGCACCCGGCTTAAGCAAGCTAGACTTGCTAATAGAAGCGGTAGCCGGAACACAGCAACTGATGCCAGCTCGACGGCGTCCTCCCTTCTGGCTTCCGTGAGGATCGTCGCTCTTTATATATCTCCGTCGGTGTGGTATTGTCCCCTCCTTGCGGCTGGGGCTCGAGCCGCTTAGAAAGCTTAAGTCGCGACGTATAGTTTCGGGCAGCTTAGGAGGAGCAGATTAACTCTGGCTTTCGCTCTAAGCGGATTGTTTAAATCGAATGCGCTAGTCGCGCAAATGAAAATGAAAAATTAGAAAATTAGAAAATGGCTCAATGCTCCTTTGTGCAGGATGCTGGGCACGTGCTTCTGCCTCCGCGGCCGAGGACTGGCTCGTCCTTCGCTGGCCAGCGGGGGCGCGAGGTCAATTGTCGGTGATATGTCTGTTGATGTCGAAGGTATGGTCCCGTCAGACTCCGATGGCGAAGGCTCGGCCGTAACCAGCTTCGATCGCGAGGGAAGCGACAGTGGTGCCGGATCCGATGACGCACTGGCCGGGTCTGATGATTCACTTGCCGCCACCCCAAATGGCCCCCTGACACCAACGTCAGCTGAGTCCAGATATGCCGGCTTTAAGACGTCGGTCGTGATTAACTTTTAGACGCCGTCGATCCTGACCATGTACACCTTCTCGTTAAGGCGTTTGATAATCTCGTGCGGACCGGAGTAGAGTTGCTCAAGGGTCTCCTGACCATCCCCACTTTTCGAAAGACATGCATGCAAGTGGCCAGATTCTTTAAGTAGAATGGTCGACGCGCCGAAAGGTCCGGTGCCGGTACTGGTCGAATGACCCCCATGAGTCTCTGTAGCCTGGCCACGAATGAGGAAGGATCCACAGGACAACTAGTGATGACGAAGAACTCCCCGGGGATGCGCAGTGATGCCCTATAAACCATCTCCGCCGGGGAGGCCTGTAGATCCTCCTGATAGCAGTTCCGTAGACCGAGGAGCAACAAAGGCAGGCTCTCGGGCCACGGAAACTGCGCATGGCAATCAACGCCGCCTTCCGCGTTCGGTGGAACCACTCGACCATGTCATTTGTCTTGGGATGGTACGGCGTTATTCGCACCCTCTACGCCCCGATCAACCTCGCAGGGCTGCGAACAGGGCCGACTCAAACTTAGTGCCCTGATCGGACGTGATGGTAAGGGGGCATCCCCGATCAGCGATCCAATGATTGAGCAATGTCCTAACCACTGTTTGTGCCCGAACATTCGCCAGCGACACCGCGACCGGCCACCTGGTGAAGCGGTCTAGAATGGTCAGGCAGTAGACTCCGCCAGACTCCGACCTGAGGCTTGATGATGATTTCCACATACAGGTGTTCTAATCGGCCGTCTGGCTCCTGGAAGCGCGACAGCGCGGCACGGTTATAGTGGTGGATCTTCGGCCTCTAACATGCCTCACAGCCATGTGCCCAGCGTTCTACGTCCTTGCGCATGCCCGGCCACACGTAACGCTCCGTGACGGTGCGGACGGTCGCGCGTATGCTCGAATGCGCCGGGTCATGGGTCGCGTCAAACGCCGCTTGCCGCAGCGACCCCGGCAAATAAGGCCACACAATTCGGTTGGCGATATTACAGGCTACACGGCGTCCGTCCAAATCATAGTGGTGGAGGTTGAGCGCGCCGGCCTCCAGGAGCCTTAGCAGCTCCCCGTCCGCTAATTGCGCCTCGCTGATCACCTCTGGTCCCAGCGGCGAGGGTATGCTCACCGTCACGCATTGCGGTGTCCCTGCGGGGCCCGGTGGGCCAGCAAATTCTACGGAGTCGTCGTTCCTTGAGAGGGCATCGGCGATAAGGTTGTCCGCACCCTTTATGTGCTGGAATTCCACGTTGTCCTGCAGTACGTAATCCAGGTGACGCTGTTGCCTCGGTGGAGTTTTGTCGGAGGTCAGTCAGCACCGATAAACGCGCGCCCCTCCAGGATACGGCGGAAGTGGCGTATGGTCTCATAGACACCCAGCAACTCACGGTCGTAGGTGCTGTAGCGACATTCCGTTGGTGAGAGCTTCCTCGAGAAGAAACTCACGAGCTGCCAGGTACCATCAACCTGTTACTGAAGAGCCGTGCCTACGGCCAGATCAGAAGCGTCCGTAACCAGCGCCAGTCGTGCAATCGGCTCGATGAAAGAGGCCGCCACTGCCTGCACCAGGCTACCACGAATCGCTCGAAACGCCGCATCAGACCACGCTGACCACAGGAGAGGACGACAGCTCTTCCGCGCGCCCCCTTGAGTATCTCGTTGAGCGGCGCCTGGGCCTCCGCGGTGTGGGGAAGGCAGCACCCGTAAAAGTTGACCATGCCGAGGAAGCGCCGCAGGCTACGCGCCGTATATTGGGCCGTGGAAAGTTCGTGATTGCTGCAATCCTCCGTGCGGACGGCCGGAAGCCCTCCTCCGAGACGTCGTAGCCGAGGATTACTATCTGCCGCCGACCAATCTGACATTTGGGGAGCTTGATCGTGAGACCAGCCTCCCGTAGTCGACCCAGGAGAGCGCACAGGTGTCGCCGGTGCTTCTCCGCCGAAGAGGACTTTACCAGGATGTCGTCCAAGTAATTGCGGATAAATGGCAAGTCGCGTAAAAGGCTGTCCATGTAGTGCTGGAACATCTGGGATGCGTTGCGAAGGCCCAACGGCATCCGCATGAACTCGAACAGCCCGAAGGGGGTGGTCGTCGCTGCCTTCTCCACATCCTCAATCACCATGAGCACCTGATAGTAGGCTTCCTGGAGGTCGATGACCGAAAAGATCGAATAGCCGCGCGTGTCCTCCAGCAAGTCCTCAATGACCGGTCGCGCGTAACGGTCAGGCAGCGTGACCGCGTTGAGTCACCGGTAATCTCCGGTCACCCGGCATCCTCCGCCAGGCTTGGCCACAATGTGTAGTAGGCTGGCCCATTGACTGAACGATGGGCGCATGGTTTCCCGCTGGAAAAGGCGGTCAAACGTCGCCCTGGCCGCAGTAAGTCGATCGCCAGCGAGATGGCGCTCGTGCACTGGTGGCCCCGCCACGTGGATATGATCGGCCACCTTCGCGCCGCACAGGGTGGCACTCTGATCACTGAGCTCTGATAAGTCGGCGAACTCGACTAGCAGCTGATCGTAGAGGCACTGATCGGTGCTGGTGGTTGATCCCTCGATGAGCGCGACCACGTGGATCGCGGTGCGGCGCGCCCGTGCCGTCGTGGAACAGCAGGTGGTACGGTAAATCAGATGTTTGTGGCGTAGGTCAAGCACCAGCTCCGTGTGCGCCAAAAAGTTGACCCCCACAATGGCTTCCGGCACGTCCGCAATGATGAAGGGCCAGGAGTATTCCCGTGTCAATCCCAGGTCGAGGCGCACCATACCTCGTTTGTATGGTCCGCAAAGGCGAACCGTTGGCCGCTATCAGGGTCAGAGGCTGTCGGTCGTGCCGACCCGGAACGAGAGAGCGGGACAGAAGTGAGATGACTGAGCCAGAGTCTATGAGCATCGGTCTCTTGGACGCCCGATAAACCACGTACAGACGCGTCTCCGTCTTTTTTCCCCTGCCGTCGATGGTCAACAACGGGCGGCGGCATTAACAGCTTCCCGGCTGGATCCCCGCCTCATAGCCGCATAACGGGCGACAGTTCTCTGCATTTTCGCCAAAATGGACGTGATAAATGCAGAGGTTGCTCTGGTTGGCAGACTGGTCTCTGGTGCGAGACCTGCTGCAGCCGCTCGGCCGGGTTCGGCCCGAGGCGACGCGGAGGTCCTCGAAGATTCGGCGCAACGCCTTTAGCTCTGCCCTAATCGGCTCCAGCGTAACGGAGTCGCACCCGGCGGCTGGCGCGGTTATAGTGGCTATTGACCCGGGCGCCGCACGTACCGCACAGATGTCGGGCACGGTGTCGATCAGCTCATCCGCCGTCTGTACCAGCTCGTCACGATCCGCCTTCTGCAGAAGTTTTAACATCTTAGAAGTGGTCGAGGGCAAAAGGTCAATTCATCTGGCCCGCAGGGCCTCATCCGTGATGCTATCCCCTGCCAGGGCCCGCATGTGGCGAAGCAGTTGCGCGTTCAAACAAGTTCATTCCCAAGCTTCTCAATTGGTATCATAAATGGGGTTTTAACCTAAATGAGACCAAATCCGAAGTAATCTTTTTCTCCCACCGCAATATCCCCCCGAAAAACTTGGTCGTTGGCGGCCACCAAATCCATTGGAGCAACTCTGCGAAATACCTGGGTGTGGTCTTCGACAGAAAACTCTCTTGGAACCCACAAACAACTGCTGTACGAAACAAAGTTCACGAAGCCTTCGCCTCTCTAAAACCCTTCTTCAACAATAAAAATATCTCCCAACAAACCAAAATACGTGCCTTAAACGCAATTATCCGCAGCATTGGTACCTACGCCATCCCCGTCTGGGGAACCTCCTCCTCCTTAAACAAACTAAGCGGTACCTACATGCGCATCATGCGCAATGCCCTAAACATCCCCTGGTACATCAGAAATGCCCAGATTCTGAAAGAAATCGGACTCCCCTCCCTTTCAACAGCAGCGACCCTATACGCCTCTAATCTTCGAGATTCAGTCATCTCCCACCCAAACCCTTCCATCAATTGCCTATCCACCTGCAAAAGCAATCCCAAGGACAAAGTCCCAAGACCCTTATCCCATCCCCCCAACCTCACCCATAACTACTCCAGTTACTCTAGCTTCGCCTCTGCGCACTGCACCTCTACTCCCCTAGAGGTCTCAATTTCTCCCTCCTCGCCAATCTTACATCTATGGTTTAGAGCTCCAGGCCTCCAGGGCTGGTAACCATAAGGAGGGGTTTTAGTTGGTAGGCATCTCTCAACACCAAAAATTCATCTCGAATCCAACACTACCCTACTACCACCTAATGGGTGTCTTATGAAGATTTCCCTTCCTCACCGCTTCAAAAAAAATAAAAACCATTAGATCCACCCATAATAAATATGAAGAAGTTAAGGCTGCCCATCTAACAGTGGCTACCGTCAGGAACACCTCAGAAGAGGTTAGAAGTAGACCAGAGGAGCCCGGTGCAGTTTTTGGAGTGTATGCTTGAATAATTTCGTCTATTCGATAAATGATGTATAATCACCAACTATTGAGCTTATGACACTGTTTATCTTGTCAAACAATATATCAAATACTACAAATACTACAAGGAACTAAGTTTAATCAATGCGCTCTACAGAGGCTGCATTAAATCTAAATCGAAATCGAAATCCCGTTCCTTCTCGAGCAAGACTCTGAGACTATAGCGACCTCTGCATCGCGTTCACTCGCTGACTGCAACATATGTTTGGATATTATTGACATATTGATATTTGCCCGCACACAGTATAATTAAATGTATCATTTTTTATAATTTTAATAATTCAGCATAAAGAAAAAACTATTCGTTTACTCTTTTCTTTTAAAAGTATAAGATCAATAAAGTTGTATTTAGTTGCGCTTTCCATTACATTCTAACACATCTAATTGTTATGTCTACATAAGTCTTCGCGCTGCCAATTAGTAATTAAATATTCTCTTCTCTGTCTGACTTGATTTGAATTTTTCCCGAATTGTCAAGTCACTGTTGCTTCTATAATTAAAAAAAAAGGAACAAAATACATTATGCTAGTTTCCACATTGTGTAAAGTGGGTTAAAATAATAAATAAATAAGTCCTTTTTGTTGAATACTTATACTGTAATCTACATTGCTATCAAGAGATAAGGATCATTTAAGATAACAATGTGTAATCTTAATTTTATTTGTACATTTTTTTAGGAACAAATTCAAATCACATTTGTTACAAGAAAATAAGAAAATATGCATAAATTTGTATCAACTGTTTCTTACATTAATAAGCCTTTGGTATAGTTATTTTTTATACATCTTAATGTTATTTTTATTGATCTTAACAAATATGTCATATTTTATCTATTATTCAAAGGTTTACAATGGATGGAAAAATGTATTACGGCAACAGCAAACAATTAGTATAACTGATATTCAATTAAATCAATATCCTCTTCCAAAACAGCCTGTTCCTGATTTTTACAAAACAGCTGAATTGTATTTGAAGTAAGTATTATATAACAAATTACTTATTTTTGATTTCTTATTTTTATTCAATTAGCTATGTTTCAGGTCTGTACAGCCACTTCTTAGTAAGGCAGAATATGAAAATACTAAAACAGCTGTGACTGATCTTCTGAAAAAAGATAGTGTTGGTCAACAACTTTATCACAAGTTACAACAGAAATATGAAAACACAGAAAATTGGGTAAATTACACTTTGTTTTCATAAACATTCAAGCAATATTTGATTATTCATATAATGATGATTTTGTAGATGAGTGAATGGTGGCTTGAAGCAGCTTATTTGGGCTATAGATATCCTGTAATTGTGCATTCTAGTCCAGGAACAGTTAGCCCCTTGCAAAAATTCAATTCTTCCAATGATGTTTATAGATGTGCAGCATATGTCATTAATGCTGTTTGCAACTATGACGATATGATAAAGAGGTTAATATTTTGTCAAATGAGTTTCCAATTTCTGTGTAATCAAATATTATTTTAATTTCCTTTTTAGTGGTAAGATTAAACAAGAAATGATGAAAAATATACCATTAGATATGCAACCTTATATGATGATTTTGGGAACTCATAGACAACCTAACAAAGGAGTGGATAAACTATTATACAATGATAATGCCAATCACGTTATAGTAATCAGTAATAATCATGTAAGTTAATATGCAGTAATTCAATTACAATATTGTCTAAAATAGACAAACAATTTATTTCAGTTTTTTAAAATACCATTGTCTAACTCAAGTGAAGAACAACTGGCAACATGTATAAAAGATATAGTTGAACGATCACAAACTCCTGGGAAACCAATAGGTATTTTAACAGGAAACGATAGAGATACATGGGCTGAAGATCATGAAAATTTAAAAAGTATACACAAATAGAAAATTCATTAATTAAACCTTATCAATTTCAATTATTATTAAATTAATTTGATTTTAGACCTTGGCTTGAATAGTGCAATTTTAAAAGATATAGAAACAGCTTTATTTGTACTTTGTTTGGATAAATCATTGCCTAGAGATTTGTTTGTCAATAGAAATACTGAATCTGTATATGCATTGGAAAGTTTGACAGGATGTAGTTCTGCTGTAAATGCTGGAAATAGATGGCATGATAAAACTGTTCAAGTTAGTTGAAAATAACTTGAAAATAATCTAGATTTTTTAATATTTAAGTTTGAAATTCTAACGTTTAGTTTATAGTGTCAGCTGATGGGTTTATTGGTATACAATATGAACATAGTCCTTGTGAAGGTCTACCTATTTCAGTATTACACGATCATGTATTAAATTACATGTAAGTGAAAGAAACTAAGGAAAATTTGTTTTTTAACTAATAACATTGATACAATTTACAGAAAAAATAAGCAAGATGAAAAATTTAATATTTCTACAAACTTTGTAAAGGCTGAACATTTATCTTTTGAAATAGATAAATCATTGGAAATATCCATGGAAAAAGCAAAAACATCTGTAGATAAGTGAGTGTGAAAGCATTTTTCAAGAATAACATGGACAAATTATAATAATGAATCTTTCTTATACAGACTATCTCAAGACATTGATATGGAATGTTTCATATTTGATGATTTTGGAGCAAATGAAATTAAAAAAAATAAGTTAAGTCCAGATAGCTTTATTCAAATTGCAATGCAATTAACATATTATAAACTTCACAATAAACCTCCAGCACACTATGAATCTGCTGCTTTACGTCGATTTAAAAATGCAAGAACTGAGTGTATCAGATCAACATGTAGTGAATCAGTTAGTTTTGCAAAATTGATGACGAAAAATGATGAGCCAGAAAATGCTAAAAAAGCAGCAATGTTAGCAGCTATTAATGCTCATAAAAAACTTGCAAATGAAGTAAATGTTACACTTGAGAATTGAATGTTCACTTATGTTAATATTTACTTTTTAACATATATTAATATTTTCAGGCAACATTGGGACAAGGAGTAGATCGCTTATTTTTTGGATTAAAAATGATGGCACGAGATGAAAAAATTGATCTGCCTAAGTTTTTCTCAGATGTTGGTTACAAGAAAAGTACCTACTTTACCTTAACATCTAGTCAAGTTGCTTTCAAAACAGCATCTTTTATGTGCTATGGTCCAGTAGTCCCAGATGGCTATGGGTGTTGTTACAATCCTCGAACAGACAACATACTGTTTGCTTGTTCTTCCTTTAAAAGTTGTTCCACCACTTCATCTAAAAATTTTGCTGATACACTAAAGCAGTCTTTGTGCATTATGAAAAAACTTGCTGAATTATGATGTAATAATTTAAAAAATTGTTTTTTATAAAATTTATACATATTTATCATATTATATAGCATTTAATGGATTTTTTATACTCTTATAAAAAGAAAATTTGGAATAAATTTATACGAAATGTTATATAAATATTTATAATATTAAAAGGATGCAGTTAATAATTAATTGAAACTTTTATATAATATAAACTTTTATTATAAAATTAAAGTTCTATAAAAAGAAAAACTGGTTGAATTGATCAATTATAAGTAAAAATTGCCACAGAGTGGAAAGTCTTTTAAGTTTTGAGTTAAACAGCGCATATAAAACATGTCACTGCTAATTAGTTAACTAAACTTCTTAAAATTCTTCATGCACTGTGGAAGATGCAGTTTTTTCTGGTGGAAAACCTAAAAAATATGTAGGATACCCTTTTACTTCTCTTTCTCGTGCTACAAAAGCCGAAAAGGAGGAAATACAATTTCCAATAAAATAGTTAGCTCTTCCAAGTATAACTAAATCTAGATGAGGTGAAATATCTTCCACTTGCCTAAATACTTTGACCTAATAGAAAAATGATATAATAATATTTTAAGTGAATTGATTATTTCATTTGAATTGTAATCAAAGATTTTTAACTCACATCCACCCTCTCTAAAGCTTTTGTTAGTTCTGGAATATAATAGTTATTATCTGATGCAATAAAAACTGATTTCACATCTTTACCATTACGAATAACTCGTTTTATATGGCGAACAATCAATTCAAAAGAAGGTAAACACATAGCATGAGTTGCTTTGCCTCTTTCATTCCTATACCCTAAGCATTGTGGAGCAGCAAATAAATTTGGAGAACTAGAAATAAATTCACATGCTCTTTCCTAAAAAAATTAGAAAATTGAAATATTGTAAGAACATGTATATGACATAACAACCATTTACCCAGTCTATTCCATTTCGTAGATGTATTCCAATAAATGCTCCAGGTGGAAAAGTATTTTTTATAAATGATTTAGCTTTATTCATCATAATATCATTCCAGATTAAATATTTTTGAAGTTTTTTGTTTTCTATTTGAATAGGAAAACTGGCTGGTGCTCCAGTAAATGCTAACACTGGCCATTTTGCTGAAGTATATTTTTGTCGCCATTGGAAAGCCATATCAGTATGATGCACATCAAAATGCAATGGCCCATAAAATTCTGAACCTACAAAATCTATGTTGAATGTATCCCAAAATGGGCCAAAAGGATTACCATCTTTAGCATTACATGAATCTGTACTCCCTCTCCCTTTATAACAAAAAGCTAAACAAAATATTTGTTTTATTAAAATAATTCAATGTTATTTTAAAGTATAGTTCAAATTTAAAATTATTAACCAATTCTTTTTGAGGGAGGCCAATGTACTGGAGCTACATCTTTCATAAAATTTTCCATTAAAATTGCTCTGTGATAATTTAATACTTGAGAAATATTAAAATAAGTGTCAAAAGGAACTTGTATCTGTAAAGTTAAATAAGTATTTATAATTTATACAAAAAATGAAAATTAATATAAAAGTTACTTAAAAATTGAACTAACTATTTTCATTTCCACTAGTATTAAAATTTTTAATCAAAGATTGCATTACCGATCTAATTTCTCCAATTCTATATTCAACCCATGGTGGTAAAACTAATGTTCGATTTAAGGCTTTGGCAAATCCTAAAGCTCCTAGAAAGTGATCAGCCTGGTTTCCAAATCGTCCTTGAATTAACATTTTAAAATAATATGAATAACGCAATAATTGTTCTGTTATTTTAAAATAAATCAATTTACCCATGCAAGGACAGTAAGCAATGTAACCATTTATGTCAAATTGTTCTATTTCACCAAATATAGTTTTGACCATACTCACAAAGAAATAAAAACTCACAAACTTTACCATGTCGATGGTACTTTATTAAAATAATAGATGACAATAATTCAAACTCTGATGTAAACTAATTCTTGACACCCCGTATGTTAAACGGTAAATTTTTATTTCGATTAACAATTCCCTATACCTACGCTAAGCAAATTCAAACCTCACCTACCCCAACCTGCAAATAATGGTTAAGGTGACAAAAAATACTATTCAATATATCTTTAATTGAACTCTCTAAATATGCTTCTGATTTTAACTGTACGATCTAATTATTACAGAAAAATTTTTAAATTAATGGTCGTTTCTTGTTTCTTTGCAACTACGAAAATTTTAGAGATAATCAATATTTTTTAAAATGCAACAGAAAAACTGCACCTTAGCTGATCTTAATTGCACCCTTCTTACTTTTTCGAAATTATCGTAAATAGTAAGTAACAATCTAACTTTCCGATTTGTTGTTCAGTTTCGCTGTAGCATGGTCTTTTGTTATTTGGAATAACTAGCACTCCACATATAAATGTAAATACTATTTTATTTATAATCCACACACTACAAAGCTTAAATATAATTAACGCTGACAGCGGTAAAAAAACTACGAAAACAAGAGGAATGCCGATGATTAAACTACACCGCTTTGGTGTCTCGATAGCTGTGGATGATAAACATGATGGTTTGTTCGTCCAGACTGTGGCGCTACGCGGTAGTATTGTTGAGCATCGCGAGGCAAGGGCGAGGGGTCATAACGCTGGGTCATAGGTTCTGTTTTTAGTAAAAACTAAGGAACGGAAAAAATAATTCGATGAGGTAGACTGCGTGCGAATTTTAGAATTTACTATTTGTTCAACAAAGAAAAACGACTTCGTAATTTTGACAATTACGTAGCACGAGTGGAAGTACAGAAAAGAAAAGGTGCCACGTCGGGCAATCGAATTAGCGTCGCATGCAGGAACCAAAATTTAATCAGCGGCATCCGGAAGCAGAAAGAGTGAGTCATCACGCAGATCAGTAGCAGTTGAAAACTTGATTCCCCTCCGGCGCTTCAGCACCATCACCGCTGCTCCCCGCTGCCTAGCAGTCTGGACATCAACGCTGTTGACGGCGCATTTGATTAATTATTTTTTTTATATATTCAGTTACAAATGAAATTGTAAAGTTTAAAGGATTTTAAATAATATTTTTAATGAAATGAACATATTTATATGACTATTGCTGCGGGTAGACAATGGACAGGAGTCCCCCGCAGCGCTCCCGGCACCGGCTCAGAAGAAGAGAGCCCCGGGAGCTACTGGTACTGGGCCGATGCTCACGGTCCATGTAGACGGGCGTATGGCTCCTGACACCACAATCGTGGTCAGGTCGCAGGATGGACGTGCGACCGCCACGGCGAGAAACGTCACCATCACCGCCTCCCAAGGAGTCGACGCCCAGCACTCCCCTCGGTTTACTGAGCAGGCCACACGAGATCGGGAGGCTGCTTAATCCCGATCGTAGCAGAGGGGCTGCTACATATGTGGGGAGCCCGGGATGACCAACTCCTAGCGGTGCCCGAAGAAAGCTACACACTGGCGCTACCCGAAATATTGAGCGCCAGGTGTAGCCAAAAGATGATGTAGGCCCTGGAAGGCTAATAAAGTAGCTATAATAAAGAAGGGAAGTTTAAATTCATTTGGTTCCTTTCCTTCTTTTCTTTTCAGGTTCCTGATGGCAGCGAATCGCGGGTATTCGTCCTGCCCGGGTAGTCAGGACTTGGAGGGGGCTGCAGCGGTAGTCGATTCAATTAATCGATCCGTTCGCGATTCTATTACTCGCGAGTTAGTTCGAACGATTAAGAGAGAGAGGGGGCGCGCGAGAGTTTGAAAGTAGGCAGTTAAGCTTCAGCTGCTATCGCGAATATACCGCCTAAATTTTTGCACTGTGTTTCGCCGGCGTTAAAAGATTAAGTTTCCTGGGACTACTCTGATACGTGCGTGCGTGAGTTGCAAGGAAGCAGTAATAGCAGCATTTTGATAGCAGCAGCATTTTTGGTAGCAGCAGCAGTATTGCAGATAGCAACAGATTCGAGAGCGAGTCAGCCAGCTGATTAATCCGAGGAGCGAATTTCTTCGCTTCAACAATTACGACTGATTACCATAATTGCACCGCAGGGTAGGTGCACCTCCCTTTATTATTGCGCGACAAAATACGTTCGAAAGTATTTTGTCAACCGCGAACTTGAACTTTTTGTATTCGCGCCGAGCGTTAGTTTTCGCGACAAATTTCGAATTCTCTCTCTCTCTCTCTCACCGAATATTAATAATTAATTGAAAATCCTATTCGCGTGCGTTAGTCTTTCGGCCCATAAAAGACTGTAGTTTTTATTGATTAAACTTAGTTAATTTTATTCACCGCTTACGTCATTTCGTTTCCTATTAGCTTAACCGATTTATAAAGGCTTAAATTTTAATCCGATTTCATCTAGGGGATTAACTGGATTAGGCATAGTCAGTCACACCTAAGATAGATCGAGTGTCACAAATCAAGTGTCTTAAGTTGAGTTCAACTCAGTTGGAAAGAAGACACTGAAACGAAATCATCTGACGTAAAGGCGAATACACGTACAACTATACGTGTTTAACGGAGCGGCGATTAACTTTGCATCGTGGGAGTTTGTGCATAGTACATTACGATACAAGTGCGGGAAAGTAGATTCTATCTCGCTTCGCTCGGGCGTAAACGCTACACGAAACGAGAAACTCTTTCCCGAACATGTGCCGTACCGTATTTTTTTATACGTGTGGACAGTGCGATTTTCAATGCCCGTTTTTTGCCGAGCGTGCGGGAAAAACGCACTTTCCGCACGGAGTGTCGAAATAGTACATTACGATACAAGTGCGGGAAAGTAGATTCTGGTCTCGTGTGGCGTTTACACCCGAGCGAAGCGAGGGTGGAAGGGGACACGAGACGAGAAACTCTTTCCCGAACATGTGCCGTACCGTATTTTTTGATACGACGTGTGGAAAGTGCGATTTTCAACGCACGTTTTCTGCCGAGCGTGCGGGAAAGACGCACTTTGCGCACGGAGTGTCGAAAAATAAATTTCTCATTTTTACTAGACAACCACTCCGTTACACTATATATTATTTTGTAAAATTTTTTTAAGCTATAACTAATGTATATTAATTGTACTTGCTTAAAATTATAGTTGTCAATGTATTTTAATAAAATTAAACAAAATGACTTACTGTTGAAAATACAACCAAGGAATTGATTTTTATATTTTTATTATATAAGATGTTTCACAGAACTAAAGTCTCTTGTAATTTCAGTTGTTTTTTGCTCTTAGCTTTGACCTGAGCAGCAATTCGGTCAAGATCTCTTCTGCCTTGGCTGGTCAACTTACGGCCACCAGTGGGGGTTTTCTCAATCAATTTGAGTTGTTCCAAACTCTGGAGTGCTTTACGGGCAACTCCTCCTGCTGATCTACAGAAATGGCTGGGGTGAGTGCCATTGCGTTTGCGACCTCCAAAAATTTTCGTGACAGCTCCAACACCAATTGGACTACGAATGTAAATATGTCGGACAAGGGCTGCACATCTAATGTAGTACCAGTCAGGATCATAAGGAGCTAGTTCCTTGAACTTAGCAGACTTTATAATATCAACCCACTCCGGAACCTTCATCTTGCCAGTCCTGGAAATAAATTCATTTTTAATTCAACTATCTCTTGATTACCCTTTATAATGATAGCTACTTGACTAGCTATCACTGCTTTCATAAACTAAAACAAAAATAATGTAATATAAAACAGGAAAAGTTAATGGATTACTAGAAATCTTAAAAATCTGGCGAGAGTTTCACAACTTCATTTGTTACAATTATTTGGATGTACAATAGTAGTTAGTTACATGCGAATGAGGTTAGGCACGAAAGAAAATTAAAAACTTACTTTTTCAAGAAAGCAGAAAATGCTTTGACAAATTTGTGCTGATCAACATCTTTCAAGGTGACAGACGGCATCTAAAAAATGCAAAAATGTTGTTAACAAATTAAATCTAAGTAACACCAAATATAACAAAACCACGTGAATAGATAGCTCATAAGTAAAAATCGTGTAGTAAATCCTTCAAAATTTTTTTATTTTTGTGAAACGCATAATAGATGTTTGGCTCTTAAACTAATGAAATAACTTGAGACATGTAACAAGTTTTTGTTGAAAATTACATTTGATAGCAACAAAACTGTCAGCAATACGGCGCCAAGGACTTGTGAAACAGAAAAGGCTAGATAGCAAGTAACCGCGAACCGAGCTACTACATGGTACAAGGTTCGCGGTTTAACGATCAGTCCTACCACTACCAGTTTCGACCATGACTTGTACTTGTAGACATATCTCATAGATGGCGATAATATATAGATTTTCATCTATAAGTTGTATTTTTATTTATTTCTATCTTATTCCTCTTGTTAGGTAGAAAGGAAAAAGGAAAAAAGAAAGAATTATAAGAAAATTGGTAGAGAAGAATTGAATGGAATAGGAGTTGGATAAATAAATAATTGGAGATAAGAATGGACATAAAAATCGCTGAAACAAATAAGTGAAATCATTAAATAGAAGCATTAATTGATTAAGTAAGTAAATTGCATACTTTGAGAAAATTAGTTAACTAGTTAGCAATCTTGTTGTTGGAAATCTTCAAAATGTTGATAATATTATAAGGAGAAGGGCATTTTGATATTTTAATCTTTAAAAATCAAATCTCAGACAAGACTATAAAATATGATCAAATAATGTAGGCACAAGTAAAATGTTATATTCACATGCGTATTTATGCAAATATAATTTGTTAATAATTAATCTACAATTCTACTGTAGGATTTTGAATTTTGTACTATCCATAATAATAAAGAGAAATTTATTTGATTTTGAAAAAAATAACTTACTTATTATTAATATGACTATGAATTTACGCATTTTTTACATTCTTATAATAAAATCTAATAAGTTTACTATTTTTCGGATTATTTAATCTACTAATTGTCTGTCGAGAGTTGAAGAGAAAACGAGCTTCAAAGCGGCGTTCCGCAGTGGACCAGGCTTCAGTGGCTTCAGCGGCATACTCGGCAGCTTTCGCTGCTTGTTCGAATTCGGCGATAGCTCAATATCTGCGAGATTCTGTCTTTAAAGGAAGTGAGTAAAATGCATTCTGTTATTATCACAGAAGTATTCAGCAATAGGATTAAGTTGAGTGTGTAATCTTCAAATTGAGTATTTACGATATCTTCATTGATGTGTGTTTATTCTCATCACTGGTGAGTGTAATCGAGAGTTGAGTTTGACTATAATCTAAACCATTCATCTTCCATGCCCACTGAAGTCGGTGAAAGATGGTTTACCATACTTAGATTGTTGCCGACCTTTGTTATCTCTACTCTCGTTATTGGTATCTCGATGGTTAGGGTTCACGCAGAACAAGTCATTCGAGATTCATGGTTCTCAGACGCATTGAGGTGGGTGTACTGCGTATCTTCGCATCGATCACGGTGATAGCACTTACTCTGATTCACTTATAGCCACGAAAACTAAAGTAGTACCTGTTAAAACCACGAATATTCTGAACCTTCGATTTCTCGGTGCCGTGCTCTTAGTTATAAGCATGTCTGTTACTCATAGAAATTAGATTTACTCACAAAAATGCGCCAGTCCGCTTATGGTCGGATAGTCATATCGCGTTCATATGACTCAAAAAGCATCTGTGCCACTGAAAGACATAAATCTAATCGTGTATCGCTAATCCAGACGGATTTACCCGCCGCTACGTGAACCCACTTTCCAACAAAGGACAATTCGACTGATTTATAGCCTCTCGAAGTATTACCCCTACCGAATTGAAAGCTCTCGACTTGTGGTGGCATGGACCATCCTAGCTCTCTTCTCATTCTCAAAACTGATCTCATCCGCTAAAACCCGTGCAGGTCTTGCACTGTACGCCGGCAAGCAATGAGTCGGCAATCCTGTTCCTCGCGACCGTCTGATGCTTGCGACCATTTCTGCAATTCCGGTATCATTCCCGATGAAGAAACATCCGCAATATCAGAAAATCGTTTTGACCGCTTTTATGCTCCTGCGGTGTATTTGCGACCAGTTTTGGAAACGCTGGACCAACGAATACGTGCCTCAACTACAAGAAAAGGCTAAGTGGCAGCATGCGATTCCAAATTTTGGCTTTGGACAGTGGATTCTGTTAAAGGATGAGAGCTACCCTGCACCAAAGTGGCCTCTCGGACGCGTGGTCGACATGCACTCAGGCCCCAACAATCTTGTCCGCGTAGTAATCGTAAAAACGGTACTTTGACTATCTGGTGCCGTTAAACCTGGATCAACGTGAAAACAACGTAGGCAAGACTAAACGAGGGAAATTACGTGCGTAACATCTCAGTGGGTAGATGTTCGTCCAACGGACGAAGGCAGGCGAAATGTTCGCAGAATAGCGCTCCAGGAGGGAAAAAGGGAGGATGAAAAGACAATAAGTTTCTTTTAATCAGGTTGATCAACATGGTTCGCTGCCTTCTTTGGCATGGGAAAATTTCGATACGTGGTCGGTAATCATGATTCGTTTGATATGTTCGAGACGAGACTGGGGGAAATCCGGCATATGCCGCACTTATGTAATGGTTGCACGGCATTATAAAGGTGAGAAATAAAGAACGGCCATCGGCTCTCAGATAGAATCGAGGGCCAAAATACGTTCGACGTCCTCTCACGGCCTCACTGCGTTATTTAAACGGTCCGTTGAGTCAATCAGCACTTCAAGATCGTCTTGGTTGGTTGTTTTCAAAGGTTTTGTCTCCCTCTCGCTCTGTAGTCCAGGAAAATGTTAATAAAGCCCATGAGAATTACGGCGAGCCTTCCTGATTCGACCTCTGCTCAACTTTTTGTAAGGAGACTTGTCTAGGAGTTTGGACGCGGACGGTTTCCACCTGGCGGCCGCAACATGGATTCGAACTTCCCGCCACACTCGTGCGAGCTCCAAGTTGTTATATTGGCAGGCTCATCTCATACTGCAATACACACACATTGCCTTATACAGTCTCCATGGCCATGATGCATAAAAATACGCCATACTAAAACGCGCGTAGTTTAAACTTAAGCTATTAATATAAAGTATAAAAAATAATATATATTATATAAAGCGAGGAACATTACTTTTTTTAGGTCAAATTTTACAGTTAATGTTATCGATAAATTTCACTATACAATATTATTGCGGAATAAACTTCTGTTCAAAGATGAATGATTATATCTAATTCTATTAATGGAAATTGTAGCTTTGCTTGACAAGTCTAATTTAAAAAACCAAAGTTTGTTACTAGTATGACAGAAATTCTTAAAGAAAAAGGTACCTTTGGTATAACTTAAATTCCTGATAATACTGTCATTGTCGTTTTTGCAGACTTTCTTAGGAATGCTCAAGTAATCAGACATTGGAATAGATTTATTGACTAACTGACTTTACCTGGCTGCTGATTTAGCCTTGAGATCAACTTTTTCATTGCCATGAATACGCATATGGGCAGGAATCCAGACCAATTTAATATACGTTTTTTTACTTAGCTTGTGCTAACTTACTAAGTTCTACTATTAGTATTGATTCGCATGCGTTTGACTTCAACGCTGTAAGGGCGATCTTTGATTTCAAAAAAATTAAATAATTGCTTTTTCAATAATCCTATCTACAGCCATCAATAAAGCATTGCATTTCGCCGTAAAAACGGAAGCTGAGTCCAAAATTGTATATTCCAAACATAGCTCTTGACATTTACTCCAAGAAGCAAACCCAAGAAAAAGTAAACACATATGTAGCGTCACAGTATTCACGAAATAAGCTATTAAATGGGTTATTAGGGAAATCACTACTGTTGATTCTTTTACCATTTACAAACAAGATGAAAAGAATATATAGAATATATAAAAGATCTTTAAAATCATTAAGATAATTTATGTGTTTGTCAGAACTAATCATAGCATCTTTAAGGTACCATGTTTTCAGAAAGTATTCAATCACAAGCGAACCTGAAAAATTGTTGGTAAATGTATAATTACCACTTATTTGGATAATATCATCCAGATTATTTATAGTGAAATTTTGATTCAAAGCCTTACGTTTTAGAACATATTTATAGCAGTTTAACTTAAATCTATACTGTAAATAAGGAATTTTCAAATCCAGTAAACATAACGTTCATCGGAGTACTGTTTCTGTACCCCATTGCGATTCTAATAACCGCATTTTGTATTTTTTGCAGTCAATCAATATACTTATCATTGCACGGGGAAAAGATAAATACACCGTATTTAATCTTAGATCGAATTAAAGCAACAAAGAAGAAGTAAAGATCTAGAATCAGTGCCGCATCAGGTTGAATGTAAAAAACTAAGAATTTTCAATTTAAATAAACAACGATTCGCTAATTTTTTTGTGTGAGTTCTAATTGAGACAGCGAACCAAAATCAGTCTTAAAATTTTAACTTCTTCTGATAATGCAATATTAACTAATTACATAAAATTTGATAACTTTTCCCGATATAAATCGCATATAATGAAGGACTTAAAACACTCCTTTGGGAACATATCTATTATTCGCAATTTTTTCGACAAATTTTGTAAGTGTACAGAATGTGACCTTACCTTCAAAAATAACATTTTAATAAAGGTTATAATCATTCTTTTAGGTATGCCTAGTTCAATTGGATCGTTAATCACTATGTGGAGAAATACATTATAAGCATCTTTAATGTCTACGATAAGAACAGATACGGAGTCTTAAGCGAAGAAATTCTTTTGATAATCAGTAGTTAGAATACTTAAATTATCTATACACTATCCAAATGCTGATTTGACATTAATATTGTTCAATACACAATGAAGTTCATCAAGCGAAAAAGGTACTATTTAAAAGGTCAAATTCATCACACTTATTACATTACTCATTTAGATTGCTAAGGTTGGTAAGAACATTTGTACTTATTTGTTTAAGTCAGCTCAATTCCGCGATAGAGTCGCACATATTCTTTTCAATTTTCTAGTTACCTAAAACTAAACTATCATCTTTTTAAAACTGTTATTATAAATTTTAGTTGTTCTCCAAAAATCACTGAACTTGATTTTTAAGCTAACTTTTTCGTAGAAAGATCTGAACAATTTTTGTTTCTCTTGCTTCAACGTTATAGTACAGTAGAAGCATCTAGTTTCTTAATTTCTATAAATCTTTCTACAGTAAATTTATATTTGATAGATTTATAGTCTGCTTTTCTGCATTGAACAGCTTTATTGCAAGCCTCATTTCATCATATATAATTATTTTTACTGTTACTAACATTTAGGGAAATCCTCGAATGTTTAAGTAGTTTTTGAGAAAGAGAGTCGATGATTGTTTCATTCAAAAAGTCTGACTTGTATCGTAATGTACTGTTTCGATACAACGTACGGAAAGTACGATTTCAACGCTCGTTCTTCGCCAAGCGTGCGGGAAAGACGTACTTTGCGCAATGAGTGTCGAAAATATGTAAATTTAATATACAACACATATGTATCAATTAGAAATAGAAAATAAAAATTCCACTCTTTGGAAAAGTTGTCACCTGGATTTTGTTAATCGAATTATTTTTATTTATACATGAGTGTTCGTTTCCAATTACATGACATAACAAAGGTGAATTTTCAAAATTTGTTTTATTAAACTTGAAATCAACATTAAAAATGAAAACTTTAGAAAGAAAACAATTTTTAAATATTCCATGTCTATAAATATTTCAAACGTTGGTTATTAATGATAAATTTAGATGACTTGAAAAAATAGAGGATTTTGACATTTTTGAAAATATTTACAAATAATTTTTTAATGTTAATATACAATTATCGAATATTTAAATAAAAATAAGTCAATAGAGCATGAAACTAAAATTTATAGCAAATATTCCAATCAAAAGCAAGATCAACAAATTCTTACGAAATTCAAGATTATGTGCCAAAGAGTATATAAACATAGTGATTCGCACTACTGGTAATTATATAAGACGAATGCAAAACAAAAAGAAACTGAAGGTATAATTGAAAACATATATTTGCGAATAACGTACCATAGACGACTATAACATAACATTTTACAAACTATTGAAATCGTTGAACAAAAATCCACAAAGATCTAATCCGGTTGTGCATTAACGTCGTGACGTGCTTAACGCTAAAATCCCGTTAATAAACACATTGTCGCGTGATATACGTATACATGTATATTTCTATACACAAACATACAGAGGCTATCATATAGGTATGCAATACAGAGAGCTATACTACTATATAGTATATACAAGCGATGCCGCGATGGTCGCGCACGAAAGACGGAGAAAGCAGATCTAGTGGAGTAGTGGCAGTGGCGCGAGGCTGCAAGTGTGTGTGTGTGCGTGTGTATATGAGTGCAGGTGTGTTGAATCTTGAATGCCGCTACCGCCGCGTCGAGCAAAATAATAATACTCGCGGCCGCGCGCATAGTGTGTCCGCGGCTTGCACATGCGCTTTTCCGCAGTGTTGCTTATATGCTCATAAGAGTATCGTCAGCCATCAGTAATAGTGCATGCATCGTTTATATGCTCGCGTTCATTTCGCCGTGTGTTAGCGCCTATTTTTATTGTGTGGAAAATGAGCATCGCCAGCAGTAGCGGGAGTATTCGCGAGGAATCGTCAACGACGCGGATTTGCTATTGGTGAGTCTCCATACACATAACAGATACGCGCGCGCTATAGAAAGAGAAAGAGAGAGAGAGCGTGCGAGCGACTGCGAGCACAATGTAGTATGCGGACCCTCGTACAATTCTTTCTCCGTTGCCTTGGCCGTTGCGGTTCCATACATATGACAGCTCGTTTATATACTCTTTATATGCAACAAACGCGGACCTACGTACGCAGGTTGATTTCGTAAATATACATCGGCGAGCTCTCGCAGACCGTGGAGTGTTGTATATAGCAAGAGAGCTGAGAGAGAGAGAGAGAGAGAGAGAAAGAGAGAGAGAGAGAGAGAAAGAGAAGGAGAGGAGATAGAAAGAGAACGTGAGAGGGAGAGAGAGCCTCTGCCCGATATGTATATCGATTGGCGAGTGCGCTTTTTCCACCCATCACTCGCTGGCCAGTAAATCGTCCGTACGAAGACCACGACGACGACAATCTTTAGGCTGTTGCAGCTCTTGTGTTTGCTACGGCTCTCGCGCACTCATGAGGTGTCCACCTGGTGTCCACCTCTTCACTCTCTCTATTTCTCTCTCTTGTTCTTGTGTTCAACGTTTGTGTATTGTAGGTGCGGAAATTAGTGGAGCGACACCAAAATACGAACAGAAACTGTGACGCAGTTTCGCCGTCCGTCCGCAGTTTTACGCTGTATTCGTCGACGACCTCGCTTCTTCTCTACTGGAACAGCTTCTGCCGTAGTTGAGCACAGAGCCTCGACCACCTAATTCCCCTCTCAAGGCGGCTCAATCACTACAGTCCAAGTGGTGCGTTTGTTGTGTGTGTTGTGTTTGCTTGCTGGGAATATCCCTCTGCAACACCTGATTGCAGTTTGCAAGACTTATTTGACAACATGCCAGGGCTCATTGCTGTTAGTGATTTTATCGACGAGACCAGGGGTGACTATAATTCACCTACCACCTCCACATTTGTGTCCAGGATGCCACAGTGTCGACAGACTATTGCTGCACTGGAGGAAGTGAGTGTTTGTCATTGCTGATATAATACTATAAAACTATTTTGAAATCATTTATCACTGATAAAACTACTTTGGCAATGAAGAGAATTCAATAAAAAATTGGATATTCCTTAGGCTTATTAATGCAATAAAAAAATATGTTTCAGTGAATAGTTTTATTCTTATGAGTCATGTTTTTTTTACTTCAGTATTTGAGTTTTAATTAAATTTTTAAAGTAGTTCTAATCAATCTATTGGAGAAAATTAATTTTATCGACAGTTTAGTACTGAAAAACCAAGGTCAGATGTAAAATAATAATTCACCTATATTCAAAACAACAAATAAATTCTTTTAATTATGTATCTGCGTATGTAATTTTCATAAATTATTTTTTGCATAATACATAAATAATATTAATACTCAAAAGACATTATGACTATGTTCATTAATGTATAAGTCAACCTGTAGCTGTTGTCAAAAGGGTAATATAAAATAATAATTTATTTTTTCATAAACAAAAAATATTCGCTTAGTACATTTTTAAAATACAACAAAAATTATTTTTTGAAAATGTTATGTAAAAAAATAACCTGCATTTGAAGAGCTCAAATTAAAATTAATACATTATTATTATTGAAATAACATATCATTTATGTAGGCTTCCTTTTACAAAAAATATCAAATGATTAATATTACCATTTATATTATTGTAGACTCTAGATTTTGATAGAGATGGACTCACAAAACTTAAGAAAGCAATCAAAGCAATTTATAACTCAGGAAATGGTTAGTGGTATTATGCAAATTAATGTATTACCCTAATTGAATACGTTTACAAAGTGTGTATAATATGTGGATTTTCATTTTCCAGCTCATGTTGACAATGAAATGTACTTAGGTAGAGCTTTGGAAAGATTGGGGGATGCAGCTCTCAAAGAGCAAGAACCGGATATAGGTGCAGCATTTCTCAAATTTGCTGTTGTTACCAAAGAATTAAGTGCACTGATGAAAACATTGGTAATAATTTATGGATTAGTATTTTCTGATATTTAAAATAGTGATACAATCTTAACAATATGTTTATAGATGCAAAATATAAGCAACATCGTAATGTTTCCATTGGACTCTGTATTAAAAGGTGACTTGAAGGGGGTCAAGGGAGACCTTAAAAGACCTTTTGATAAAGCCTGGAAAGATTATGAAGCTAAATATACTAAAATTGAAAAAGAAAAGAAACAGCATGCTAAAGAGGCTGGCCTCATTCGTACAGAAATCACTGCAGCAGAGGTTGCAGATGAAATGGAGAAAGAAAGGCGATTATTTCAGTTACAAATGTGTGAAGTAAGTCTTTTAAGTTGATTTATATCAATTCACCAATAATTAATATGTATTGAATATTAACTAAATGTTTTATTGTTTAGTATTTAATTAAAGTTAATGAAATTAAGACTAAGAAAGGGATAGAACTTCTGCAACACTTAGTTGAATATTATCATGCACAAACAAAGTAAATATATGATTTTTTGAGATTATATCAATGAATGAGTGAACGGTTAAAATATTAACGTTTGCAAAATTTTAGTTACTTTCAAGATGGACTTAAAACAATTGAACACTTTGGTTCTTATGTGGTGGACTTAAGCATGAAACTACAAAAAATTCGACAGACTCAAGACGAAGAAAGACGTCGCTTGATGGAACTTAGAAGTTTGTTAAGAAGCTCTGGATGCGATAAAGAGGTACATACCTATATTTATTTTGTTGTATGCAGCTTGTGTATGTGTGCGTATGTGTGTGTATGCCCGCGTGTATGTATATGTGCGCGCATGTGTGTATGTGTATATATGTATTAAACTTACAATGGTTTACTTCTTAAAACAGTTAAATACAAATACAAGTAGTGGATACTCGCTTCATCAATTACAAGGTGACAAACAGCACGGTGTGACGCGTACTGGACACCTTTTGAAAAAGAGTGAAGGAAAAATGAGACGCGTATGGCAAAAACGACGATGTTCCGTACAGGCAGAGGGATATCTAGATATATGTCACGCTGACGAGAGCAAACCTCCAACGAGGGTGAATTTATTAACGTGCCAAATTAAACTGGTACCTGACGATAAGAGGAGCTTTGACCTTATAAGTTGTAAGTTTAAAATTTTATATGTATTTTTAGGTAATTAAAACTTAACTCGAATCATGACTAACAATGTACTTTTCATGATATTTCAGATAATAGAACTTATCATTTTCAAGCGGAGGACGAATCGGATCAGCGGGCGTGGATGTCCGTCCTAGTCAACTGCAAAGAGCGCGCTTTATTGAGAGCCTTTGATGCTAGTGGTAAACCAGAAGCGAATCACGGTAATCCTAGTTTAGTTGAACTTCAACAAGCCGTAATAAGGTGTGTTATGAGGTTACCCGGTAACGATAAGTGCTGTGACTGTTCTTCACAAAATGGTAAGCATTAGTTTTAATTGCTTAGGTTTTTTTGAAAAATTATACATTTGAACATTACCAATGAGATTTTTCAATCTTGTTTTTTTTCCTAGATGCTACCTGGCTATCAACAAATTTTGGAATAATTGTATGTATAGAGTGTAGCGGAATCCACAGGGATTTAGGTGTCCATATTTCTAGAATACAATCGTTAACGTTAGATAACATAGGTACATCCCAGTTATTGTTAGCAAGATACATGACAAATCAAGCTTTCAATGAAGTTATGGAAGCGATGTTACGTCACAATTTTAAACCTTCTCCCACATCTACAATGTACGTTATAAATAACTTTCACTAACGCAATTTACAACCGTTGCGAATAGATGTATACAATAATTATAAACAACGTAATATTGACGTAACTTGCAGGGAAGAAAGGTACGAATTTATTAGAGCCAAATATGTAGATAAAAAATATATCACGAGGACTTGTGTTAACGAGCAAGATCTGTTATCGGATCTGGAGCATGCTGTAAATAACCGAGATTTACATCACTTGTTACAAGTTTATGCAGAAAACGTAGATTTATCGTCTAGTTTACCTACTTCGGTAAGTTTCACAGCAGCAGTAAAGCTTGAGTTTGAATTGTAATGTATCAGTTTTATTGAAATAAACAATACTTGTAGGACTTAAGTGAAACCGCCCTGCATTTGGCGATTTTGCGAGAAATGGGGAACAGTCTGCACATCGTAGACTTTCTGATACAAAACATGCCGACAGGTAGTATAGACAAAGCTACAACAGATGGAGATACCGCACTGCATCTCTCTGCTAAGCATGACAAAGCAGAAGCTATGAAATTACTATTAAGAGCCGGTGCCGATCCGTCGCTTCGCAATAAGCAAGGGAAAACTCCGCTAGACATTGCTCAAGAAGTAGGTCACCACACATGTCAAGAACTGGTGAGTTTATTAATAAAAATGTTCACTTGCTATTTATACCCGAAATAACTAATCGGGTCGGAGACTCAGAAGTAATTTGGCATTTCTGCGTTTCTTGCAGTTGAATCACGCATTGCAGCGACAAAAGACTTTATTCGAGAATGTAAATATCGACTGGAATCTTACACACGAGGAGGCGTCGACAGATTTTTCCGATGACGAGACTATCATCGAGGAAAGAGTAAGTTCAATTATCAACACATATTAAGGAATGAAAAACTTGTAATTATATTAATTTTTTTCATGTGAAAATTCCAGAATGGCTGCTCAACACCCGAGAAAAAATTACGAAGTAGACCACCTTCGTACGCTGGTGGTACGGATACAGGCATCACTGATTCTCCAGTGACATTGCGTAGTCGAAGCAGTACCTGCGATAGCTTACAGAGTGGCCTGTCACCAGGCTTTTGCACAAGCAAAGAACAAATGCCACCACCTCCGCCTCCGCAAATAAAAAAACCCGTCATCGGTACGTATTTTTAGCTATCTTTCACTTTAGCTGTTAATAACGTTTGAATTACGATTAAAAATTAATCATTAATTTAAGAATGTGCAATTACTATCAGGTACAACCAGCTAACAAAAAACTACTTAACAATTACTATTTGATGTTCACACGACTTATTGTTGATTTGGATTTTTCATTAGTGTAACAATGATATTTTTTGTTGGCTTTTCATTTTTATTATTATTTACTCATTCAACCATTAGTTTTTCATAAAATTTGCTTTAATTAGTTTGTAAGTTTAGTCATTAAACAAAATTACAACTACTTTGATGAAAAATTTCAGAATCAATTTGAATTTTTCCAAAGCAAAGTAATTTTAATTTTTCGAAGGTGGCCACTAACTTTTTGTTTTAATGTAATCTGCTCATGCTTGCTGAACGTGCTTTTCGAATACATTTTCGTTGTTGCGTATGCCACATGCATCCGAACAACACTGACAACGAAAAAGAGCACAGCAGCTTTTGATTTGATTTTTCGCTAATTAACATACTTAGTAAGCTATTGAAGCGAACCACATACGTACCTACAACACAAAGCTCATTCAATCATGACGTATAGTCGAGGATTAGCAGTAAAAGTAGTCAGTGGCCATCTGCTTAGAACTATCTTAGCCGTAGTCAGTCATATACTTATGTAAACATGAAAAAAAAACACACAATGCAAGATTGATCGAACACAAATAATAATGATGAAAAACCATGGCGATTGTCGACGCGATCGAATCGGATCGTAAAGCAATGACCCGATTATTTGTAGTCCCGACACCGGTGGTGCCGGACGTTTCGATAAACTTTCACGGCTCACTGAAGAAGAGGGTGGCGCCGGCACCGCCGCCCGGTACAATCCTTGACACCAGCGGGTCCGGCCAAGGTTTGCTGGCCTCACACTACGGCACCTTGCCCTCGGCCTCGCACGCCAGGACTACAAGTGAGCCCATTTTCACTAGTTACCCTAGCGATTATTATTCCTCAACTACTACTGGCTCCGACTACTTTCGTAAGAGTACGATCATCTTTTTTATTTTTTTACTATTGATTTCACCACAGACACCTCCCCTGCGAGACACGTACCCTATTCTTTAATTGTGTGTAGAAATAGTAGCTTAGGCATTGCTAAATCTTAATTCTACTAATTTATAAATAATTACAATGCTGCTTTTAACACACATCGTTTATTTAGTTATTAATTAATTAATTAATTAATTAATTATAATGTCAAAATGAAACTGTCATCTTTCACAAAGTTTTACTGAGTTTTCATTGTTTATCAAAAGAGCACAAAAGCAATTCAAAAAGAGAAAGCATTGAGACAAAGTCGTGCATAAAATAAAGTCGATGAGACACGTCGGCCCACACAGCCAATTGATTGGCGCATGTTTGACCTAGGTATCGACAAGATAGGTCTGAACACGTCGACGCTACAGAGGCCGCGGAATCCGCCTCCGCCGGCGCCACCAACCGTCACCACAGCGGGCACTGGCGGCGCAGCGTCCGCAAAGCTGTCCGATGATCCGGGTGCCGAAGCCGCGGACCCTAGCCTTGGGAATCCTCTGCCGCCCCCTAGAAAGGTAACCTATTTGCTCAGCCTCTCTCCTCTTCATTTGCATTTCTAAAAGACAGATCCTCGCATCGTTATACTTTACAAACCTCTCATGTTGTTAATCTGTCTGTTTATCGAAATATCTGATGCAAGGTGAACTGTTTGGCGCATATGTATTTATCAGTCTTTAAAAATCATCAGTTTAAGAAAAAACTGCGCACAACCTTACAAGTTGGCTAAAACGAAAAAAAAACTCCGCGCGTAACGTATCGATTCGGATGAACAGGTAAATCTGTTTGCTGGCTGGTTTTCCTTGTTGTCACTAAACATTACGTCGTGTGCTTTACTTAATATATGCTTTTAAACGGACTAAACGGCCCTGAGAACATTCTATAGGCCAAGTCCATGGAAAATGTGCAAATAGTTTCGAGAGCAGTGATGGACTTATCGGCTACTCTAATTTTTCTCTAATTGTTTTAAAAATTGTGTGCGTGTGTCTTTTTTACCGTAGACGTATTAATGTTGAATAAAAGCAATCAGTACAATGACCTTTTGACATACTGATACCCGTCGGGTTTTTTTCGTAAATCAACTTCTATTTGAACTATATTTTCACTTGTAGGTGCAATATGTGTAAACGAAATAAATGTGAGTGATTATATCTGACCGATTTTGCGTTAAAATTGTTAGTGTTTTCTGCCGTATTTAATTAGGCAGACTTATGCTGCTAACGTTATATCGTGAGCTCGAACGCAAATTTAATGTCACTTGGCATATAAAATCACAATTTGGCATGCAACTCACCTGTGCAATAAGTATCGATTTTTACCGACTAAAAAGTTCCTACGACGCGATTTGGAAATGATAATGAAAAAAAGTACAGTGCCCCCTATATAGAGTCGTTTGCAATTTTGATAAACCTGCTATAGATAATCGAATTCTTTTTTTAATACTAACTCGCAAACTAGACTTTTCAAATAAAAAAATGTATTGCTTTTGAATGAAACTACGATCAATCTTTATCGCTGAAACGATGTCTTTGGAATCTTAAAGTAAAATTTTAGAGTCGATTGCAAATTAAAGAAAAATACAATGAAGACGGACTATTAACGGGATCGCGCGAAAAGGAAGCCAAGGCCAAAACGATATTGCCAAAGTGACTAATGGAGATGTAACAGCTTGGTATAAATTGCAGCCGCCACCATCGACGACAAGCTTCAACCTGCGTCGATGTCGAGCGCTCTACGACTGCGAAGCGGACAACGAGGACGAGCTATCGTTCCGCGAGGGCGACGTCATAGTCGTGACGAACGAGCACACCGACGATGACAACTGGATGGAAGGTTTTCTCGAGCGAGCACCCGAGCGCCGTGGAATGATACCTATCAGTTTTGTCCACATGCTCCAAGATTAAAAAGTTGTTTTTTCCGTGTCTCTCTTCTGTTTTTACATCCCCATTGCCCCTCGCCGGTCCATCATTTATACTCTCTCGTTTGGCTATTGTCTATAACGCTGCCAGTATTACTAGTTACGAGTTTGATGTTGGGACACGTTTTTCGATTGTGCACCGTTCAGAGTGAAAGAACAGTGAGTAAGAGATTATAGAGCAAGCAATCGTGTTTTTAATTACCGATAAGCCCCTATCACATACGTTCAAAAGATTGATCGAGATCATTATGTGAACAATCTGTTATTCAGTTCTGTTATTCTATTTTCTCATAGCAGTGCCATTGTCGATTCTTTATTTATACATGCATATATTTTTTTGTCTTTCTTTTCGAATTCTTCGATCATGATGTCGTATCTGCTGATATTTGGAGTAGCCTTAGTATGTCGATGCTAGTGATTTTTATAATTAATTTATTATATAAATATATGATATATAAATATTATATATATGTATGTATGTATGTATGTATGTATGTATGTATGTATGTATGTATGTATGTATGTATGTATGTAAATGTTTTTGTTATGTTCATACATCACCTGTATCAAAATATTGTAACTTTTTTCCTGATATATATTTATTATCGAAAATACTATTTAAATTTAGATCGCATGTTGTAAACAATTTATTCTTTTAATGTAAATGTCGAGGTGTATTATTAATTACGATTATTCAATAATGATTTACTTGTACTTTAAAAACCAATATGTCTTTGAATAAAAAAGACTCACTTTAAAAAAAAATGTAATTTAAAAAATTTAGCACACTACTTTAGATACGTCATGTACTGAAAATCTTTTTTTAAGAATGCTTATAAGGTAATCTACTTACGACTTCACAATACATCAATCAGCATCCTAAAATTTTTTACAAATTTTTTTACCAGTATTAGAATACAAATTTTTAATATTTTCCTCTTTAATGTAGTGAAGTTAAGTTCTTATTTATTTATTAAGAGATCATAAGTATATTTCAGTAATAAATACCAAAAATTACATACACAACATTGCGTTTTTTTTCTATTTCCATTATGGTTTTTAATGTTCACATAAACTTTAATGTAAGCATAAACTTCTATTATCCATGCTTTAAAATGTACAAATTAAATGAAAAATATTTATTTTCGAAAAAAATATGAATAATGACGAAATCATTCAAATGCAAATCATGAAAAGTTGCCGAAATTAATTATGCCATTCGGTAATTACCATTTGAGGGAAAAAAATTGGACCTGAATTTTTTTAGAAATGCTATTATTGATAATATTGTAATAATTATGTTTTTAATTTCAAAAAATTATATTTCGTTTGTAATTCGATAGTATAACTATTTGGAAATCTACCATTCTGACAATTTTGCTGTGAAATTTAAAGCGATTTATCTGTTGTCGCTATTTGCGCTGTTTACTTGCTCTGGGACTTATCGCAGCACACTTTGAGCGCGTTTCCTTCCAAAATTAACAACACTAAACTGATAGACGAGTATCGTGAGTTATTCCAATGTATTATAGCATTATTTATTATTATACTAATACTTTATACATTTACATTTCTTTCGAATTTTCATCTTGAAATGCAAAAAATAATTTTATAGTAATTATCAGATTCACTTATTCAGTGAAATTCTAAAAGATATGCCAGCTAAAGATAAAACGGGACTATTGTACGACGTTAAATCCTTAAGACTTAGTCATCCTGTCAGCACTGGCAGAAATAATTTACATTCCTTAAGACAGGAACGTAATAGTCAAAATATCAGGTCGATGTCGTTTGCAGGTCTAAATAAAAATTTGTTTGATATAAAACCAATATTTTATGTGTAGAATTAACCTGACTGCGGCTGAAGATACGCAATCAAGAGATCCCTATTAGCATGTAGTGTACAGATTTAGTCATAATCACTCGACATTTAATTTTGAATAACAATGAAGTCTATCATATCATAGCTTATAATGCAAAAAAGGATGAATTCGAGTGTAAAGATTTATCCCGAAACATGATTTTTATCCGTTATCCGATTAACTGATATATAAATAGCAAAAAATCGCTTGAAGTGGCTATTTAAAAAAAAGTTATTTTCAGTCGACAACGGAATAAAAATGGAATTTAATGATTACAATAGTGACGACTAGTAAAATAACTGGATAATATGATCGATATATTTACGATAGTTCCATACTTCATTGCTTAAATATAAATGTTTTCACTAGATGAAATAAGTTATCACTACGGTAAATGTAATAGATAGAATTTTGCTGAAAAAAATTATAGAGAAAATGGCAGTTGGTTAAGCACCGAAAAATGAAAAGCGTAATAATTGTCTTGGCATTGGCTTGCTAAGTAAATAAACTGAATGCTTTATATTGTTCCATTTTTATTCATTTATATAGCGAAAATCAGCTCACATAATGTACTTATTGTTTAATAGTTTCTTGAGATTTGGTAGACGCTCTGGGCTGTGTGTGTCTTATTAATTGTCCACTTGCGTGTATACAGTAATTATTTACTCGTACAAATGTATAGAAGTGAGTTTCGTATGCGACTTACAAGAAGTTACGTGTAGATTTTGTCCTTTTGTTCTTGACTCGTTTGGATTAATTGTTCCTAAACTGCTGTTACGCCGATGACATAGTACACTTATGTGGTATAACTTGCTACTAATTTGCTGGTTTTTCTCTGACAGTATTTTTTTCATCTTTTTTTTCAATATATCTAAAATATTCTTATCGTTTTCGGTTTTATCATGCGTTTTACATCCATCGTTCGACCAGAATCGCCGCGACCAAAATGTTTTGTATTATTTATATATTCCAATGGAAAACTGATTTCAGTGTAAGCTTATTACGCACTATTAGTAGTTAAATTTCTATAAGGACGGTTTTAAAAGCAACAAATGCTCTTGTATCTCAAAAACATTGTCGTTCAAATGCTTAATTCAAAGTGAACGTTGCGATAAGAGATCGCGTATTCGAAGGACTAAACACGGCTCATATTATTGTAGAAAACTACTAGACGTGTGTGTGAGTGAGTGTGTGTGTGTGTATATATACGTGTGTATGTGTATGTATGTTGTGTGCGCGCGCAACACGCGATTCTGGTCAAAGCGCATATTTATATTCTAATTAGCCGTCCAATCATATACAAATATATAAGCATTAAACGTGAAATATATAATATATATATAATATTACCATGATCGTCACAGTGTATATCATATATCTTTAATAGGTATACCTTTTTAAGATAGTTAGTTTATTATGAACAGTTTCCAAACCAAATACCTTATTTTTACACATAAAACTTTGTTCTCCCATTTGTAAATCTCAAGTCGTTTTCTTATCAAACTAAGTGGAAAAACACATAATAAGGTAGAGGTATACATATAATTATATTTAGTGTGTGTATGGTTTAGTGCTCATTCCAAGGTTGCCAACGTCTGCTTGTTCCTCTTATTCGATGGCTTCGGCATGGCTTCCTACGTATACTAGTTTTTCCTCTCCTGAGGATCTACAAGCAAAATTTTTGGAGCTCTGCGCTGAACTGCATTCTAGCATTATTGCATGCGCCTGCAAAATCGGAAATCAGCTAGTACAAGCCGAACGAAACCATCGAACATTTTCCATCTGGGTATCCAGAATTTTCAGTTTTTATCTTAACTACATATACCTCCATTAAACAATTACTTATTTGCTAATATTCCGGCTTTGTAATTGGTAAAAATGGCTAAGAGGCCAGCCCACATATACTTGCTACAAGATGACTGCAATCTATACGCTTTTATCGTTTGTTTAATAATCGGTTTATATTGCAAAGCTCTTTAGCAAATCTTACTCTATTTTACTCTTTCATCGACTTCGTTTGCTCATTTTCTTTATGCAAATTTCTCAAAATGGCGTTTAAAGGTTCAAAATAGCTGAAATTTTTTATAGAACCCTTCGGATTGTTTAAATAAAATGATAAAAGTCGACTTTGATGGACATTCAAACAAATCATCACTTTTACTTCGCTAATGGCTCATTTAGACTAACAATCTCACCAAAAGAGCAAGTAATATTTTTGTCCCGTTCAATGTTGAAATAAATGTTGATTTTAGAACAAATGTATCATTGGTGACGATATTTCTAAGTCACACGAAAACATTAACGTGGTAACGTACAAAATGATTATTATAGGAATGACGTCGATAAAGAAGCCTAATTTCCTCAAGTCGTTCGGTGATCAATACCTTAAATGATTCAACTTACATGAATTCCATGTACATTTATAATACTACATTGTATCTTGCCATCACAAAAGTTCTTTAATACTACACGAACAGAAGTAAATGATTAGAGCGGAAAATTAATAAGCGACTGAATGTACGAAATATAATTAGTGATTACATTCGCTTTTCGTGTTTTTCACTCATGGATTTAGGTTCCGTTCCTGGTATAAGTTTACTAAAATGGATGATACAATGAAAATCAGATTTATAAATGTCTAAGCTAAGCGAAAAAGAATGATTTTTTTTTTCAGGAAAACAACGTTTGACAGATTTTCAGCCACAAGTTATTAAATATCTGTCTTACGCTGAATGTATTGTACCACAACATTTATAATATGTTACACCAATTAGCTTTTTACAATTAATAAACACAGCCACCTACATCTTCATATAAAGGTATTATTGTAACGAGATTGTATATCTTTCTCATAAACAGACGTGTAAAGGGCATTGCAGAGTCCATCGGGACTAATGAAGCCTCCATTATGGTTATAATTATTAAAATATCTCGCAGTTTGTTCCTAATTATTGTGTAGGATTGAATTTGTGCAGTAAATAAGTGGATTATACAGGACTTCTCTTGAATTTCCATAATGTGCTTTCAACAATATTTTATTTCAAATTTCATTCTGATGGGATGTCAATGATATATGTTAAAATTACTCGCGGATGATTCTTTCAAACTTCAATTATCGTCTGAATCTCATCGCAATCTTAGTTTTTACATATTTGTAGGGTACGAAAGAGTGCAGCTTCATTTACATCATTTCTTTTGCGTGATTCTTGTATTTTGTCGTATTCAAAGCAAAAAAGAAAATGTAGCACATATAAATGTTTGAAAGTCGCTAATTTCTAGTAAGCCAACAGAAAATAAACATGATAGTAAGTTGCAGAGTTATAGACATCAATTAAACAAACAGAAATGAATGAAGAAAACGTTGAAATATATATTAGTTTTTCTTCTGTATGTTTTTAATGTAAAGATTGTTTGATTTTGTATTGGATGCTCAGATTTTGTCTTCATTCGTCAGATTATTTTCTTCATGATACAGTGGAACAAATAATAATTTATAATATAAAAAAAATTGTTTATGCATTGATGTGTGATCGTTTCAGTACGACAGTCTTTGTTCAAGTGGATTTTCGCATGAAATTATTCTATGATGAAGTGTGTATCTTAACAGATGTTTGAATATACAAATAGATGATTGTTTTGTTAATCATGCAGTAAAAGTCAACAGTAAGTATAATTTTGATACTTTATTATTTTGTTTTATAAATTATAAAATGAATACATTGCACATAGGATCAAGAACGTTATTACATGTTTCTAAAGTATGATAGAAAAATAATGATGTATGTTGTGAGAGTAATGCATAGAAGTTACGCAAATCGGCCAAATGCCATTAATTAATAACTTTGAATAAAGAAACTAAGAAATTTTGCAGTATTTATAAATCGGGCAAACCACAATTGTCAACATCATTGCTTAATTATTACACTTGTCAATGGGAAAGTAAAAATTGTAATATCTATATTTATATAAATCTTTGGTTTTTAAAACAACATGCATTCAATGGGTTTTTATTAGTTGTTTTTTATTAGTCACGTTAGATAATCAATGAACAATAAATGCAATAGATTAACATGTAATAGTAATGAATAAACAATAATCTCAAAATGGATAATATCAATAGAAATATAGTTAACACATCGTAATGAAATTAAGTAATTAATGGTAGCATTAGTAATAATAATAGTTATTACCAATAAATCTCTAAATGTTACGAATGTATCATGAATACACAGAATTCAAAGACAATGTATAAGGATGTCATAAAAAATGAAAATATAATCGGACATTCTCTACGGCAAATGCGTACACTTAAAAATTATACATGTATTGTTTATAATTAGTCTAAATTTTTTTATTATAGATAATTATTAGTGTTGTGTTTTTCTCATAATATTAATATCGTTTAATAGTGTTTATCAATATAATTTGTGTGTACTACCAAAAAACTATATATGAGTCACTGGTGCGCACTATTGAAAACCAATATTTATTTCACGCTCGCTTTTTTTTTATCAATCGGTGCTTCGGGCATCGACAACATTTCCAAATGCTTTCTTTCCCTTGGCAATAATTTTTCAAATCGAAGCGCCGAGGCGCATTGCGCGACGACGCGCCACTTGCAAACAACAATAGTTTGTCGATGTCCGAGTGCTTACATTCCCGGTACTCGACGAGTGTAACAAAATAGTTTCAAGTGTATTGTTTTTAGTGTATCGTACTAAATCATTGAAATTTATCTCTTATACCTGTGAAAATTGAAAGCTCGTGGCGAAGCTTCAAAGCTTCTGGGTTTATATACTTGTGATATCTGCGAATTGAGAAGCTTGAGAATTCATTTTCCCCGTGGAATATAGAGACGATAAAGCGGCATTTGCAAGAGAACTCCAGAAGCTTGTTTTTTTGTTTTTCATTCCGAATCAACGATCATTCCAGACTTGGCTTTACATTTACCATAAGCTTTTTAACTTACTCAGAGATGTCATTTTTCGTCTTGTCAGGTCCCGTTTTACTATTAGTTTTAATAGTTGATCGTATTATCCTAAATAACGATTTTCAATGGAAAATTAGTGTAAAATATCGTTTTTAATCCATCTACACTTTCATAAATGACGAGTCTTTCCCTTCAACTGGATTAACGATATATGCAGTCGATTATTTTAATGAAAATATGCGTTCGTGACGATGCAATTTTTATAAAGCGCGAAGTGAAGTGAGTATTCGGATTACTAAAGCTGTATTAAAATATACTTGGTCGATATTTCTCCTTGCTTCTTCGGAACGTGCCAATTAGACTATCTATTATTTTAATTTTATATGAATCAAGACCATGTTTTAAGTTCGTATTCGAAGTTATTGCTTTCAATCGTGCGCTAATTATACTGTCGACTAAAACGGTGATGTGTTTTGTCTGTCGTGCGTGCGTGCGTGCGTGTGTGTGTGTGTATCTTCGACAATTTGGTTATATAATCAAATTGTATGAGCTGCACCATATTTTTTTGAAAGTACAAAGCTATTGAATAACCTTTCACTTTTGCGAATGTCTGCATGCATTTTAATTTCAAGTCTACGTAAATCGAAGAATTTGTACATAAACCGAGGAAAAAAACTTTTTCGAGTGGTCGTGTTTGTTTGGCATGGATGCTTCAACTAAGTCTTAATAATACTCGATCAGTAATTCTAAGTATTGCTCAATCAAGGTAATTGAAACAGAGCGCCCTCATTTTAATCTCGGTTTTTGAGCCGTGTGTGTGTATAATGTATGTAATTGTCGTATATGTGTCGGCTTTGTCAATACAAAATCCATCGCGGGAACATTGTAGAGGAACTGCGCCAATACCATCATCAAGTACCGCGTCATGCGTCTGTTTTAATTGGTCTTCTTTTCGTCACGTATGCGTCGCTTAAGTATACAATATATATAATATTTATATATTTATATTCAGTGAAAGCAAAGTAGAGATCGTCAGGGATCGAAAGATATCGCGAGAGATAAAAAAGAAACACGCGCCATCGACGTCGCTCGTTTGTCTGATGAACGAAGAACAATAATAATAGCAACTAAGAGCTGCCAGCCTGCGAGCTGGAGGAAAAAGTGTCCTGAGTAGTCGCTTCGTTATCTAGGACATTGGTTTTTCTCGTTCTCATTTATACGTACATATATATAATATATATTTATTTATCAACGATATAGCGCCGGCTAATAATTCGCGAAGCTTGAGATATAACTTGACGTCTTTGGGTTCCGCAAGCGTGACAGAGGCTGCGCAAAACACTTTTTCCTGGAAAATGGTGACGGTGCTTGCTGCCTACACTTACTTGATAGATGCACGAGTGTCCGTGGCGTGAGTAAGCATGGCTCGTATCGTTTTATAGAGAAGGGATCAAGCGGCTCGACCACGTGCAAGATGGATGCACTCTCCACTCTGAGAAACTTGCCATGGCTGCCTTCGTCATTTGCTTCGATATTACTATCCCGCGTCCAACATCTTTGCAACGACCCTGTCCCTGTATCGGTCGCTGCGGCCGATGGTTGTTCGAACGGCCTTTTTTTGTTTTTTTGTTTTTTTGTTTTTTTTTTGTTTTTTTTTTAATTTTTTCTTTTCTTTTGTTTTTTATTGGTTTTTTGTTGGCGCACGCACTACACCCCTACAAATATATAAAAACTTCTCTTACGTCGACGACTACTGTTCTTTCTTTTGTGTTATCTGCGAGACCGTGCACACGTGTGTGTTTCTTGCTCTTGGCTAATACGACTGACTTTGCTACGCGGCCTCGCAGGATATGCGTGATCAGGGATAAGGGGATATATCCACGTGTTTGTTGGGGCGGGGAGGGAGGAATAAGTATTTTCTCATCAAGTTCTTTGTCTGTTTCATGCCCCGCGAAGAAAGAAAAAAAAACGCGTGTCGGAGCGACAGGAAGAAAGCCGAGGATTACGGCGGATGGGAGGGAGGCAGAGGTAATGGGGAAAGTCGCGAAAGGAAAAAACTTGGTCGCACATTCGCACACGCACTTGGTGGTGAGGGGTCGAGGGCGGCGGGGGGGGGGGAGGAGGAGGGGTGAGGGGTTGAGGGTGGAAAAGGCGAGCGAGCTACACGGAGCCGGTCGCTTCTCCTTCGCCCGGTCTCGCTCACGTGACGTTCGTTCTATTTCCGTGTGTCTGTGCTGCGGCTCTCTGGCTCTCCGGTGCCACCTCTCTCAGCCAGAGCTGGCCTTTACTCCTTGACCTCGAAGTACTTGTAGGTGGGATTCTCGTAGCCGTTGATTTGCATGTTGGCCACGTGTCGCTCCTCCGGAGTTGCCGCCTGGTCCACCTCGATAAAGCCCTGTAATCAACCATCAAAGCCGGCATTTGTCAACGTCGCTCTGGTCGCGTGGATCGAAGCTCGCCGCGCGAGGCTGGTGTTGGCCCGATAGCTCGCGAGGCTTGCGACGACTGTCGTTCGAGAGCTCGGCTACGCTTCCCAGAACCAAGCCCGGGAAGGCTTTGCGAAATTCGATCGTTGAAGGCAAAGCTGCTAAGCGGCTTTGCGTGTCTCTCTACGCGAAAGGCTCGCGGCGTCCTCGGCGCCGTCGATGACTTTAAATAACGTTCGGATGAGATGATAACGTAGGCAGCTGCCTGGCGCTTGATTAATCTGGACCCACGGCTTCGTTAGGCGGACCGACGGTCAGGTGTCGCCTTGTAACGGTGAAAAAGAGGCTGCTCTCGCGGAGCGGCAACGAACGGCAAGGGAGGCGCGCAATCGGGAGTCGTATACGGGGAGCCACGCGGGGAATTTAATAAAGGAGCTCGTGGAGTGCGCGCGCGCGCGCGCGCATACGTTGCCTACCTGGCTGTGAGGACTTCGCGCGTTGCGTCGCTTAAATACCGCAACGCCGACCACGGTGGCGGCCATCAGGGCGATGCCAGCGAATGCCAGGGTGAAGTAGATCGACCTGCTCTCACGGTGGTAGACGTCGCGTCTCACCGAGTAGCTCTGCAAACCAACAAAACGGCATTCCAGTTGTCGCCCCCAGTTCGCCCGCTGTACGCCAATCGATCGCCGCTGCTCGCGCTTCGCCGAAACCGTCAATTTGCCGTGGCGCACCGGCTCGAGGGGTTGAGTCACAAGCCTCGCAACCCAGTGACTCAGCCTCTCGCCCCTCGCGTCGCACGCGACACTTTTCACGGGCGTACGCTGATGCAAAACTGGCAGCCGCGATAAAGCCTCGTTACTTGATTCGTTCGTTCGTTCGGAAACCATCAACGACTGCACCCTTCATTTTCGCCTCCAGCCTCTCGAGTTAGTGTGAACGAACATCGAGTCGAGTGCTGGCGAATGAAGTCGAAACGAAGGCGAATCAGGGACGGAGCGGTCGGCGATCGATCGGTAGTCTCGCGGAAGAGGCCGAGGAGAAGAAACTGACGGGCTCGGAGTGGTAGTTCTCCTGCTTGATGCTGTGCGAGGCGCGGATGGGCGCCTGCTCGTGCTTGAGGGCCGTCTGCGCCTGTGCGACCGGCTCGTGCGACTCGCGACGCGGCACGATCGGCAGAGGCTCGTGAGCCAGAGCGTGCGCCGTCATGGGTTCGTCCTGCTGCATCATCATCTCCTCGTGCTCCAGCACCGACTGCTGCTGCTGTTGCTGTTGCTGCTGTTGCTGTTGCTGCTGCTGCTGCTGCTGCTGCTGCTGTTGCTGCTGCTGGTCCTTCTTCTGCGCCTGTGGCTTTAGGTCGTCCTCTATCTCCTCGTCCTCGTCCAGCTCTGACAGCTGTTGTTGCTGCTGCTGCTCCTGCTGCTCTTGCTGCTGCTGTTGCTGCTGCTGAGGCTGCGGCTGCGGCTGCTTCTGGACCGGCGTGACCGTTTGCGGCTGCTCGTCGCCCGCCTCCTCCTTGATCAGCTGCTGCTGCTGCTCGCTCCTTAGCTCGCCTCTCTCGGCCTTGCGCTGCTCTTTGCGTTCGCGCTCCAGCTGCTTCTGGTGCTCTTTCTCTGCGGACAGACGGCGGCGGCTTCGTTGCGGCTCGGACATTCGTCGCGGCGACGGGTTCGCGGACAGCGTCCGGCTGACGCCAATCGATACGTACCTTGCTGCTTGCTCGCAACGTCCGCCTGGAATTTGTCCAGGATGGCGGCCTCGGCCTCGCGCGTCATCGCCAGCAGCAGCCCCGGCGTCTCGTCCTTGCTGCGCAGCGCCAGCACGTAGTCGTTCATCAGCTTGCCGATCTTGTCGATCAGCTCCGGGTAGCTGTCAAATCGTCATCCCTTAGCCCAGGACTCTACCCTCTCGCGCCGCGGTCGCTCGACATTTTCAAGCTCCAACGTTCAAACTCTCGCGCGCGATAATCTAAGAAGATATCTGAGAAGATCTAAGAAGCTATCCCGTTATAGAAGAACCGAGCACACGTAGCCGGCGAGCCAAGTCGTTCGAAGGTAGCAATCCGTGGTCTAGGCTTGACGGACGCAGTCACCGTCGACCTGCAGCTTCGCGGCAGGGACCGGAGATCGACGCGGAACCCGATCGAGGAGGCGTAGAGCCAAGTCGGCACCTACCGCTGCAGCATGAGCAGGCTCTGATTGGTGATGCGGTCGATGTCGGCGAGGTGCTCCAGCGTGGCCGGCTTCTCGCGCTGCGCCTGCTCCAGGCTGCTGTCCAGCAGGTGCTTGTAGTGCGCGATCGTGTGGTGGCGGTCCTTGTGCAGCGCCCGCAGCAGCTTCTGCAGACACTTCTGGATGCGGTGCTCCTGCAACAGTCGCGAACCGATGCCGCGCGTCAGCTCGGCTGCCACCGCTGCTGCGTCGAGCTCCGCACACTCACGTTAGGCGGGATCTCGTTCAGCGCCGCTGTGTAGCAGGACATGGCCTCCTCGTTCCTCTGCTTCACCGTCTCCTGCGACAGCGCCGCCAACGCATTTTCAGTTGTCAACGGGCGAGCTTTCGACCGAAGGGCAAAGAGAACCGCGGACAAGAGGCGAGCGGCTCGTCGGCTTACCTGCACGCGCTGCTGGTGCATCGCGCTGAGATGGTGCTTCTCGGCGGCGCCGCTTGCCTCGAGAGCCGCGACGGTCTGCTGGAAGCGCACGGTCATCCAGCGCTTGAAGGCGTCGGCGGCTCCTGGATCGCGCGCCCTTATGTCCTGGTAGCGCTCCTCCAGGTCGCTCCAGTCCTTCATCACCTGCGCAAACCACCAGTCATGGCGTTTCCCATGCTCGTGTGTTATTGGCTTTCGTTTTATTGACATTTCTACGCGGGCTTTTCGTGAGCGCGCGCAATCTGTGTCAAGGAGCCTTTATATTGCACTCGCCGATGGATTCTGGACGCGGCGCGCTACCGGCATCGATCCCCCGCTCCCCGGCCTCTCCGCCACTACGTACGCCACAATCACTCGAGTCATGTTATTATTGAATAGTTGGCTTGCTCCTCTCGCTCATGGCTACTTTTTTCGTTCGGCTTTTCACGGTTAGTGGATTTGTTAATTCTGATAATGGATTACGACGTGAATGATAATTTAGTGAACTGACCGGAATTATGGCTGAATAACGAAACTTATTAAATAGCAATAATTGTGTAATCATTATAATTATATTATCATGATTATATTCGAGTTAATGGTGGGGTTTGATATTATTATAGAGTTAGTATATTTACGAACGTTATTCTTAATTAGAAATCGATTCATAAAAAAAAAAGATAACTGCTCGATCCTCATTTCAACGAAGCTTAATAAATCTCCAATCGTATTTTACGGTCTAAATATATATGAAACGCGCAGTTTGAGGAATGCAGCTACACCGTGCTTTAATTAAATTAAAATATCTTGCACTAATCACGTTAGAAGCCATTTTCATTCCACATGTTTGATAAATTGATGGCGCGGCGCGAACTGCGAGTATGCGTGTTCGCGAATTAACGCGAAATACGCCCGCCATCGTCGGTTTTTTTTTTCGTTCGTTGTCGTTAAAGTGACGAGCACTCAGCACTTCTGAATGCATCTATTGGACTCTTGGTACGATAAAAAAAACAAAAAAAAACAAAAAATTGAAAACGGCATCGATCGACTCTCTTTCATCGCGTCCAGAAGAAAGAGCGAGAATCTGTCTTTAGCGGGCGTTTTTATGGCTGCGAATCGCGATTCCGTAATAACACCTTCACGTCGGGACGTCACACGGCGCACTCCAAATGAAATATCGACAGCACGAGCGAAATCACTCGATCGACCTCTCTCTCTCTCTTTCTCTCTCTCTCACTCTCTCACTCTCTTGCACTCTCTCTCAGCGACGTGGCACTTAATTACCTACAGAGAAAGAGAATAAAAGCAATAAAATAGAAGAGTCGAAAAGGAAGCTCGGCAAAAACATATATCGAAAGTCCGCGTTTGGCGCATGGAATAGTTGACCTCAGCTCAACTATACTCGCAAGAAAGATGCTTCGGCTGAGATAGGATCGATCGAAATAAGCGAGAGAGAGAGAGAGAGAGACGGGGAGGGGGGGCCCACCTTGGTAACCTCCTCCTTGTGAATTTCCTCGAGCCTCATCTGCGCTTGCTTGTAGCTCTGGTGCTCGGAGCGCGGATCGAAGTGGGTCAAGTAGGGATCGGGGGTACCGTGCGCCAAGAATCCCGGCTGCTGAGTGCTGCTGCTGCCTCCGTTGGAAGCGCTTGGACTCGCAGTGGCGTTGTTGCTCGTGCTCTCCATCGAGTTCGCCTCCTTCTGCTTGTTCGTGCTGCTTGACGGTGGCGGGGCCGACGACGATGGCCTGCTCTTTCGTAAAATGATCACTCGTTTTTTTTTTTTTTTTTTTTTTCATTTTCATTTGCTTAGCGCCGCCCGAGAGCGCAACTTCCATGCATTTTCAAGCTATCCGACACTCCTCTCAGTGTTTTCAGATTGACCACTTTAATTTGCACCCCCGCGCATATTTATATTTCACGCGTGACGCCTGAAATCGATAGCGCGTGGCTATCCGTTAAAGGAATAAAGTTGCATTGCAGAGCGCACATTTTTTTCTCGCAAAATCACCGAGCAACCGTTGGCGCGACTGTCGTTTCCGCGAATCTGAATGATCTAATGCAAAAATTGAAAAAAAGTGACCTGGTAGAAGTATCGTCGTCCTCGATGTAATCCTCGTTGCTCTCGTCCTCGTCGTCAGGCTGATCGCCGAGCACGTCGTCCACGTTCTCGTCGGACTCGGAATCGTCGTCGGCGTCGTCGTCTTGATCGGCGTCGTCGTTCAAATTCTCATCCTCCTCCTCCAAGTCATCCACCAGCCCCTTAGGCACGTGCATCTCGTAGTGCTTCTTCAGCTTCATGTTCTCTGCCGCGCACATAAACATTTTACAAAGTGTCGGTCGAGGCTATTCTTTTTCCTTACCGCTTCGCGCTTACGTATGTGTGTGTGTGTGTTTCGAAAAGGGGGGCAAGTGAAAGTTTTAATTAACGGCTGGTGCGGCCGCCGCTTTCGCGTTACTTTTAAATCAGCAGCTTTTCGTCCACTATACTCGTTAAGTTTGGACAGCTTTTGACGGCTACGCCGGCTCGCTGCCGTCACTGCTTTTTACTATTCAACCGGGCACACAGTTTGTCGAAAAGTTAAAAATGAGCGTTTCGAGTTTGGTTTTCCAGACGAAACCCTAGAGTAATTAATTGCTCGATACAAATGTTTGAAGCTTCGTTAAGTGCCCATTTGCCGTTGCGATGCCGTCGATATTTTGTCCCCCCCGAAACCTGTCGTGCATCGAGTAGTTGTATTTCATATAGAAATCGAGGCTGGGTCGACGAAGCCTGCCGATGGCAATGCTCAAGTCCAGATGCAGTTATCGAACTGTTCGGCAACGCGATAGAGCAGAGCTCAACTTTTCGTGCTGTTCGCCGGCTAATTTTACGCGCGCACGTTAATTGCAACTTGTCCGCTTGATGATACCGACACAACGAACGGCGGCCCCAGCGATGCTCTGCAGAAGCGAGCGAGAAGTAAACGGACATTTAGCTGCAATAAATGCAAGCGATCAATCGCGAAGTACGAGCGCGCACAGAGCGTTCGTTGAAAAGGGTGTTTAAAAAGCGGTGAGCTCGAAGGTTATCCGGGTCCGCGCGCGTGAATGAAGTCGAAGTGCACCGCAATCACAATTCGGCCGCGAGACGTTGGCCTTTTGGTGCAATGAGAAGAGAAAATAAAAAGAAGGGCTCGTGGCAATCAACGAAGTGCACTCGACGCCGGGCAAAGGCGACTCACGCTTAAGTATAGGAGGAGCCAGAGCCGTCGAAGAGCATTGTGTGTGTGTGTGCGCGCGCGCGTGTGTATATATATATAGTGAGAGAGGCAAAAAGGCTCGAATAGCGAGGAGCTGTGCAAAATACCTTTCAAGTGTTTCGGACAGCAGACGAACTCGACGCCGGCGAAGAGGCTGATGCCGCAGGGCAGTAGCATGGCGAAGCTCCGTAGATTCATGTTGCGCTCGCGGCAGGTATCCGCAGCCGTCGAATTCCATCTGCGAAACAATTCGTTCGCGCATTTAATAAACTCTCCAGGCTGTCGAGTGTCGCGCCCGACAGCTCTTGTCGTTTCTCTATCGATTTGCCTGCAGCTGCGCGTCGCTTTAATTAAAACGCGCGAACGCTAAGCCATAAAAGTTCTGCCGTGAGTCTCTGTCACTTTGCCTTCATCTTCTTGTTCCTCCGAAGATAGACGACAGATGCTGGCTCATGGGGTTCGATACGCGAGGCATAACCTTGCCCACGTGCTTCCCCTTTTAACTGGCTATTTTTCCATTCCCGACGTCAAGCGTCAAGTTTTACCGACGGGTATAGAGACGCGTATGCGCGATACTCGGGCGTGTGCTGAATGAAATTGTTCTCGTCGATAGAGCCTATAAATAGTTTACGAGTGAAAACGAGAGGATACACACACGCACGCTCTGCTTTCGAGGCGCACAACCTTGAACGGCTGGCCTCCCGGGCGCCGACACGACTTGTCGCTCGCGCAGCCGAAACTTTTGCGCGCAAAGCCGGAAAGGAGTAGTTTGGCAAAGACCAACGACGATTACCTGAATGACTCCCAGCATTTGGTCTCGTTGTGCAGATGATCGAATAAGCAGCCCTCCGGCACGAGCAGCGCGTCGCTCTGGAAGGGGCCTTCTGCAAGAGACAAAGAGTCGGCTATTATTCAGAGCCTCGTTGCCGGCGTCCTCGCGAGGTTCGCAACGGAGCGCGTCGCGGATCTTTTTCGATGACACACCTAAGGCAAACACGCGTCCGACGATCGATCGATCCCAGCCGCGAGCAGCTATAGCTCGCAGGTGTCTCTAGGCAAAGTAAACATGCACGCGCGGTAAAGCGCGACGGGCCCTCGTGCCGCCAACAGCAGCCGACGCCGCGCGTCACGTCGAGGCCATCCGATGCGCGCGAGCGGCACTCTTGTACGTAATCGACAGCTCGCAAAGGGCCAGGCGTCGCGGCTTATCGTATATAAACGTGCGAAATGGGCACTTACCAAGACATCTGTAGGGCTTGACCCATCTCGAGAGCTTACATTTGTTCTTGCCGGGCTTACACCAGCCGCTGACTCGGGTGTAACGCGACGACTCGACGATGTTGGTGATGTCTCTCTTGGGATAGGCCTACGTGGGACAAAAAGAGAAAGAAGAGCGTTCGCAGGCATCGCGGCAAACTCATGTGCGCTTCTCGCTGTCAATTCGGCATCGCAGACGCGTATTCCCAGACCAAGCGCCAGATAGCTGGAGCGCTGCTTTTTCTTTCCTGCCCCCCCCCCCCATTCTCTCTCTCTCTCTCTCTCTCTCTCGCTCTCTCGCTCTATCTCTACCCCTCGAGACTCACCGTCGACTTTTCAGGCCCGCAGTCGATTCTTGGCTGGCAACGGCGCGGGGAATTTAGACTGCGGAAATCGTGATACACGCCTCGCTTTAGCGGATCCGCGTCTCGCCGGGATTCGGAGCTCGAGCCAGCTCGTAGCCGCACCGAGTTTGGCACTCGTGCGCTGTCTCTCGGTAGCGACGCGCGATCGATGCGGCGACGCTCGCGACTCGGCGTCATTACGAATCGTTTGCTTTTTAACGCCGACTGTGCGCAACGCTTCGTAGGCGGGGGGGGGGGCGCTCGAGTTACGGGAAGCGACGTGCGGCAATAAGCGCTTTCTGCCGGGTGAAAGGGAGAAGCGAAGACTGATAAATGCGAAGGAGAGAGAGGGCAATCTCGCGCTCGTTTCCGCCGGCTCAAAAGAAGCTCGCAGCCTGCGCGCAATTGATATTGATGTAACTGGCGGTGAGCGACGGCGGAAAACTGCGCGCGATCGAGACGCGACGTCGACGGCTGAGAAGCGGAGAGAGAGGCAAGTTGAAGCGCTCGCCGGGCTATGCCGAACGATTTGCAAAGCCGAGTAATTGTGCGCTCGCTCGGCGAGACGGCGGAGAGAAAAAAAGTTCAACAAGTTCCAACTTGGCCGCGGCTTCCGCGGGCCGTGCATTCGCGGCGGGGTCACGAGACAACTCGTCGGGCTCTTCGAATTTTCGTGTTTCCGGCGTGAAGTAGCGAGCGAGTAATCCGATAGCGGGAATTGACCGTATTTGCGCGCGCGTCTCTCCGCCACGGATCCCCCCCCCCCGCCGCGACGTGCCGAAAAGCTCGACCACGAGAGCACTTGGCGCGCGTGCGTTGGGCCTCTGTTCACGGCCGCCTCGTTGCAGCGAGCGCGCACACTCGGAGAACGAGCCCCTGGTAATATTGTGTTGCGGCTGCTTTGGCGCGGACTCTTGGCAGCGAGCGCGCCCGTATCTCGAGAAAACGGCGAGCAAATGAAATATCGCCGCGCGAGTTTGAGAAGCGCGTCACGAGAGTGAGTGAGCGAGAGAGGAAATGAAAAGGCCTTTTCCCTCTCGATGGAGAACGATCGGAGGAAAAGGTGCGTGCTGCAGACATATAGCGTTCTGTTATTTGCGCGGCGCAAGTCGTCGCGCATATTTGCCTTTTAATAAAACGTCGCTCGCAATATAAGCGTCCCTTAAACTGGCTAACTGGGTTAACAGCGCGTGTTCTCGAAAAAAAAGCGAGTTGCGCGAGCTTTTGATATACGCGAAAACAGACGAACGGCAAACAAAACTTTGCAAATAAAGCGATCCCAGTGTGTAACAATCAAGGGTAGGTAGAGAGAGAAAGAGAGAGAAAGGATTCGATTCTTGAGGCAATTTCGCGCAGCACAAAAGGGCTGGAGCAGCGTTTGAGCATCTGCTCTGGACGTTTTCAATGGGCGCTCGTGTCCCTTTCCCACGACAATGCGAGGCCGCGCCAGCGGCTCTTACCTTCTTGCAGTATTCTAGAATTTCTAGCTTGTCGGTCATGCAGCTCTTGGTGTCCGTCGACGAGATCCACCGTCCTTGGTCGCCCATGTGCTGCGCCAGGTACACCTCACCCGCCTCGCATAGCGTCGCCACCTATTCATTCGACAACATTGCTCTCGGTCAACGATCTCGTCTGATTTTTCTCGCCCGCGCCTAAGATCAACGCGCGCGACCGATCGATTGCTCCGTGGAACGGTTCGCGATTGCATCAATCTACGCTCTCGCGACTGCGGATCGCTGGGCAAAAAGGACCATAATTGATTTACCGTCGCGGGAGCTTTCAAGAGTCGTCGCGGATACGCCGAGCCGCGGGGTCGGCTGGCGTGTCGGGCAGTGCATATTCGAACGCCTGTGTGCCGACCGCAAAAATAGTTGGACACCGAGGCAAGTAATTGAAAAGCGACAGGAGCGGACGGCCCGGGGCGCTCGCGAGGGTTAACAAAAAAATTGACTCGGCGCGCAACGAAACCGATAAAGTTCTGCTTTATAATCGAGCTGTCCGCCACCGACGGCCGACTGCGAAAGCCCGAAGAAATTTATTCGAGCTCGCGGGTACGCGACGAGGAACACACTTTTTTTTATTTCTTTTCGCATCCGCGGAATAAGTTGGTTTTATGCCGGATTTGTCGAGCGTGAAAGCGAATCGAACCTGATTTTCCACCGATCGCGCGACAATGCCGAGAATCAACGAACGACCTGCGATTGTCGAAATTATGGTCGCGCGCGATGTTCGTCTAATTAGCTCGCGCGCAATCTCTCCGAGATGCGCGCGCGCGTGCCCGTACGGCTGTGGCGCTCGCAAATCAGAGGCGGTCTCTATCCAGACACGCATCGACGTTGGCGGAAGCCATATATCAGCAAGTACGCGAACGCACGACACTCTGTGCGAGCTACCGAATGCAATCGGAACCGCTGCAGAAGCTCTCGTCAACGGAGTAGGACGGTCGAAAGAAATGCAGCGACTACGCGCGAACAACCGCGGAAACGAAACAATCAGGGCTGAGCGTTTCTGCCGCGGAGGACGGAGGCGCGCGACTGTTGCGCGGCTCGTGCGCATCACGCGACGCACTCACCTGTGGTTCGGATCTGCTGCCAGCGGGAGCTAGTTCCAGCCGCTCAGACACCGCCTGCAAAAAAGAAAGCACTCAGAATACTCGGGCGTTTGTCGTGGCTTCGCCGTGCCGCCCGCGCCGACAATACGTATATATACATGTACACGCAGTGTAAAACTTTGCGGCAAGAGATCCCAACGAGATCCGCTCGATAGGTAATTGCTAATGTACGTCGTTCGCTGCTTATATCAGCCTTTCCCTCTGCTATATACGGCCAGGATTTTACGACTGCAACTTTACGTTCGCACGCTACTCTAGCGCGGGTTATTGGCTCTCCACCGAAGTTTATGAAGCTTAAGCTACTCTTCGGATTACCATGCTCATCGCTTTTTCAATACGTCGCGCGCTCCGCACACGATGCGTTTTATCGACCGGCGGTCCGCGCCCACGCGCCTCGCTTTCCGTCCCTCTTTGCCGGCGCCTTACTTAATCAACGTTCGACGTTTATCGGGGCTTGCCGTTCGACTGCCGCTCGACGCCCACTGCCAAACTCTTTTTCGCGCCTTTGTCTGCGCATTTTAAATGACGACAGAGAGACGCAGGAGCGCGCTTGCCGTCGGAATGGCCATCGGTCCGAAGAGAGTCGCGCAGAGGGAGCCGAGGGAGGCATCGCCTTAACGCGTCATAAATATTCCGGAGCGGAATATCGCCGGCAGGCACGCGTCGCCTCGCACGAATAATAATCGTCCGAGCGACACGCGGAGCCGGCCGAGGAGCGCGCGAGTCAAGCCGCCGCGAACGGCTCTGGCCGCTCTTATCCTCTCGCTCACCCTCGCGCGCTCTGCCCGTCGAAAAGTTGGCGCGTACGGCGCACGTGTGGCGCGCTACCCGGCCGGCTGGAAAGCCGTGTGCGCGGGCACGGGGAAAAAGAGAGTAAACGAATCGACGGCTCGCAGCTCTCGCGTGTGCCACGCGCGAAATATCGACCGCCTCTACCCCACCCGGACGCGCGCTCGCTCGCACGCTCGTGTGTTGTGTAACTCGTTGAGTAGAGCCGCCTACTCCAGTGGGGTTCTCGCTGTTTCGCAGCTACTGTGTGTGTTTTTTTTTTTCTTTGCCTCTCGCGCGGCAGCCCGCTGCTGATTTGCGCTCAGTAGGCGCCGGCAGGGAGCGAGGGAGCTCCGGGAAATCGATTTCTCGAGAGGCAGTGCGCTCGCCTCCTCGCCCGTGCATCGCGGCGGCGTGCGCCCTCGGAATGTGTCGGCATAGTTTTTTCGGGAATTTTCGGTTCGCCGAGGAGAGATCCCGAGAATCCGATTGAATGTCGACGATGCCCAAGTCGCCGTTTTTCAATGACTCGTCGCGCGGCTATGCAAAGCGCTCGCGCAAAATTGGATCCGCTGGCCGAAGCTGATCGACGTTGAACCGCGCGCCGAGGGAATATGAAAGGGGCACGACGACACGTGCGTCGCAGCAAGCTAAATATTCGCGCCGCATCTTTCATAGGGCGCCGAACGCTGCGCAATATCGGATTTTCCAATCAAGTTAATTCAGAGCGCGGCTATAGGCTCCCTCTCCCTCTTTCGATCAGCAAGAGAATGTATTTTAGACGATCGATCTTCATTACCCTCGACGAGCAGCAGCAACAGAAGCAGCCTCCGAAATGTTTCGCGAAAATGCAACGCTTCGCTTTCAATTTGTCTCTTGAATCGGCTTTTGCGTGTCTCTTTATTCGACTCTACTCAGCGTTAACAGCTTTTGTTTTCACTAGACTTCACATTTATTTTGTTTAACGGAAAGGAAACGTGGATATTCAGTGATTCCGCTTACGTTCGCTCTACGGTCCTCTTTTAGCAACTAGACTCGCAAACTTCACGAAAGCACACGTAGATTATTTTGAAAATACATTTATCATCGCGTATACGTTCCTTGTTATTCAAGTGAATAACTCCACGTAAAATACTGTGTACACGTGTATGCACGAACTAAATAGATCCGTTGGCTTTGATAATAATTGTTTGCGTGCGAGCTAAAATTTTTATAATTGCCGATTTGCAATGCTACTTCATGTTTAAGTAGTCGTTCGTTCGATCGATCGATCGTTAACAGACGACGACAAATACCCCGTGAACAGTTAACGATCGCAATATACAACATTTCAAGTGGATACAGTGCTGTAATAACACAATCGATGTATTCTATGCCGAATAAATAATACGCCATTTCATGCGTTCGGCGAAAAAAAGTTCATATAGCGCCAGTACGAGAGTTTAATAAAATCACTCTTTGTTATTCAGTTATGAATAACAAAAAGTTTGCGCGAACGAACGAAGCCGATGAACAATTTTATCCCGTTAGTGCCGCGGTAAAAGAATATTCACTTCCAAGCGAAATTTCATGTCTCGAGCGCCTGCGATTTGCAACGTAAACGGTGCGAGCTGAAAATTCGCGAAAGTTGAAGAAAAATTGCAAGCACTCGGAACGCTCCTGCGGGTCGGACTACGCCCAAATTTATCAGTTGCGAGGGAAGAACTTGTCAGCTAAACGATCGTGGCACAGCAACGAGTCGAGTGATCTGCCGAGCGAACGGTAAACACTGGAGATGCGGCGAGGAAAGCGAAGAATAAAGGGCGAAGAATAGGCGGCGCGCGAAACTGGGAAGGGCGGAAAAAAAGATGAATCGAATCCCGCGAGCAGCCAGAGACACATTTCCAATAAGCATGTAAACCATGGACAGCAGTGGCAACGGCGCTAGTCCACAGGGGACCGACGTCGACAGCCACGCGCATATATATATGTATATCGAAGCTCTCCATCAGGCGTTGGAGCGCGCGCGTGCGAGTAACGATTTCCCATAAAGCAGTAGGCATGTGTACTTACAACGAGCCTGGACAACTCTATACGTTTCGCTCGCTCTCTTTTCTTCCTTTTCGCGTGCTCTAGCGGCACGTCCTTTTTCGTTGTTTGCTTTGGCGGCCGGCTCACGAAACAGAAGAAGCAGAAGAGGAAAAGAGAGCTGCAGCGCGGAGCGTGATGGAGAGCTGTCCCTTTTCGCGCGCAGAGCAGCCGCAATCAAACGGGCGCCGGCAAAGCCGCTGGGCTCGTACATAATTAGTGGCGTGGCTTTGCGCGAGGAGTCCTTTTCGCGCCTCGCGCAAAAGTAAAACCGAAGCCTGCCGGTGAGAGCCAACGGACGCACACAGCGAGAGAGAAGCTCGATTGAGAGGAGGCGGCAAGGGAAGAAGGAGCAAGAAAAAGAAAGGAAAGGGATGAAAAAGCCGCTGTTTTAATTATTCGACGATGCCCCTCGCCACCGTAATTACGCTGGATTTTTCTTTGACCGGCTCTGCTCTCTACGCTTTCTTATATAGGCTTCCCGCGATGAATCGTCAGCAGAGTATCCTTTTGCGATCTGCTGATTAATTTGCCGGAAAACGCCGCGCGATAACGAGGGCGGCTTATGCGCGTTTTCTACCGCCACTGCCCACCGCGTTACTACGTTCAACCTATCGCCTTGCCAAATCCCATTGCTCTGCAGAGTTGTCGTCGCTGCGCAACAAAAACTCCTTCTCAAGGTTATTCGCGTTCCCTAGGCGTTAACCGACCACTGCAAAACGTTTAGAAAATTGTGTGAAATCAGCACCGCGTGGACTTTGTTTTATGACGCGCAGTCCTTTTTCTATTCCGAGAAATTATATATTCAGAAATTGAGCCTGTGTGACTCATTAAAACGCGTTGACGTATGCATATCTGCTGGCTATTCAGTTATTTATCATTGGAGGCATCTATTCTAAGAATATACAAAATTATTGATTTTTCAGACGGAAACGCTGAATATTGCTTTTTAACATGAGAACTATTTGGCTTCTAGGCTGTCTGCTTGATTTGCAAACACGATTGAGCTTTTGAATATCATGGCATGACTCAAGTTCAATCATTGTTTTCAAATGTGTTTCTTTATATTAACAGTTCACAGAGAGTTCAGTTACTAAAGTTATTTAGAACGTGACAAATGATCTATTAGAGTGCACTACAAAATGTAAAGTTTTCTTTGCTGCGTTTTTCAATCGATTGTTCTCTATGTTGACGTAATGCTTATGAAAAAGTGGTATCATTTGAAAACGCAATAATATCTCTCTACAATGAAGCGGCATTCGAATGATTGTTATCTCATAAAAAATTATCTCAAGGTATAATTCAATTTGCCGTGTAATATTTGCTGACGAATAATTTTAAGCCACGCTTAAATATTTCCAAGGCAGGCGCTTTATTTACCCCAAAGACACACTCGACGCTTTCGCGAGACTGCTTGAACTACTTTTAACAAAAATTTTGTTCAATACACGCGGACCGAAAGCTTACAAATGTACATATTCACATTTATTCTCTCTCAGCTCTGAATCTGGATTAAAAATTTCATCTATTGTAGCGTGTATAATACGCTTGGAATTCATTCAGTGCGCGATACATACCAAAAGCGCTTTTCAAATTTCATTAACCATCCTAAATCTTTCATTGTAAATATTAAATTAACTGTTTCTTTCTACGTTTCCATTGCGCCACTTTCAGAAGTTAAGCATGAGATTTTAAATTAAAATATACTAGCAATGGAGAAACGCACTTGAGCAAATTTCAATTAGTAATCCGAACTATTTCCGAACTAGAAATGTTTAGACGATCAATCGATCAAAAGGCACTACTAAAACCAGTGGTTATTGGAATATGTAAAAATATGTATGATCTTTAAGGATAAAAGATAGCTATGATAGATAAGCAGAGATGCCCCAGCAACGTACTGCTCGGCTCTCATCTTTCAAGAAGCCTAAAGTACGAGTGCTTGCAAAGCCTCCATCGTTAGCAACTTGCAAATTAATCAAACTTGCTCAAGTACAAGCTAGTGAGTGAGCAAGCGGCTGCGCAAGCCTCTGCAACTATCCTCCGTGCATTTGCGTACTTATTGCTTGCCAAAACAAATTAGCCTCGCAAGACAATATAAGCTGCTCCGAGTTTTCGAGCTACATGGAGCTCTACCGACTGTATCATTTGCAAAACGACATAAAAGAAAAAAAAAACCGAAAAAAGGTTGCGCCGCTTACGTGTGTGCGGTGGGTAGGTCGATCGATACACACATATTCGCCGCGACTGGCGCGTCGAAGCGTGACGCGCGATGGGACGGACAGCAGCCTGAACCCATGGAGCTCTCTCCGCAAATACGCGCTCAGCTCGTAAACTGCATTTTCACCTACGCGACAGAGCTTTCCATTAGCCTTTGTGCGAAACGCTTCGCCAGTGCGCGCGCGTGCACTGCCAGGCCAACTGCGCGTCAAAAATCCAGCTCTCCTCTCTCTCTCTTTTTTCGGCTCCTGTGTTGCCTGGCGTGTCCAACAGCTGTGAGTTACGCGCGCGATCAATATGTATCCTCCGACTAGTCACTTTTTTCCCTTCACTTTTCGTTGTCGACGTCGTTCGTGATCAAATCACTTACGCCAAAGTCTCGCGCAAAGTCAATGTTCTTTTGCGAGCGCGCAGTCTACCCACATAACTTCCCAATTGCGTTAGATTGGAAATCGAATCGATAATGTCAAGGCCAGATGCATACTTCTTTCTTTGGCCAACTGATTATTTTCATTTCGATAGCCTTTCTGGTCACTACATCGTGAGCGCGCTTCTTTTTTATTTTTTTTTACGAGGACCTTCGTAAAAGCTGCTTGTGCAGCTGCTAACTGCTATTCGGACCTCCGTCGAACTAGGCTACGCAGCATTGCATCTCGGACCGACGACTCAAGGCTGGCGGCACTCGCGAGCGAACTGTGTCAATTAAAAACTGCTGGTGAAATTCGTTCGGTCGACACTTATCGCGGTAAACGCTCGCGCGCGCGCGCGCCAACATCCTATTTATTTGCGACGCGTGCGATGTTCGATTTTTCAGTCAGCCGGATAATTGCTTCATTCTCTTGGGTCATGAATGCCAGCCGCGAAATCAATGCCAGCCAGCCGTTTAATCAAGACTTCATTCTGTCGCTGCGCAACTTTCTTTCGACGCACGGAGAAATTCGCGCTGGCGAGCCAGAAAAAGAGGTGAGAGAGAGAGAGAGAGAGCGAGAGAAAGAGGACCGCTAAACGACTTTTAGTGCTTTTCGCTGTTTCCTCGCAAAACTAATTACTTTCATTTCAAAGTCAAATCCAGTTCCGCGCCGCGCAAGCAAGAGAAGAAAGAAGAAATCGCTGGCGTGTCTGTGCGCGGTGATCGATAAAAAAGAGAAGCTCCGGAGAGAGAGAGAGAGAATCCGTGCCATGCACAATTTATCGACGGATCGTCATTGTTGGCGTTTCTCGCTCGGGCCCGACTTTCGCGCGCGACTCGTTATGGGCGCCGCGGAAGCGCGTCTTCCCCACGCGCGCGTGCCGACGGCATCGACGCTCGCCGAACTAATAACAAAGTAATGCAACGGAAGCCACGTCGGCATTCCGTAGCGCGTATAATATTCGGTCAGCGGGAGCTTCTTTCCGCTCGTCGGCAAATTGCCCGCGCGGTTTTGTTTGGCAGTGCGCGACAGCGCGAAATTTCATTAAAGCAGCAGGCTTTCACGTCTTTGTCACTTTAATCTCGTTATCGACGCTTGCTCTCTGCGCTGGAAACTTGATTGCCGAAAATTCCGCGAACGCGCGCGCGCGAGTGAGAGGTAGAGAGAGAGAGAGAGGAGGGAGGGGGGGGGAGATAGCGAGAGAGGTTAATTGGCAGCAGGCCTTGCAAGATAGCGGCAACGGGAGCGGAGCTTAACGTCGTTTCGATTAGCCGGCTTTCCCTCGAATCTCGAGTAATTCGTCGCCCGAGGTCGCGAGCCTCGTCCAAGAGTTCCAAGACGCTGCGGCTCGCGCGGCTCGGCGTGGATTAATAACGGATCGCGTCTAGCCAGGCGAGAGGCTCTCGGGGCATTGTGCCAGCGCCCGACGTTTCGGCATCGGCGCCGGAAAAAGCGAGCGAGGAGAAAGCGCCCGAGGCACGGGCGCTACACGTCGATGCAGCTCGTCGTCGGCGCATAACAGGGTTAAGAGCGCGCGTAAGGCAATCGGGCGCGCGGCCTTTGTCGGCGCATCAATGACGACGGGCTGCGCGCGAGCTGCTGGCGAAGAAGGCAGGCGGCCGAGATGGCGAGGTACGCGGGCAGGCTGACTATATCGATTCGTCGGCCGCGCGCACGCCACGATTCCGCTTCCTGTCAAAGCCATGCATATTTGAGGAGAGCGGCCGCGTACGCTCGCCGTCCTAACCCCCTCCCCGTGGCACCAAGGCACAAAGGCGACGCTCGGGGCGCAATGGTGGCCGAGGGAACGACACGTACCTGAGCGGCGCAGCTGGACAGGGCGCCGAGGACGAGCAGCAGCTCCAGCACCCGCGACATCCTTCCTCCTCGTCGCTCTCGCCCTCTGCCGTGCGACGGTGTGTGCGCGCGTGTCCGCGGATCGGCAAGCACCAGCACTGTCAACTGCTGCACCGTCGCTCGTTTCTCCGACGACTGTGGAACTGCTGGTCGCGAGGGGCAGCAGGCGTAATCGAGCACGCGTAATCGTACCTCCGGGCTAAGAGGCGCGTGCGAGCATCAGGATTGGCAATGGAGCTGTGGCACGGTGGCGCGCGTCCTGCAACACGGCGAGTTTCGCACTGGCGGATCCACACAGGGGGAGCACGGCACAGGCGCACACCACACGCCCCCGAAGCTGCTGCTGCTGCTGCTGCTGCTGCTGCTGCTGCCGCTGCTGCTGGCGCTGGGTATCGAGTTGCGCGGCCGCGCCTGCGCCCTGCTCCCCAGCTGCCCCAAGCGCGCGCGCGCGCCAGCGACGTGACCGAGGGCTGCTTCCGAGATCTATATGCCGCCCGCGCGAGCCGCCCCTGCCCCTGTCCCCGCCCCGCTCGCCGTGGCCGCAGCCGAGGCAGCGAGCTTTTCAGCCCGATGCGACGGCGACGGCGACGCCGCGCGGCCGGATACTTTGCGTACCTCTCGACTCGCCGATCAATCGCTGCCGCGCTGCTCGGCGCGGACGTCGCCTGCCCTGCTGCGCGTCGCTCCGTTCCTCGTCGCTGCGTTCTCGCTGTAAGCGCGGACTCGCCACGACGCCGCGAAAGCGCTACGCCATTACGCGCACCGCCTTTATACTCGAGAGCTTTCCGAGCCTGCGCTTGAATTATCATCCAAATTAGACGGCGGAGAGAGAGAGAGAGAGAGAGAGAGAGAGATAAAGATTCTTTCTTATACGTCGCACGGCCGAGCTGCTGCTGTCGGTGCCACTGCCGCCGATGCTGCGATAGAAATTTCAATTCCGCGTGCAAAGGTTCTTCGCTTTCCTAATTGCTCTATTTGTTTTACCCTTTCGTCGTTGCCTACGTGGCCTTTATTAAAACGCTCGAGACTGTCGTAAAGAGAAGGCCCACTTCTCACCAATTTCATAATACCCCTCCCATTGTTCTTGATTAAAATGCGGCACATGACAGTGGGCCAAGGGAGGAATTTGGGGTATATGTCTATTATTTTATTTGCCCGCGAGTTTTCCTCCTTGCTGAGCCGAAGCCACATCTGAATTTCAAATGAGGGATTGTTAATACATCTAAAAGGTTCAAGAGGGCATGGAATATTTAGGGATATAGGCTTTTCTTCGACGAAAAATGCGAGTGAGAGCGAGCTTTGGATGTATATACTTGCTCATGTACGGCAGCTCTCTTGCATCACGTAAATGCTCAAAATAAGTAGTACAAATCTGTTACCGTGCGACGGAAAAGCTCCGCCAGCTTGCACGCCCAGTGTCTGATATTATATCGCATCAATCCTCATTACGCTTCACTCCCTGGATGTACTTCGAGTCAAGAATATGCAGAGTCCGGGAAAGTCCCTCAAGCTCGCTGAGAAACTGAGGCAACAACCGATCTACAAGCTCTCTCTCTCTCTCTCTCTCTCTCTCTCTCTCTCTCTCTCTCTCTCTCTCTCTCTCTCTCTCTCTCTCTCTCTCCATTGCAGGGTAATTCTGCTTCGCTTTTTCATGAACTAGTATTAAACGTCTCGTGTCAAAGTTGGCCAGCGAATCGACAATAAGCGAGAGGCCTGCTCGCAGCCGAGTCGCTCCTGGAAAATGAGCAAAGTTCAGCGCGAGCTTTTTTCCGCGTAAAGTAAAAAAGGCGGACAAGGCTGACGAAAAAGCGGCCTCGCTGTACGTATTTGAGTAACGCAGCTCGCCGGCCAACAATGCGAATTACATCGTTGTTGGATTTTTGTTCCTCGTCGCCGCGATCCCGCCTAGAAAAGAGCAAGGAAGCGGCGAAGAAGGCGAAGAAACAAAAAAAACAAAAACGAGAGAGAAACGAGGTGAACAAAGTTGAAAGCGCAGCACGTTCGCTCAAAAATAACTGCACACGAGCGCTCGCGTCAATGGAAAGTGGAGAGGTACGCCGCGGTATATATGTATGTGATCTCTCTTTCTCGGGGAATGAGCGGGAGGGGGGGGGGGTGGCACTTGTCTAGCCTCATTCTCGGCCGCACGCTTGTGCAAGCTGTCGCTCGCAGCAGGCCAACGAAAAAAATTTTTTTTTATCCACCTGCACGCAGCTACGCTGTACAAGTGCTGATTGTTCGCTTTAGCCCTTGAGCGGAAGTACGCGCTGGCACTGTGTATGCGAGTGTGGATCGCGAAGGGATGTACATACGTACATTGTGTACGGTACAAGCGCCTGCGTACAAGCACGCACGCGACACGCCTGATGTTGGTATACGTCAGTGGCGTGGATTGTTGTAATGTGTTGAACGCACAGCTCTACACGGAACCGACAGCCGGAGGGCGCGCACGGATTTTGGTCGATACATGCAGCGGGCGATTTTCAAAATCACACCTTTTTCGCTTGCTTACGTTAGTAATAAATAAAGAAGGCGTGAGTCTTCAGGAAGATCGATTTTCACGACAATCTTTCAGAAAATCTTTCAGAAAACATAACTCCTTCAAACTGAATAAATATTTAGCCTAATTTATTTATCACACTGATGGAATGCAATACCTTTACTCCGGAAAACAGTCGATTTTAATTTCCATATAAAATGATTACTATATAACCTGTAAACATTAAAAAGTATGCGGAATAACTTCGAAATCGATATTTCTTTATACGTTTTCTGAAAAGACGGAATTAATTGTTATATTTACTAGAATAAATTTGTTACCATAAAAACTTATTCTTAGAATTCTACAAAAATTAGTAACAGTAAGAATATTCTTGTAATGAGATTGATTAATGGCGCAAATAGTTTTCTTGCAAGTTGTCGACCTTAGCATAAAAGATTCGTGTGCAATAATCCAATTGTCACGGTCCACTTTTTCAATAATAACCTTTCATACGAGGTCTGTCTGGAAAGTATCGGGTCTACTTTTATATCTCCGCGCCATAGTGTTCGAGCGACTTCTACGGGGCATGTGTGTGTGTGTGTGTGTGTGTGTGTGTGTGTGTGTGTGTGAACTTCAGCAGTAACTATTGAACAGTAAAGCCTACCTATCGGTTATTTGATGACATCTGCCGCGGACGTATAGTTCATGCGCAGCGTGTTTTTGTTTACAAAACTATTTTTGAATTCGTCGGATTTTGTGATTGTTAAAAATGACTGGAAATCAGCAAAACACGAATAAAAGAGTGATATATCGTTTCAAAGGGGGCTGCACTTTTGTTGATAGTGATTCTCGTTTTGGTCGACCTTCGACGACAAAAACATTGGATAATATTAAGCGGGTACGACTTGCGATCGAACAAGATCATCGTATGACTGCGGAAACTAGAAGAAGATCTTGGAATACCAAAAACTATAATTAAGGAAATTTAAACCTCAAATTTACAGCAACCCGTTCGATGATGAAGAATAGCGTAGAGATATAAATGTTAGCCCGATACTTTCCAGACAGACCTCGTATAAACTCTGTACATATGAAAATTGCACTGTCTCCGTTTTTATGGCACGCATTGCGTAGGAGATTTATAAATATGACCGTTGGTGCTTAATATTCAGTATTAGCACATCAGACAATAATTGATATTACACTCGAAGTAATAACCATCCTCAAATATTGATATATGATACATTTGCCAAAATCCAAACTAGCATACTGTTGATAAGCGAAGTTATACAAAGCTATTCTCTTTCGTTTAACGCTCAATATGTACATCATTTCGAGTTGAAATTTCAACGTTTATAGCATGGAATGAGTCGGATTCTGTCTGTGGATGGGTTTAAAAAATGTATTGTACAAATAAACGTTATTTTCAAATCTAATTTGATGAAAATATTAAATATGCTTATAGAGCAGGCAAGCGAGAGCAAAAGGTCATTAATAAAACTAGAGCACTAAATTAAACATCAATTTACTAGTATAAATGTAATAGTAATAATTTAATGAAATACTAATGAACTTACCAGAGACAATCAAGAAGAGCTGTTCCACCAGTACTTATAAAATATAATATGTTGCATTGATTTTCGTCTGCGACGGCGCGGATTCTCGGTCACTTTCTCTCTTTATTATATTCTCTCGTTAAAGGAAAGAAAAATGATTACGTTTCAGAGCGTAACAGAATAAGCACATTTTATACGAAGTTAGTTATTAATTTTGATTGATTACCACTATATACAGCAAAAATTGATTATGTTAATACAATTTTTTATTTATGTTTCAAGTATAAAATAAAGTTGCCATTCTTCATTACTGTTCTAATTTACTTGAAATTTACTATATAAATTTTATTCTATTGAGCTACGTTTATGATCCCTCTTTATATATCTCTAAATAATGCGATAAAAATACTATAAGTATTTCGATTCATTCAGTGCAGTATTTTTCAATTATTTCTGAAAATTAACTCGTGAACATAAACAAAACTTCACCTACTAAGCCAAACAATTGAAAAATGATAATTCAACAATACATTAAATTTAAAAATCACACTACTTTATCAATTTACAATGGTTTTCTTGGTATTATATTTGAAGCTTATAAAGCTTGAAGTAAATGATTATTAATTATTTATATACTTATTATAGATACGTATAAAGGGCTTTTAAAAAATTTGAGTTTGAAAGAAATTTTATTTTTGAGGAATGAGCAATTTACTTTCGGTAAATACGACCGTTTGTCTTTCTTTGATATAATACACACAGTTCAACCTCAAATAATTATGCAATTGCGATGGTCTTATATCTTTCTCTTCAATTATTAAATATGGGAGCAATATATTTAATTATGAAATAGACGGCGTCATGGACGGATGATTGAATGTTGAATTGGTTAACTTTACAAGAATCAATCTAAATTAAGTTTGTCACTAGCTTACGTTAAAAAAATTATTTAGTAATAAAGTAGAGTTATAAAATAAAATTTAAAATAAAAGAACAAAAAGTAGATAAAATATAAGTTCATTTCTTAGATAAAAAAAATCAATATAATTACAATTTTTGATATTTTCTTCGGTCATTAAAAGCTATCATTGACATAAGTAAAGCTTAACATTACTTACTCAGAAATCCATCAACTTCCATTTTATGCTGATCGATATTCTAATTTATTATTTGATTTAACAAATAATTATGCTTAATTTAATTAAGTAAAAAAATTGACTATTGAATACTTAATCAATAAACCATACTTTCAAGAACAAAAACAATCAAGTTAATTTTTATCAATATCATTTTATTTCACGATTAATGATAGAAGAAATTAAATTACATAAAAAGTATTGGTGAAGAAAATTTTTTATAAACATATTTGCCAAAACAGTTATCTATCCGCCTTATTGCTGATTATTAAAAGTATTTCATATGATTCACCCATTAATATGTAACGTAGTTTTGAATAAATCATCGACGGCGGTAACATATCTCTAATAATTTTATTTGCATGGCTCAATGCAGATTTATACAAGATTTGCAATAGCATAGTTTGTTTTTGTTATTTACTACTGCATCAACTTACTAGAAAATTTCTTTACTCTATACGCTTGACGTACGGAAGTCCCGAAATAGGTTGGTTGTCTAATAATCGCATACGTTCCAACTGTGCAAGTTGATTTTCTTCACTGAATGACTCGGGCAGAGGGGCGTAAACTGAAAGTGTATAGTAAAATTAGGTTTGCTTTTTATAATCGTATTTTTTCAAACAGTAAATATGTACCGTATTTTTTGAGCCATACGTAAAACCATATCGATACAGTGACACCCAGGCAGGTAATTCCTAAAACTGATTTCCATTCTCCAGTGGGTGCTTCAATTTCAGCAAATGTTTGCCTGAAACTTGCTCTGTACAAGAGTTTCTTCTCATCGATTGAGAGCTTCTTCCAATCACCTTTTTCCTTTTCTTTCAGCGCCTAAAAAATTGTAATAATAGATTTTTGGTATACATTATTTTATGATACAAATAAGAAGAAATTGATAATTTCATATAATTTTGTTACCTGGATGTCGGGAGTGATCTCTTTGTATCGAATTGCAGGCATGGGAAAGTCTGTTACATCTATGTAAGTAGGTTCTTGATTAATTCCTGGCCCAACAACCTCACGATTTCCAATTTTGTTGTGAACTGGGTAATATGAACGTGTTTGCACTTTGTTTGTACCATGTCGTAAGAAAGTTGTCAAAACTCTCGCTGCCATTTTAAACTAAAATTTAATAAATTTCATTTATAATTCATCAAACTTAAATATAATGATTAATAATTACATCTTTTCAATATAAACTATTAAGTAAAATTTGAATAATGATGACAACTTAATATGTTGTATACAGTACAAAAGTATATTTTCTTTAAAATTTCTATGTATTATATAAATTTCTCTAAAGAGATAAATAATATAAATAAATAGAATAAATTACTATGTATTGATTTCTTGTACAAAAACAAAAATTTATGTAGAAAATCTAATGTAAAGGACTTAGATTTCTTGTATAGAACTCTGATGCGGATGTTTCAGTTCTAATAAAACATCTTATTAAAATCAGTTGAAGCATAAATTGTTCCTGACACTTGTATTTTATCATAAAATTTATAAAATACAAAATGTGATTATGCCAAAAATGCATCATTTTATTTCTAATTTATATGGAATATTGTAGCATTCATAATTAATATTTTCATAGATGAACAAATATTAAAGTGTGATAGTTATAAATAAAATTGTAAATGCTTATTACTGAATCTACAAGAAAATCAATACAAACAACCGTAAGGTTATCAACTTCATAAAGTCACAAAGAACGTTACATTCTAAATTACAAGTACATTCAGATAATTCGGCACATTTTTTTTGTTGGTTAGTGAAGTATTACCACCGATTGAGGAATCACATGATGTCTATTACAGACGATAAATTTTACATTAAAATAATATAATCTCGTATGAGGACCACTAAAACGCTATCAAGTTGAACAAATTTTTAATGAGTATCAACGGATATTACAGTTCTTTAGAATCCTCGATTATCTCTAAATTGTTCGTGTTATTGGAGATATGAGCCGAGCTCGGTTACCTAATCGTTTTAGCGAGGAAAATGTCTATTAGGACTACAGTGGCCAGTGTTTTGATTCGTAACAAATTAGTGTAGGATTATCTTCGCTATTGCAATAAAGATTTTGTAAAGCACAAAGCCTAAAGATTCAAGTGACACTTGTCAAGCAATTGAATTACTATTAAAATTACTTACGTTAAATAAAACACGGAATAATCGCAGCTGCGGCTCGCGTGCTCAAGCAGAACGGCTAGCTAAGGACCGATTATTAAAGTGACCTATAGAGGGAGCTAGACTTCAGATACAACTACTGGTACTGGTACAGGTATACTGGATCAATGACATATGATGGCAATTGGCAATGTATAAATTTTTATAAACCAATAAAAACACTATTAAATTCAATACTGAATCAATGCATACACTTATTAGAACATATTCAACATATATTCATGCTTATTTTTGACAGCGATGATGCATATTATTATTATTTTGATGACCTAGTTAAAGTGATAGTACCCGTTGAATTTGAACTTTCAACAATAATATCACGTTAATTGCTATCAAACGAACTTCCAATAATTTTATGTTATTAAGTACTTCAAATATACCTATAAATATCAATATCATAATTCTTTTTGAATGTATGGCTTGAGTGTGATTAATTTTGTAAATCGATATAACAATTTTCTTCAATATGAAGGTTATTTTTATAATTAAGGTTGTAATAAAGCAGTAGATTTAAAATTAATAAAAACATGATTGTGGTTGCAACAAGTTTATAAGCAACAAAATTAAACTTTATTTTAATATTTGTTTAATCATCATAGTTCAATTCTATTCATCGAATGATTTCCCGGATATTTTTTTGAGTTTTGAAAATTTAAGGAACAAGCACCATTGAACCATATATAGTGTTCTTCGTCTGCTATACTATATATATTTGTTGAAATTGAATTGATGACACTCATACACACTCTCTCACACACACATACACACATCCGCGTGATTCGTCTCATGCATAAGAATTTTAGTTTATTTTTCTAACCTGAAAAAATGAACGAAAGTAATAAAGATAACAGAAAAATAATAAAAAAGTCAGAGTTAAGAGCTTCAGAGGAGCACAAAAAATTAGCAGCGTTTATAAAAAATATTCATCTACAGCTTCGTATTGATTGTGAAAAACATGGAGCGAATGAAGCATGGGAAATACACACTTTGCAAGAAGAAAAATTAAAGGTAACATTTAACATTTTTCTCAAATTTAACTAAAGGATATATTTATGATTTAATTATTTGTGTAAGAACTATTTCTCTTTTCTAGAATTATGCTGAATCAATGTATCAATTAGCTACACAACATTGGGCAATAAAACCAAAAGAAATGGATCCTATTTCTTACTGTAGAATAGAATGGATTAAAAATCAATGCAAACATTATTTTACAGAAAGAGGTATGAAAAAATTTGATGAAAAAGAAAAGCATTTAATGCGTAATTTTGTTCAAGAATTAGAAGATTTGGAATCAGTGCAGATTAAAACAATAATAGAACCAAAAATATGTGTTTTAGATGTTGGTAGTTGTTATAATCCTTTTAGGCATGACGATTTGTTTTCTGTTACTGCTATTGATATAGCTCCATATTCAAAAGATGTGATAAAATGTGATTTTTTAAATTTAAAAATAGATAACCAAACAGTGTATTCAGAAGATAGAGGGATGTTATATGAAATGCAAAAAGAGTCCTTTGATGCTGTTATTTTTTCATTATTTTTAGAATATATTCCATGCCCAAAGCAGAGATTTTCATGCTGTGAAAAAGCATATCAGTTGCTCAAAAGTAAAGGAATATTATTAATTGTTACTCCTGATTCTAAACATGCAGGAGCAAATACTAAAATTGTAAATACATCATGGAAAATAATTTTAGCTCAATTAGGTTTCATGAGAATAAGTTATGAAAAATTACAACATGTCCATTGTATGGCATTTAGGAAATGTTTTTATAAAGAATCAGCTTTAAAATGCATTAATTGGAACAAAATTCCTGATGATAAAGAATTATTTTTCTCATCTCGAATTTTCATTCCACAAGATTTTCAAAATAAGAAAGATCAAAACATAGATTATACTGAAAAGACTGTCAAATATAGTATTGATGAAATAATAAGTTTATTTAATGAACTACCAAGTGAACTGTAAAATAACAGTTAAAACTTAATGAATTTTTTAATTAAAGTGTGTATGGATTGGTTACAAACAATACTGTTTTTATATTTTTGTAGCATGGATTATTAGAAACAATTTTAATGATACATCTAACTATTGATATTAAATAATTTATGATAAATATTTTATAATATTTACAATCAATAATTTGGATAAAAATGTGATATATAAAATTAAAAAAATATTCTCTATTTAAACATATTCAGCAAGCATACTTTTCGCTTCTACAAAAAGCAGATTTTTAAGGATAAAAAGATGAAATGAAAATAATGAAGAATTTTAAGGATTAAAAATTGAAAATAAATTAAAAATAACTATTATTTTCTTATGAAAAACAACACTTTATTTTATCAGTCACATCGTATTTTGCCGTTACGATACTATATACGTACAGAATGAAGAGACTGGAACATTGGAATGGCTTTTTTTTGATAAATGTAGTTGATAGTTTCATTGTAGTAATTCTACTTTATACAAATAAAAATAAATAAAGTACAAAATAAATTAAACGAATCTTAATAAGGGACTTTCTACATATAAGGAGACATTGGATGTCGAATATTGGTCACCAAACATTCATCATGGTGAAAAAAAGATAGTCAAATGATATATTATTGTACTAATAATATTAATATAGTAGATTTATATTTTTTGTCATTGCTCGCATCCTGTGCTATAACGGACGCACCCAGATATAAACAAAGAATTTGTTTTTTAACTCGATAATCTTGGTACACATACGATGTCCGTTGTCTTCTTATGTAGAATAAGTCTAAATGTACATATCATTGAACAAGTTTGTGCAATGGCTTCAACATAATTATTGTTCATTAAAATTTACATAGGCATTTTAATTGTTTTCAAACAAAAGCATTCCACATTAATTATTTGTATTTGTATTCCTCAATTACATCAGTATAACAATTAACAGAGCTGGATTTATCTATAGGTACTTGGGACGGTTATATAGTCCCGAGCCTCGGGTCCGAGAGCGGGGGCTCGTCATATATGCAAATAATATTGTTCAAACTTTCCAATGCAATTTTATAAAATTTGCAATGTACTTTGAAACTGAAAAGTTTTTGAAAGTATTTTCTAAAAAATTATCTTTATTTATTTACTGTAGGTATGTACACTCAATGATGCATATAATAAAAAATTATTCAAAGCACTTATTGTCCTTTAACATTATCTTAATCGAAAAGAACAAGAAACAATTTATATATAAATACACGGGTATTTTATTTGTGTGTGTGCGTGTATATATATATGAATAATGATGGGTTCGTGGAAATGCATACTTAGACATGCAGTGTTCCCTTTGTTCATTAAAATGGTGAATAGTATATTCCAATACTAGTGCGAGAAAGTATCATTTAGTATCATTTTAGCCTCGTGTGAACGTTTGTGTTCGAGCGAAGCGAGGGTAACGGGACTAAAAGAAGTTTAGAGAAAGATGAAACTAAAGATGAAAAAAATGAAACTAAAAGATGTTTTTCATACAAATATATTAAGACAATCGATTGTCAGCACTGTTATAAGATTAAAAATTGAAAGTAAATTGCTCAGAATCATCGATTTCCATATATTAACCCATTAAGGCCCAAGCCGAAACTGGAAAAGATAGCGTCAAACTAACTACGCCATTCATAGCATATCGAAAAAAAGTTACCCATATTTTTTCTTTTGCCTTTTGCAATTGTTTGTAAAAAGTTATTTAAACAAATTACCAAAGAAGTCACTATGTTTAAAAACTAATTACGGCAATCGATTCTACGGAAATAATTATGAAAGAAATGTATTAAACACTTTTTCATCAGCTTCAATTTGTTAGCGTAAAATGTCCATGAAATGTGGAATTTTTAAATCTTTGGTACCCTAAGGGGTTCAACCTATTGTTTATTGCTATTTTACAAATTGAAGTTTGGTGAAAAAGTGTTATAAACATTTCTTTCATAATTTTTCTCGTAGAATCGATTGTCGTGATTAGTCTTTAAAAATAGTGACTTCTTGGGTAATTTATTTAAATAACTTTCTAGAAACAATTGCAAATGGCAAAAGAAAAAACACGGGTAACTTTTTTTTTCGATATGCTATGAATGGCGTAGTTAGTTTGACGCTATCTTTTCCAGTTTCGGCTTGGGCCTTAATGGGTTAATTGAAACTTTTATTGATCAAAAATGTCGAAAAAAAAGTCTTATAAATAGTAATGATAACAAATACTGTTCAGATTTATTGGAATTGTTAATATCCTTAGCTATCAGCCGGGTTTTCGAATCTCTTAAGTGGGCTTTTTCTAGCCCCGGACCTTACGAGAGTTAAATCCGACTCTGGTAACAAGATTTGAATAAAAAAAATCTCTAAATCATAATTCACAATGAAATTTAATCGCAAACTTAATGAAATTCTAACAAGTAAAAATATCAATCATATAAAAATCAATGAATTAAAAAATTAATCGAACTTTTTAAATATCAATGTCATTAAATGTACAACGTAAATATGAAACGCTTTTGTAAAATTTGTTTTTAGAGCTTTACATTGTACTAATTTTATACGCTTAGTGGTAACAGCATTTCAGAGAAATCTGTAGCATTTCACAACTTTTTTGTATGCATTGTATAAAAATTGTATAAAAGTTTTATAGACTCGTATATATACTTAATACGAGGAAAGTCTAAATGCTTTTCTTACTTCTTTACCATGAATAGACTATCATATCTTTTTACATAAAAGAATCTAAATAACATTTACAGATGTATACGAAGAGGTACGCTATTTGACTTGTTTTCAGCCTTTAGTTCAGACTTTATATTATTGAGAGATTCAAAAATGAATTTAAAAGTTGGCCTTTCAGAAGGTTTCCTGTTCCAGCAAAGTTTCATGAGCTCATAAACCGACTGTGGAGTATTATCTGGACACTGAAGGACATTTCCTTCCTTGATGTACTTGACAACTTCTTCGTGAGTCATCCCATAGTAGGGCTGAAGTGCAAAGCTGAATATTTCCCATAAACAAACAGCAAAAGCCCAAACGTCAGATTCTACCGTGTATTTGTTGTATAAAATACTCTCTAGTGGCATCCACCGTACTGGAATGGCATCCTGTTCATCTCCTTTATAGTAATCTTGCAAGTAAATTTTTTGCGATAAACCAAAATCTGCTATTTTTACCACCATCTCATCATTGATCAAGCAATTGCGTGTAGCCAAATCTCGATGTACAAATTTCCTGTCAGATAAATAAACCATGCCTGAGGCAATTTGTCGGGCTATATTTATTAGGTCCATATGTGAAAGTCGTGAATCCGTAAAAGTATCATCTTTTTCGATGTTCCGTACTATATAATTTCCTGGAGAACATGAACGTAGGAATTCATTTAGATCACCGCGTCCCATGTACTCAAATAAAAGACACATAGGTCGCCCAAGAGCGCAAACTCCGAGAAGTTTCACAATATTAGGATGATCAAATTCAGATAAGAGACAAGCTTCTCGTTCAAAGTCTTTCAGCAAATCATCTGCAGCTTCCTCTTTCAACATTTTTACTGCAACATTTGTAAATTCTTCACCAGGTACGAGACCAGGTGCTTTGGCTTGAAATACTCTTCCAAAGGCACCCTGACCAAGATCCCTTATGTATATTATATTATTTCTAGGAAATTCAAGTTTTTCCAATCTTGGATTCAATGGAATATTCGTTTTATGATATGCATCATTATCCGGCAGCTTATTCAAATCAATATTGACTTCCTAAATAGATAACACGATTATTAATATAGTTGAATAAAGTAAATATTTACTTCAACTTAGTCTTTCAATATTATTTTAATAATACCTGAGATTCAGTTTGATTGTATCCTTGATGACGCTTTTGAAATCTTTGGTTTATGAGAACAATCAGTAAAAATATAATAACAATTGTCAATATTAAAACTGATGCAATAATTATAAAAGGTGGGGCCAATAAATTCGCTAACTTAAAATCACTTGAAGTGTTTTTTATGTCTCTGGTAGTTATGTTATCTAAAAAAATTAAAAAATTAAATTTCTGATTTATATGAATAATAAAAAATAAAACAATATTGATATTTCATACCACACAAAGGAATGTCACAATGTTCCCATCTTGTACTAGTATCCATTGTAAAACACCATGGCTGTCGTTCATCTCCTCCAGCATTTCGACAATAATTTTCTCCATCACGAATTTGTGGAAAAACATCTGGTGGACTTTCATGACTATGTGGTTTTTGATCCCTCCACATTTGGCATGGTCTACCACTTTTTGTTGTATTCACAGTACCCATATAAAAGCGTCCTTGACCTCTATAGCAGTCATCTATAAATTTTAAGATCATTCAAAATAAGTATTAAATTTTACGTTATTCTCAATTCTAATTAGTTTTTTGAAATTTTTTCTAGATTAATTTAACATGGAACATTAAGTTTTTGTTAAAGTTTCAATAGTTAGTACTTACATGTTACAAGTTTTTGATCAACAACTGTCATAGAAGCATGTGAGCACATCATTTTCTCTTTAGAAATCTTTGGTAACTTTTCACATTCCGGTAGTCTAAAATGACCTCGAGATCTTATATAAATCTGCCTTAGTTTATTATCTTCTATTAGAGCCCAATCATTGAAACAAAATTGAAACTTTAAAGCTATACAATCTTCATAGCAAAGAGGTAAACCAACACCACCTTGACATTGAGGGAAGGCATAAAAGCACAACATTTTCTAGAAAAATAAAATAAAACTTGGCACACATTTCAATAACAACTTATAGTTTGTACATAATAAAATATTACCTCTGCAGCAGAACGGCATGGTTCACTTAATTTTTTTATCAATTCTTCCCACAAATCTGTTGTAATTTTTTCATTCAACCATCCACTTGGGTTATCAATAGAATCATTGAACCATACTGTACCAATGCCAGTCAAGTACTTTTTACAAACTTTACCATTATATGGAGCACAGTAGCCACCTGCTTGATCTATAAATGCAATTATATAAGTAGCTAGTTGATCTTAAGAATAACGGAAACAATTATAGGGTAACTTACTAGGAGCGATACCATGCACAATATGTAAACTAATGCCTATTATCAGAATGTTCCAAAACATCATAATGTACATTTGTCTTTTTCACATTTATATAGTTATAATTAAACCTTCAACTATGTGTTGTCAGTCTCAATAATTTTTTTTATCTGCATTTCTGATAAAAATAAACTTTTTCCAAGACTTTTCGTTTGCTTTGTTTATGAAAACTTGGAGTATTGATTACATTTTTTTATTATCTTTTTAGTCAATCTTGGCAATTAGATATCATATAATTATTGGATTTGCGTAATTGATAACCATTTCGTATTTAAGCATTTTGTATTAAACATTAGAGGAAGAATGTAAAGTTATATAAAACGTGTTAATGATTGCAACGAACATATTAACATATCAACAATAGAGCACTGCAACTAAGATGCTTTAGGCAAAAGGCGGTCACACCAAGCATTGTACACGATATTTCGGTTTTTTTAGAGACGAATGACAGTCCACTTTTAACCATTGATAAGAAACGTAATATATTGCTTGGACAACTAACACTACCGAAATAAAATTTTACAAAAATTATGAATCGGTGAAAAATTGATTGACTGATTACTACTTATTCTTGCGTGTGATTCTTGGAAAATTATATATAATTATAGATCTCTAGGGGTGTGTGGTAAGCGGCCGCTTCCCTCGTGAAAACGCGCCGGCATATGTAGGATAGAGGGCGTAAAACTTGGGGTGAATTTTGAAATTCGTTTGTTAAAAAGAACAATTAGAAAAACAACGCTTTATTAAAAGGAAAACTATGAAAATAACGAAAATTAAAAACAGAAATAACATTATTACAATCAACTTATCAGAAACATAAATGACTTTTTTTTGTATTGTTAGTACATTTTTATTCAGATATTTTAACATATTTTATCACAAATCATCAGTTTAATTTTCCAATCGATTTTACAATCATGTAAGATTGAAAAAAAAAATTATCTCATGATTATTTCTTACCTTTTTCTTCCAAAAAAAATTAAGACTATAATAAATTTTAATTTTTTAAATAGAATTTCACTTAACTTAATACGTTAGAAAATTATATACAAAGTGTTGCTTGTTTTGAGTAAAAGATTTTCCTATGCAAATGATACAATGCGTCAGTCGTTTGTAAAAATATAATTCATACAAAAACAAAACTTGATGACTGTAGCAACATGATAAGCACTTAATTTTTATGTGTAAAATATTTTGTAAGTAAGTGATTAATATCAACTTGAACTTTAATGTAACTCGAATATAACTTGAATGTCATGTTGGAAAACTACTTGATAATTTATATACTTTCACCAAGCCCATCTGTTTCAGTAATAAGTGCTCGTTCTAGAATAACTTTTCCTTCTTTATACTGTTGATTCTTGTCAGTAGCAAATTCATACATCCATCCGAGTTTGGCCTCACAATTTTTGCAACTCACATCACGAACCATATGACGTCCTGTTAACATGACTCTATCTTGGACCTCGCTATGAAAAAAGGTTCTTTAATAATGAATGTAACATTATTTTCTTTAATGCAAATACAGATAGAAAGAATATGTAATAATTCTATTTAAATGAAATAAAATTATGAATAAAACAATACTAATGCATGACAATAATTACAATTAAATAACATGCTTCAATAGAGTCTATACCAAATAAGGTATGAAATTTAGTGGTAAACAAGCATTTTTAATTTTTTTAACTCAAATAACGAGTTTTTAATGAATAAATAGATATAAAGAATGACTTTATTAGTTCTGAAATAGTAACTTGAAATAATTTTGTAAAGTGAAAGATCAGAAGAAAGTATTGCAAACAAGACACGTACCTGTACTTGAGGTTAACAACCTTGTTGAAGAGAAATGCTCGGCCAGTTGCTCCAGTAAATCTTGTGCTTATTAGCTGATCTCTGTTTGTTAAATTTGTATCGCAAGATGCACATGAAAATAGTCGGGTACCCCCAATATGTTCAAGAAATATAACACCCATTATTGTTTTTACATTTGTGCCTCTTTTCGGTAAGTCGCTTGTTTTCCTCTCACCCACACTCTCAACTTAACTCTAACAGCGTCGACAGCGAGCTCGGAGCGAAAGTGTGTGTAAGGCACGTTAAGTTACGTCCATAATTATTTTTTACCGAATTCAAAAAAGAAGGATGTACAGTGAATTAATTTTAGATCGTCCAGTCTATTATTTTCTTAAAAAATATTTATTGTTTAAAAATGTTGTTACAAAAATATTTTTTAGGATTGGAGGTTTGTTTACGTCACTTGACAAATGAAAAATCACAGCTCAGTATTATTTTTGAAACATTATTTTGAAACATTTATTTTTAAAGAAACTAATAATCCACGATGATCTAAAATTGATTCATAGTACTTCGATCGGTAAAAACAATCGATCTACATTTTTTTTTCAGATTGAGAGCACTACACGCGATTAAACTTTGGAACGAACTCGACCCATTAATTTACATTAGTTTTGTATATGGAAGGGTAGGGAGCTTTAAACTAAATTCAATGGGGCTCATTGAATGGTGCATATGTTTTCGAGATGGTCCTATTTCATTACTTGATGGAAGAATATCTTTGCGAGTAATTGTAAAGAAATAAACTTGGAGTCGGTCTCTTTCGGACATTACTTGTTTGATCGTGTATTTTCTGTTTGAAAAAAAGTTCCGGCGAGACAAGAATGAAAATTCGAATTTTTTCAGTTTTTCAAATATTAAAATAATTCTTATTTTACAAATAATTGTCTAATTTAATATTGTTAATCTATTTATTAAGAGCGTTCGAAGTCGTGAAAAAGAATCTTGGTGGAAATAGCCAGTCGTCTTTTCTTTACGCGCTGACCAACAGCCGGGTGTAGTACGGTCGTCAATATGAATACGGAGGAAAAACCTATAGATAAACCGAAGCGCACGCGATCAAGAAATGGTGACACACGCACGTGTGACTGTGAAAAGTGCGTGTTAAATAGTAGTTCTTGGTTTTGTCAACTATTTTTCCTCAGCTGCGTTATGCGTGACCTGTTCTCAAGGTAATTGTTAAGTATTTCAGTAAATATAGTGAAGTGAGAATAAGTCATTTAAGATTAATATTGTTAAAAAAAAGAGAAATATAATGTTTATATCTACGTACATTGTAATAAAACCCTGTCCTCTTTCGGAACTCCTCGTTCTAGCATGTACGAGTACAACGGAGTTTCCGTGACCGCGAAGCTAAATTCAGATACATAGTTTTACTCTTGGAGTCTTAATCTCGAATAAGATCTAGCTGGGAGTTTATTTTCCGTAATGTAGGCCTATAGACCAAAAGGATGTCTAGTAAGGCCCCAAAAGTGAATAAGGAGAGATAAGAAGGATTTGTCTTGTAAGCGTGCCTACGTGCATAACGTTTCTAGGCATTCGGTGCCTGATAAGGCAATCCACCATTAAAAATTATTACTAAGTGTATTACTGTAAATTCAAAGAAAATGATAATTAATAATTGAAAGAAAAAATTGTAAAATTGAATTCTTTAAATGAAATACTGTATATATCTAACAATAAATTAACATTTTACAATCTATAAAAAAAACTAAAAATGTCACTCTAAATTTACTAGAACATTCAAGTCATTAAAAAAATCATTAATAGATTATATAACTAATATAAGTTGTGTTTATTTAAATCATATAACTTATTAATTGTACTTAATTTATTGTGTAGCATTTCAAATATTTCGTTAGTTTGTAATTTTATTTTAATTTTACATAAATGAGAACCGAAAGTGGAAAATCATTTGATCGATTCTGCATGAATCATCTAATAAAAAAGACAATCAATATTCCATTTCTCATCATCATGAGTTCTCTATTTATGTGTTAAATAATGTGATCGTGAGTTTAAACTTTTGAGGATTTTGTCATTGGTACGCATCACGCAGGCAAAATAGCGATTTATACTTGAAATTGGTTTATGATCTCGAGCACAGTTATTAATAAACCACAACAATTACATAAAAGATATTTATATTTCATTTGGTTCAGTATATATATGACAACAGATATTATTCGGAATGATATTTGAATATAACACACTCACACATACACATGTATGTATGTATATAAAGTCGTCTTATTCTACACCAACAAACTCAACATCTATTTCGTTTAAGGACTTGCACACTAATTAATTATTCACATGATAAGATATGTTTACCCACAAAATGTTTAAGAACAAAAATATGAAGTAACAGAACTGCTTGCATATATCGATGAGTCTTTATCGCATTGGTGATCGTGCATATCTTGACTTTATCCCGATTGGCGTAACTGAGCTGTTTCCAAAATAATTTTGCCCTCTTTATATTGCTGACTTTTCCGATAAGCAAATTCGTACATCCAGCCTAATTTTTCATCGCAATTTTTACAGTGTACGTCACGCACGTAATGATAACCAGTCATCATGTTTCTCCGTTCTGATTTGCTGAAACGATCGATAAAAATATATTTACGTGACTTATGAAATACATGCAGTTATTTATGAAACTTTGTAAAAAAAAGTGTCTGAGAGAACAATTTATGCAAAATGAAAGGATGCAGATACTAAAAAAAGGGATTATGGAAAGAAAAGAAAGTTGGTGCACGATAGAAGCATATTATAAACAAATCACACCAGCGACGCACGAAATTTAACTAAGAGGCAGACCAAGCAGCATAATATAAATATTTAAAGTCAACAAAGTTGCGCAATGAAAAGGTATATAAGCAAAGTATTACTTACCCAGGTTTGATATTGACCACTTTGTCAAAGAGAAAGGCTTGGCCATTGCCACTTTGAAATTGAGTGCTTTTTAATTGTAATTCGTTGGTTAGATAAGCCTTACAATTTTTACAGTCGTATTGTCTCGAAGGGTCACCCATTGCCTCTAGAAATACTACGCCCATAGTGCTCTCACTGTGTGTCTCTTTGTGCTGGATGACGAAAAAATTCCAGAACAAAACAATGTCGATCGCTGTCAAAGATCGATTGTAAAATGCGATGCTAGCTGATTAAGAGCTTTTCCAAGCATGTGTGGTGATTGAATAAAACGAAATTTGCTCATATGTGATATTTGTCGACAATAATATTAGCCAAGAGAACTACGACAAGTTACTTCAGCATACGTGTATACACTTATAAAGCAGAAGAGCCAAAAGCAGCATGCGTTCACTCTCTTTGTTTACAACGCTCACTCGTCATACACTGAGCAGCTGATTTCGACCATTCCCAAACGGCCAATCACAATGCGCTTTTAAACTTGTCCTTTTTTTCACCTGTCCATTTATTGACTAAAATAGCACCAGTATGTTTATGCGTTATAATATTACAGAGATTTGGATTTAAAAAAACCAAAGTATTTAATAATTCGTGAAATATTGTTTGAAAAAACAGATGTCTTTGGAAAAATCGATTTATTCAAAAAAAAACATCTACAATTTTTTTGCACTCTTTTATTATTATATAAAATTTTAGAGTAACTCCAAGTTTAGCCCAAATAAATATTATTGCGAATATTCCCGATATAAACAAAGGGGAGCACAAACCGCTTGAACATTTTTGACAATGGATTTTCAAAACTTAACAAGTCACAACATTTTCTGTGGTACAATTTTTATTTGTGCATTGTTTTACTTTTAAAATTGCCTAACTTTCTGAAATTTCTATCACTGTATTTTTATTAAAAAGTAATTTTCAGAAGATACTGTCTTTCAGTATTATAAAAACAAATTACAAAAACACAGATATCATAAAATAATTGTTGCACATTTAAAAAACTGTTTATCAAATTAGATATTTGGATTAGGAATCTCAAATAGCCAAAATATGTTTTCTATACAGACTGAAATTATATACTTTGTAAAAGATTGTACAGGGTAATAACTCATTCAGCACTCCCCTAAATGTAATATTTAAATATAATCTAGGTTGCAATTTAAAATTTCATATTCAAAGTTGATTTCATATTACCTAATAAAAATATCAGACTATTTAAAACTAACATTATTTGAATTGCATTTTTAAAAAGAAATATAAATATATATACAGTACTTTCAAATTAATAAGTACTGATCAAACAAATAAGTTTTACTATAAAAGTAAATGACATGATTTTGATTTAAATAAAGTATGCACTAATAAACGAGCAATCAAAAAGATAATTTTCACTATTAATACATACAAATTATATAATTCTCAACATAATCTTTTACAGTCCAGGCATTATGTATGCAATGTTTTCCAAAGTTTTTGATAAAGAATTAGAGTTTTGAGTACCAATAGCTGGAACCTGTTGTGTAAGACACATCAAACTACCAAGAGCACACAGTAGTGAATCCAATAGCACCGAAAGACTTCCAGAAACTGTTATTTGTCCATTATGTTCTTTCAATCTTTCACCGATCACTGTTAAACTTTCACCCAATAATTTTAAATAGGCAGCTACATCAATGGGTTGAAGTTCAACAGCTCTGAAAATTTTCATTTCTTTACTTGGATCGCGTATTGCATCTTTGCTATTTCTAACAATCTGAGATGGTGACATTTTCTTAGCATCTAACTGCAGAATACCTTCTGATTTTTTTTTTGGAGAATCAGGTGACAAAGTTTTGGTTGGGTCTGTAAAATTAGATAATGAGCTAATGTAATTTAATAAAATTTGAAAAATATTATTTTACCTAAAAAGTTTAAGTATTTTACATACTGGCTTTAGAAATAAATTTTTTTGTAGGTGTTAATCCATTTATTTTTTCAGAAAGACGTTTGGCACGATTACTCCAATTATATTTTTCCATGTTAGGCACTGTAGCCCATAATTCTCCTAATCTTTTTGATATAGCTGTGAAATCTAATCAGAGAAAATAACACATTTACTACAAATCAATATTAATAAATTATTTACTCAAGATAAAACATTTACCCATTGAAGGAGATTCTTGTAATAATTGTTGTCTCATTTCTTTAGACCATAACATGTAGGCGGTATATCTTGTTTTCTGAAATACAATTATTGAATTAAGATATTAGATGTTAAAAATATTTATTTATTATTCCATTGTACTTAATTACAGATTTTGGTGAACTTATTTCCTTCGGCTTAGTAGGTTTGGGAAGTACTTTAGGAGGATTAACTTTTTTCTTTATTTTTTTTGGAGTTGCTGTAGACTTTTTGATGGATATTATTTCATCATCTGCTGGTTCCAAAGTATCAAAGCTTAAATTTGACACTTTACTAGTAGAATATTCAGCAATATGTAGCTTTTTACCAGCTTCATCATCATCAGAATCAGAATTTGTGGATTGTGATTGCGTTTCATAGTCAGAACTTGATTCGATTTTTTTCTTCTTTTGTAATGTCACTGGTGGAAGTTTTGGGCTATTTTTGGGAGATGGTATGGATATCTTATTCGAAGGTGGATGATGTATTTGAGCTACATGAATAGTATGAGTAACTTGAGGAACTGGTGATGAAGGCTGTTGCACTTCTGATTTTTTCTTTCTACTTTGGTCGTATGTATTCTGTAATTTCAATTTTTTAACTTTGCTTTCAGTTACATTGCTTGAAGATTCAAAATCCATAAGTTTTGATGACTTCTTGCGTACTCTGCCACTCCTTGAAATACCTGTTACCTCAAGTTCTGTAAATATATCAAATACTTAATAATATAGATATTAAATACTTATCTTTGGTTTAAAATCAATAATTAGAATAAAAAACTAATCATTGAAATGAAGTGAAATTAAAAACCAGATATCAATTGAAAGATTGTTGAATAATGAATTAGTCAAAGTAATCTATAATACTCACCATTCCCTTCACGTTTTAGGGTAGCGAAGGAATCCATCATAAACTATTATTTTATAAACAAATAAAAACTGAACTATTCTATTACATAGGCTTATAATACATATATCAATATCTAATTGCACAATTGATAAACTTTATCAGTATTGCACATCTCGATTCATCCTTTATAAAATAATACATTCAAATATCAGACCAGCAATTCTCAAAAACTTTTAATATGTTTAAGTAAGTTTTTTACTTTTACAAAATAATAATTGTTAACACTATTTTTAAAGAAAAAACTTTGTGATGCACTCCACTTAAATTCCGTAAATTAATACCATATAATGCACATTTCTTAGATTCTATTCGTTTTCTAATATTTCGAAGCAAAATCACTCTTTCAATAATTGTCTTCTAACGTTCTTCAATAACAACATATCCACAATTCACTAGAAAATAAAAAAAAACATTCTAAAAAAACAAAGCGTCTCGAGACGCTGTTTTGACAAGCCGATTATAGCGCGCAATCTTTACAAGCTGCGCGGGAAAAATGAAGATTGATGATCAATAGCCACATCTAATTTTTCAACACAAATAAAAATGTGTTAAAATAATCGATAACTTAATCGTTTTAACTCGCTACATATTAATTATAATAAAATTGAAAATCTAAAGTTGTGTGTATTTTGTTTCGACTTAGCCCTAACCTCTAAGGTATTGATGTGATGACCAATGCTACATAAACTATACATACAAAACATATAGCATAATTGCTTTACTTTACTTTACTAGATGGCGGTGGGTCTCTGACTGAGCGCCGATAAGCCAAGATAGCATAATTGGGCAATGGGCATGCGTTAGTCAGACATTAATTTGCAACCCGCGAAGTTCGAAATCAGAATTATTTTCGACGATTGAGCATATCGATGGCAATAAACGGGGTCAAGAGCTTATTTTAACAAGATATGTACCCTTGAAATTTTTCTCTAAAAAAAAATCCATTTGATGTTATCGATGCTCAATCATCAAAAATAATTTGGATTTTGAACTTCACGGGTTGCAAATTAATGTCTGAACAAAATCGTAATTCGCAATAAACCGCAATCTTGTAATTATCGGTAAGTTAGAAATTTCATGATTAATAATCATATTTGCAAAATGGTGCAACTGTAGCTTGTATAAATGCTATATATATAGGTATATGGATTGTGTGTTCTGGCGATGAACTTTATTTTGAGGATTGTTTATGACACGTTATATGTGCATTCAAAGTTAAAAAAAATTAGACGATTTTGGATTGAACCGCAATTACATGAAAATATAAAATATAAAAAAATAAATATATGGAGTATTATTCCAATATTTCAAATGAAATAATCCATGCAGATGAGTTTTTTAATTTCATGGGAATGATAGAACAATTCAATAAAATACTGCTACATCTAATATGTCATAAGCAATCATCAAAATATTTATTCACACATTTGTAAGTTAACAATTGCAAGAGCTATCTACGTTGGAAAATAAAATTTATTTGTACATCATTTTACTCTCTTTATTGAATTACTATTTACTATTTCTTAATATCAATAATGTAGAATAATAATACGATCAGTACGATCTCTGATCACAAAATCAAAAAATATATATTTATTGATTAATTAAGGTTTGATCAATGAAATGTTAAATTCAAGAGTTGGCAACAGCAACAAAATGTATGCTTGAATGCTTTATGCCTGCCGCATGCGGCATGTCGCTATTGGCGCTATTTTAGAGATTATACGCGTCTATGACTCTATGCCCTATGGATTATATCCAGTATGGTGGCATGGCGCGGTATAAATACCACGTGTTTTAGAGTTGCAGAACAAATGTAATGTCATTATACATTAATAAATATTATTTTTCGTTTTTTCTATTATCTGTAAAGATAGCCAATGAAATAAAAAAATGAGTAGCAGTCACTTGAAGGAATCGTAAGTATTTTTTAAATAGATACCTTTATAGTTTACTAAAATAAATCAATTTCATAAAATAAACAAATCATTTTAGGTTTGAGGTGGAGAGTAAATATGAGGCTTTTTATACTGGAGGAAACATTGAGGTAATTAGAATAAGATTTGTTTGATATTAATTACACCTATAAATTATTTATAAATTAAATAAATTTTATAGTGGTGTGAAGATGGAGAAAACCTTTTTTGTCAGAATTCGGATTTTATATCCATAGTTTCAACATCAAAAGGTGCAATAAAACACAAATTAGGTCAAATTAAAGAAGATGAAGATAAAGATACAATTAATAGTTTCACAGTTAGCAAAGATGGCAATTTTATTGTAACACATCATAAGAGTACTTTATTTAAATTGTGGAATGTGCTTGGTAAATATTCTATTTTGGTATATAATTTTGTTTTACTATATTGACAGACTCAAAGTTAACTTTGAAGTATAATTTCTTATTCATAATTAATTATATTCACAGAATGTAAACCTATAAAAGTTTGGAAGTCAACTCACAATGGACCCGTATCTGCAATAGTTTTAACACAAGATGCCACAAATATGGCATCTGGAGGAATTGATGGATCTGTAAAATTATATGATATTTCACATCATACTTGTACACATAACTTAAAAGGTGCTCAAGGTGTTATTGGGTGAGCTTGAATATTACAAATAATACGTATGGATAATTCCAATAACAATAGATGTATTAACCACTTGAATTTTAAATTGTACTAGTATTGTTTGCTATCATCCTGAAATGGACAAAGAATTAGTTTTTGCATCTGGTGATGATTATGTCATTCATGCCTGGAGTACTAAGACAGGCAAAAAAGAAATTCGTTTAGAAGGACATTTTAGTAAAGTCACAGCATTATCCTTTCATGAAGATGGAGTTCATGCTTTAAGGTTGATTTATAAATTACATATTTTATTTCCATAAAGCAGTTCTTTTTTTCATAAAAGTTGACTTTATAAATACAATTTTTGAATAGTTCAGGCAGAGATAAAGTTTTGATACTGTGGGACTTGGTGAAGAAAGCATCAATAAGAATTAATCCTGTATATGAATGCATAGAAGGTTGTTTTATCATTTCCAATTCTGCAATTTTACCCATAAAAAAGAAAGAATCAGCAATTTATGCAGCCAGTGCAGGAGAAAAAGGTGAGTAATTTAAAATGGTATTGAAAAATAAAATTGTGATATAATTTTTAATCACTTAAAAATTGATAACGTTAGGTGTTGTTAAAATATGGGAAATGAAATCTGGTCAATTGGTTTATGAACAAACTAATTCATTGATACCACCTGCTGATGAAGAAAATGGTTTAGCTATAAAATCTTTGCTCTACAATAAAGACAGTAATAGTATTGGGCTTGTTTCAACTAGTCACAATATTTTAATTTATACATTGGATAAATTTGAATGTAAGAAACAAGTGAGTATGCATTTATCTTAGCCTATGCAATGAATTGATCTGATATTAAATTAATGTTTGAAACAGTTAATAGGATTTATAGATGAAATTTTAGATATTACATACTTAGGAACTAATGATTCACATTTGGCTGTAGCAACTAACACTGCCGATATTAAACTTTATGACTTATCTACAATGAGTTGTCAGATATTAAGTGGTCATAAAAATATAGTATTGTGCTTGGCTTCAACTCCTGTTAATCAAAATTTACTTTTATCTGGTGATAAAGTAAGTTTATTGTATGAATAATGTTATTTTTGCCTAAAAATAAAAATTATTTTTTATTGTTTATATACAAATAATAATTACTGATTTCAGGATCATTGCGTAAAATTGTGGGTAATGGATGAAGAAACCAAAGTGGTGACTTGTATAGCTTCAGGAAATCGACACACTGCGCAAGTTGGGTCTGTTGCTTTATCTCAAGCAGAAGCTAAGTTTTTCGTATCTGCTAGTCAAGATCAAACTCTTAAAGTGTGGAATTTACCTGAAAATTTATCATATACTGGTCATTATTATATCATATGTTTATTACTAAAACATAAAATAAAACTAGTATTACACCAGAATTTCACTAATAAATTATTATAATAAACAGGTAAAGAAATCATCTTTGACTCTCCACGCTCTATACTAGCCCACGACAAAGATATAAATTGTGTGACAGTATCTCCAAACGATAAACTAATAGCTACAGGTTCTCAAGACAAAACAGCTAAGGTAAACATAAATTATGGATGCTTCTCAGTTAAATTCTTAACAATAAGTTTTTATGAACTCATTATTGAAAATGTATGTTTTCCTGAACATTACAGTTGTGGTCGGCTGATTTACAATTATTAGGAGTTTTTCGCGGTCATCGACGAGGCGTTTGGTGCGTACGGTTTTCCCCAATAGATCAAATATTAGCAACTTCCTCTGCCGATTGCACAATAAAGCTATGGTCTATTACTGAATTGAATTGCTTAAAGGTTTGTATTTCAGTCGTTAGTTAAATTCACTTTTAATGGTTTTATTTTAACGTGTAATTTTTATCTAAATAAATTTTTTTTACTTGTATTATTTCAATTTTTGCGCAGACTCTGGAAGGTCACGATTCTGCTGTATTGAGAATGGAATTTCTGTCCCGCGGAATGCAAATTATTTCTTCTAGTGCAGACGGTTTTCTGGAATTGTGGAGCGTTAAATACGGAACGTGTGATCTTACCTTAGATCAACATGAAAATAGAGTTTTTTCATTGGCTGGTATGTTTTTCATTAGTTTATTCTTGAAATAGATCATTTTTATAAAGTCATCCTATCAATTTCAATATAAAGTGAATAAGACCGAAAATCGTCTCGTGAGCGGCGGTAGTGATTCTTTACTGATTATTTGGAGAGACACCACCGAAGAGAAAAAAGCTCAAGCTCAAGCATTGAAAGACCAACAAGTACTTGATGAGCAAAAATTAGCAAATTGTTTGCAAGCTGAAAAGTTGACAAAAGCACTAAAATTAGCTCTTAAACTTCAAAAACCACTACATGTTTTCCGCGTAATAGAAGGTAAGGATTGAATATGATTTCCTATAATTTTCAGTTGGAAGCTGTGATTTAAAAATATGTTAATATATAGCATTAGTGAAAAAAGATAGTGATGATCTTAACTCTACAATCTGTGACTTGAAACCATCACAACAAGAGGAACTTCTGAAGTGTGCTGTTATTTGGAATACAAATTCTCGCAATTATCAAGTAGCACAGGTATAGTCAACTATTTTTGCATCACTGTGGTAATATATAATATTTAATTTAGAATATAAAACTTAAACTTTTTTCAGCTTGTTATCAACATCATTCTTAACGAAATTGGATTAGAGAATCTTCAGTCAGTAGATTTGAAAGCAAAGTTAGAATCAATGATACCCTATACAGATCGACATTTCAAAAGACTGACTCGACTTTATCAAGATTTACATCTGCTAACATATACAATAAACAATATGAAAGCTCATAGCAGTGTTGAAGATGTAGTTGATAAGTAAATGCTATTTTAGTTAGAATTTAATAAAGTAAAGTTGGAATAATATTTTTACAATTAACAAATTTTATATTTATATTTGAAAAGTACTTTTCATTTATAACTCCTTTTTTCATACCTCATACTTTTGGTATTATTATTATTATAGTGAATTTAATGGGCATTCTTTGTTGATACCATTGTAAAATGGTAAGAAGAATGTCCATTAAAAATTCTGAATAATTTCAAAGTTTTAAAGATATTAATTAAAAGTAAGATATTTTTTCACTTTTTGAATCAAATATTGTTACATACGAGAACAAAAAGATTTCATATCATCACAATGAAAATAATAGGAATTGAAAATCAGCGTGTGACTTATTAATGTGTTGATTCCTAAGTGCTCGGCGAAAGACGATCTCGTCACTGCTTTGCCAATCTAATAGCTAATTTTTTAATGACAGTGCTGTGTCGATTTTCAAGCACTGTGCTAATCAGAAGTATTTAAATTTTTATTAATTATACAAAAATTAGTGAAATACTTTTTGCAAGAAATTTAACTCCTCTTTTCAGAAATAACTTTGAATATGATATTTACGTTGGAATTACCAAAATCGAGTGGTTAACAAGTGTTAATAAGCAACGTACTTACACTTGTTGAAGCAGATAATATCGTAGCCGTCATGTAATAATATACTATTTCATAAAATGAACTATACGCTTATTAAACACGCGATGAAACATTTTTTCTATTGTTCATATACGGCATGGGTTCTTTGATGTTTGCGCCGTTCATATATATAGTCGCGTTGTCTAGAGTACCTTGTAAATTGCAAAATCTTGGTTTGTTGGCGAATAAAATTTTACATAGTAATGCTTTGCCCCGGAGTAGTAATTAATATAAAAATATATACGACTAAAAAGCATATTTAACGGTTAATCTAGATATACATATGTCGTTATTCTCGGGGAGGGGGAGATTACGATTTTCATTTCAAAATATAGAGTTCAAGAGAAAATCCTCTTGTGATAAGAAGACTTGTTTTTTCCGAGTGCAGAAAGGAAACAAAAATGATTGCTTTTTAATGAAGGTTTGAAAAAGAAAAATGGATCTTGATGCGTTGACGTCAATTTTTAAAGTTTGTCATCCAAACAGAAAAATTAATGAAAAGTCTGATCAAGACCGAGAGATTGGCAGATGTTCTGGAATATCTTCGCCGAGTTAGTCGTCTGCGAAAGTAAAAAAAAGTGGAACGATTGTAAACATTTGGTTATTGACATAGCTGCTACGGTAAATTTTGCGGGATACGCATGAAGTCTCAATTAAAAAAAAAAGAAAAAGAGCTTTAATCGTTAACTCCGGTAACAGCTGACAAGATCGGCAGCAGTTTGCGATTAATTGTGATATCGCACGGCTGTGGCGGCGTATTGTACTTGTCTCGCGCGGCACACACGTAATGAACTATAGCGCAACGCCAAAGCGGCGCTTAAAGACGAAAAGCGATCGCAATATAAAAGTGGGAGTAGAGCCCGCCAGCAGCCTGGGGAGTAGTGTGCCGCAGCCTCCAGAAGCATTGTCACCTGCGCGCGCCGAAGGCACCGATCTCCAGTCGACCGAAGAGAATGAGTTTCGGCTCTTTCTTCCTGCTCGTCGTCGCCTCATCATGCGCGTCAATCCTCAACCCCGTCTACTCTGCCAGACAGTGAGTGCTTTGCCGATACTTTTCATCATTGTAGTTTTGCTTCGTGAACAGTGTCATGCGTGGGTTTTCAGTGGCAGGCGAACGCGACTTTTTTTTAGGTTTTTCTCAAACGACCGCAAATTACGAAATCGTCACGTTTCACTTGTAAGAGCGTTTGGTTTTATCCATTCAGACTTCGATTGTTAATTGTTCTCTCGGCTGTGCCGTGTGCTGTCACCTCTGTCGATAAGTCAACGCAGGACAGTTTTTTTTCTTTTCATTATTTCGTTCGTGCCAGTAATTGCTGTGCTAATCAATTTTTTGCTGTGAAGATCCACAATTGATTCATCAAATTTTAATATGGAATTGCTCGAAGTTTGATTGACAATTTTTGAATGGGGTATCGAATGAACCATCGTAAGTTTGACAAAGATAGTGACATTTTTTCCTTTACGTTAGTTTACGTTATTCTTGTGAATCTGTGTGCTTGTGTGTGCATGTAAAAACTTGCTTTATTTACGTGAGGAATACAATGGATTTTGATAATATTGTGACGTGTGCAAAAAAAGTATTGCAAACGTTGAGGTTTCAGAGTACATTCGAGGTACGAATGAAATATGTCAAAACATCAAAACAGTATAACGTGTAAATTGGTATTTGTATTAATTGAGAATTTCGGTGTTTAAATTGGTTTGCAACATCGTCGTGCACCTTGTTTACGTTGTCAGTAGCTATTGTATTTTCAGTTGTGCAAAAGGTAATTTTCAAAAGATAGTGAATGTAACGATTCCTCGTCAACCTGATGATCAATTCGGGAAAGAATAAGAAAAAAATGTCTTGTTGGTAAGAAGATGCAAGAGTCACGTCAATTAGTGCTAGATATCACAAAAGACATTGGATATAGAGCCACGAACTTGCTTCTTTTGAGTTGTTTGAAGAGTGCATGAGTCATTGCGAGTTTCAAAAGGAAAAACTCACGCCAGTACTGATTATTTTGTTGGAATTAACGGAAATTTTTAACGACCTTACGTAGAAATAATCAACCGTTAATATTCTTTTTTTCATTCTTGTTATTACAATCCATACGAATTATCCAATATCCCACGAAATATTTGAAGAATATAATTGCTCACTGACATTCAACCAACTTACTGGCGTGGAAAATCAACCGCTAAGTTTCATATCTGTAAATACCATCTGTAAATCGAGAATATTTAGAGAACGATGTGAACGTTCAGCATAGTTAACTATGACCTCATACTACATGAATAATAATTCGTTACACGAATAATTTGGCACGTATTTTGGCAAAAATATCCAGAATGATCAAAAAAATAATATCGAACAGAGCACGAGCATTGATTTCTCAATGTCTCAAAAATTCCCGAACCCTCAAAGAGACCCACGAAAAGTAGATCGTTATGGTTTTCGGATGAAGTTTCCACAAAGTAGGAGAAGCGCGCATCGAAGCGTAAAAAATCTTACGTGCTGAAAATCTTACGTGATCAAACAGTAGGATATATTTGCACAATGGATAGAGGAAGGAAAAAAAAAATAAAAGGGTACGATTATCAGCGAGATGACGAGGTGTTCGTGTACAGAGATGACGCGTGAAATCGTACCCTCGAAAAATCGGAAAGCATTCTTCTCTCTATTTTCCCGATGTACATAATATCACGCGAGTACGAGCATTATAACGCTAGCACACAACGGCGCGCACTTTTGAGTCACGCGGTTCAGGCGTTCCGCTGCGTCGCTGATAATTCAGCATAAACAATACAATATTTGTATTGGCATAAATCTCGCGCTCGGAGCAGGCTGATAACGCCGGCGACGCAGCTTCTCTCGGCTTCCTCCAACGTAGCACTGTTAGCTTTTCAGGGTCTCTCTTTCTGCCTTGCTTTACGACATGCATTTTATTATTAAGGCAAAGAAAGAGGCACGGACGATTTATATCGAGGAGGAAGCGAAACGAAAAAAAAAAGGCTTATGCGTCAGCGCAGCATACAGATCCCGTAACCAGCCGCGGAGATCGAGAGCCAATGACGATTTGCGAAGGTCTCGGTCGCGCTTAAGAGCTTTCACGCCTGTGCTTATTTCTTCATTCTGCGATCTATTCGCCGCTGAGTATTGAACGACTGGTCGTTGACTGCGTCGTAATCTACCGATCGCTTAAATTGGTGATCCTTTTGTCTGGGCTCTGAAATATCCGTCTGGAAATGGTGACTATCGCAAGGACTTCTGAAAGAAGCCGACAGATCTCGAGTAAGGCCAGACATGTGCATGTGGCGCATGTAAATAAACGAAAGATTACTAAAATACATTCTGTATAGATCAAGTGAGTTATCGCGAAAGATCATGTTTACGTATACGACAACGTGAATTACACCCGCTGTGCTTTCAACAAAATCAATATTTAAATTGCAAAAGCCTTTTCTCAATGACAATAACTATAATCTTAACATTGACCGGTTTCTTGTCGCCCATAGCTTGTTATTATTTTCACGAGCACGCTCTGAACATTAAACGTCGCAAGTTTATCTGTTTCCTTAGCTGCAGGCGATTCTCGTGGGAATTCCCAAGAAAGCTAAACCACAAAGCAACCTTGAGATATCGCAAAAATCTTCTCGTTCATTTTCAATCTCTCGATAGGCATATGCTTTCTCGAGAACGAAGATACATTTGGATAATAATGCTGGGAAAATCCTGAATCTGTACGCGCTACGACATGACTTTGGTTTGCAAATAGGCAAGAAAGCTGTGAAAACATGAGCGTGATAGGACCACTGACGCAGACGGAGCTCTTGCAACAGCTGACGAGCGAGTGTCGTTACGACAAAATGGTCAGGCCGCCGGGCGAGCAAGACGAACGAGATCCCATTAAAGTCTACGTCCGAGCCTACATCTACTCCATCAAGTCTAACATGGCCAAGACTTTGGTAATTATAACAATTTCGCTCTTGTTTCATTATTCATTTGCGAAAATATCTTTTTATCAAATACATTCCAACTTTGACGCGCACGCAACAATGGTTGCGAAACCCGTTACATCGGCTCTTTATTTTAACGCAGGGCTGCCCACTAGACTATTCACGATTGTCCGACTGATTAGTTTTATAATTGATATTGACTCACGCAACGATATTTAATGATTAGGTATGATTGAGCTATCGCCGAGATATGAAACCAGTATCTTATAAGTCAAATAATGCTGGTAATAAAGTTTTTTCTTCCACTGAATCAGTTTAAAATCCTTGCAATTGCCGAGTCAGCCTAAATAATAGAGACAACAGGCACACAATTATGCAAACGATTAATAAAGCGGCTTCGGTTAAAAGATGCTAAGAAGCGAACTTTTGATAATTGCAGCAATTTGACGTGCACATGATGTTGCAATTCCGTTATTTAGACAACCGGCTAAAGTTCGAGGACATCGCGCCTCATCAGAGCCAGATCTATGGTAGCCAGGCGGCTTACGATCTCATCTGGACGCCGTCCGTCTATGTTGCTAATGAACGTAGCTCTGCGTTGATGGGCAATAGCGTCAAGGATCTTCTCATTTCCATTGATCCTACCGGTATGGTAATCCTTAACACCAGGTCAGTGGCATTGTTCATACTTTTTTAGTTTCAATGGGACAGGCCATGACGTGTGAGGTACCTGTTTGTCTGTCATTTTTGAGCAACACTTTTGTAAAGAACAACGTGTAAGAAGCCACTATTGCAATAAAAATAGCTCGCTGAGCAGGCAAAATGTAAAGCTTATATATCAATAGATGAAAACTGAGAACAAACTTTTTTGATAAGGAAAAAATGCTTGATTAAAATCAAGCCAATTCAAAGTTATATATCACAATGATTACTTCATTATGAATAAAATGACACTTTTTGTGCGTAAAAAGTATTTTATTTAACATTCCATTAGCAAATTTTTAAATAATATAATTTTCAAACGGTTTAACTGTTTTCGCATCGAAAGAATTTAATCGTAGTGTTAATTTGTTGATATTATAAAAGCTCTAAATTGCTTGATTTACAGGATTTGGCCCCACGTCATTGTCTCTTCTTGATAGCTAAAATTAACGGTCAAACAAATTAAAAATTAAGTTTCATTTCTTACGTGTCATACGTTTCTTTACACTTTCATTCATAGCACATTGCTTAAAAAGTATTTACTTTGACACTAATGACGTTGATAATGCAAAAATTTCAAAAAATTGGATGATCATCCATTGTAGCTACTTGTAAAAATCTTACGTAATGTCTTTCAATATTTACAATAATTAGAGTTTTCAAACAAACGACTTCAAAGAGCAGCAGTTTAACGATTCTTTACGGTTGCGGTATAATGAAATATTAACAAAAAGTATATCGACTATTCTTTTTTTTTTTCGAATTATGTAATTTGAATTTATGTTTTTTCCGTCATTTCAGATTAGAGGCTATTCTCAACTGTGGTCTGCGACTTGAAAAATTCCCATTTGATGTTCAGGAGTGTCCATTGGTTTTTGAAAGCTGTACGTTAGATTCTATAAAAATGTGAAACATTTTCTTATTTTCCCTTTTATAGCGTGTTCGATGATTTTATATAAGTCAGCACAATGCATTCACGATATTATAGAACGTAATTGAGACGCTATTCAAAAAAATGTCAGAGTCGCGTTCATTTTCAGGGACACACAACGTTCAAGATATGATTTTGAAGTGGGACGAGGCTCCTATTATACTGGCTGATGAACTACATCTTACGGAGTATAGATTAGTCGAACAATGGGTTAACCAATCAGAAGTATCGTATACGACAGCGCAACAGCATTATGGACATTTTGGTGAGTACTGAAAATCCAATCAGGGTTTGCGGATTTTTTATTTTCAATTTCGCGCTACTTCAGATGATTGCACCTGATGGAAAATTTTGGTTGGAACATTGATACAAGTTAATTTGAAAATGTCAAACAATGTCAAAATGAACCAGTATTATATTTCTTGTTGAATTTCATCGATTTTTAGTATGACACTAGTCATCAGCATAGCAAATGCACGTTTTGCCAAACCTTGTTGACTTTTTCGAAAAGCGATGTCATTATATAAAATGATGTGCAGAAATGTTAATTTAAGCAAATATTTCTTGTATTTTTATCAGGTGTTTGATATCTGGCTTCTTACTAATATATCGGCTATTGAAATAAAAATTAAGGATGCGTGATTAATAACATTGCCAAATAATTTTCAGCTGGAAATTTTAGTTCTATCAACATAACATTCAAGCTTGCTCGGGAAATGGGCTTCTTCATGATGGACTACTATATCCCATCTATCTTAATCGTTGTTATTTCATGGGTGTCGTTTTGGTTACACGTTGATGCCAGTCCTCCCAGGATTGTATTAGGTAATAAAATCAACCTTATAATCGTGTCGCAGTCAAATTTACGTAGCTAGCTAAATACTTACGCATGCCATAAATCTTTTTATAAACAGATTTGCTGTCATCATACTAAAAATTTATTGTTACGTATTTCAGTGAACGAAAAATGTGAGCCTGTCTCTTAAACGCTCTTTTTCTTGTCAACAAAGATTTCTGTCTTCTTTAAGTTGAGATCACTATGAAATTTATTTGTCCTTTGCAATCAAGCGCTCGCCAAAACACCTGCTATCAGACACGTGCGTGCAAGCTACCGTTAGATATATTTTTTTATTATCTGATCACAAGGTAGAAAAACGCTGTGTATTTTTACTGTTGAATGTTTTACTTCCCTCGGCTGGGTTCTCCCAGAATGACAAATGACATTGGTCTCTTGAAACTGACATCAAGCGATTGCACGTTAACATAAATTTATCTTGATATTCTGTAACAGTAGTTACAAAATGCCTCGCAATTAACAATTGAAGAAGGCAGTTCATGACCTATATCTTTGTCTCTACAATCATAAATATTAGTTGGAAGCTTAATATTGCGAGGATAATCGTATCTAGTCAAATTTTTACATTGTTTATACTTGAAATCGTAACTATTAAAAACTCTTTGAATAAATTATCGACTATAATGGTGAAAGCTGCACAAAAAAGTAGTTGCGATGTTACAGCCTTGATTGATTCCAACGGCAACTTGAACTCTAAAATATTTGCATAAAAACACATTGCTTACTGTCCACAATATAACATCCAAGGATTCTTTTACATAAAACTACGCGAGGGGAACAATCACTAACTAACCAGTTATAACTAACTTTAAGAACAAAATTTCTGCATTATGTTTCAGGTACCAATACAATACTCGCATTTATGACCCTTGCATCGAAAGTGGAAAATTCTTTGCCAAAGGTTTCCTACATCAAAGCCAGTGAAATTTGGTTCCTGGGTTGCACGATATTCCTTTTCGCGGCGATGGTTGAATTCGCATTTGTTAACACTATTTACAGGAGAAAGTAAGTTTAACAAGTATATCTCGGATTATTTTAATTCTTTACATTGCATATCGTGACAGAATGACTACGTATTTAAACAATAACTAATATTTTTTTAATATCTGTATAATGTGTTGCATTATGCACTGCAACAAAATAGTAATTTTTTATTATTCACGTGACAGTATTAAATTTTGAAAAATATTACTTTCGATGCTCAATGGTAAATAAAAATTGAATGGATATTGATTATTTGACAAAGATGTATCGAAAAATTATCCAAAAGTTTCATAGACCTGTGGTTCATAAAATGTACTAACCCTTTCTTAATATTAGTAGTTTGCTATTTATTGTTAGAAAATTTTTAGTAATACATTTGAAATCTTTGTGTTTTTAATTCACAATACATGTGAAAATTGAGGGGTCAGCATTCCAAAACGTTTTTGTTGCCGACGCGATGCATTTCTAAGACTATCACAGATCTGACACATTAAGCTATTTAAAAATTGCAAAATGCTAATATGCATTTCAGCTTCACAGACAGGAATCTGATAATAGATTTGCAGTAATAAAATTCAAATTTTCACGCTTTTTATATGGAATATCAATTACAATACTGGATTTTGGCGATACATCACTTTTTCAAGATAGATTAGGAAGAGGGGGATTATTAGAACTTAAGACGTGAATTATATTACAACGTTGGTTTGAAATCGCAAAACAGGTGGTACTCACTAAAAATTTCTACTTTCTATATTGCAAATTGTGCAAGTATATTGCAAGATGACTATGTTTAGCGTTCTCACGATATTTTTTGTTTTGGTGTGCCTCACATAATCCTTGTTGCTGATAATAATTATCTTTTCAAAGCACAGTCTTACAGATTGAGCTACGTAGAGCGCTATTAATAAATATACGAGGACAGGTAGTTGATTCTCAAAGCTTTTGAAAATTCGTTTATCTTTACAGCAAGCACGGTAGTATAGCTTTTTTCCTCTTAGACATGTCCGCGCGATGATATAAAGATCTTGATCCTCAATTTTCTCATATTTCCAGTAAACAATGTAGACGTTTGTACGAATTTGATAAAGTACCATTTACACGGTGGATTAAAAAACGCCTTTACATCGTGTCTCATGTACTTTATTTATACCTGGACATTTAATTGAATTACTGTGTATTATTTTTACTTCACTGAATCGCTTGAACGTTATTTTCCAACTTCCATGGTCAATCTAGGCAATATAATAAAATATTTTAGAATTTCATATTTGCAAAAGTATATATAGATATCAGTTATCTGGTATTGCGAGCAAGTATTTGAACTAATGAAATTTGAAGTATACTCTAAAAATCGTCGTTTTAATTTCTCGATTAAAATGGTATTTTTGCTTTCTAATGATTCCAGAAAAAACGTGCCACTGAAAAAGGTCAATAGCAAATACATTCTCAAGTCAACACTCACGCCGAGGCTGGCGCGTAAGCAGTTTCAAAAGAACACAGGTATCGAAAGATCTCGATCCTGGTCGTCTCTCGATAATGCTGGTTACGAGAAGGATTATACCAATCAAAATTACCTTACCATCCACGTAAGTTGTCACAAGTAATCGATCACTCTTTTACCACTTGGACTCAATTTTTTCTCGCCCAATCACGAGCACGCGTACTATGTTTTCATTCGAGGCACAGCATAAATTGCAAGAATTTCACGGATAAGTAAACGTAGATATTGGTACTTGTGCGTCAGAATATGACACTTATACAAGAATCAAATAATCATACAGCTGTTTCTTATTAGTATAAGAACAAAATATAAAATCAGATTTTTTTTCAATAATGCACGCGTTGTAACACTAGCAATCACGATAAAGGAAGAGCATTTCCGTTCGACTACTCGGAAGACTCGGCTTAGTTCGTGTCAGATAATCACTCAAACTAATTAATAATTATTATTACAAATATAAAGTAATCATTAAATTGTTTTTTATAAATTAGCACTTTATGGTAACAATACTTAAAAATTAATGAAAACATATTTTAAATGAAAATTGGAATGGAAAATAATTTCAGCTATAGCGAAATATTCCATCGGTCATTATTTTTCAGATAATGAGAAATCTGTTTTTGTTCATTCTATAAAATTATATTGAGAATGAATTAGATTTCGTACGTTGAAATATTTTGGGAGCTCGATTCATTAAGATGAAGCTTTTTACACGTAATTACAATATAAAAACAATGTAAACATTCGCTTACAAATGCTCACTTCTTCGATAATCACATCAAATTTGCTTTTCGTTCGAATTTATCAAATAAAAAAGATAATTGTACAGTAAAATTATGATTTTTACAGAGCTTCCCAAGTACGATAAACGTGCCGACAGTGAGGATAGAAGATGAGAAGGAGAACTCAACGGGTAGTGTGGTAACAATAGATAGCAATCCTTCACTACCACTGCCGCCGCCGCCACCTCCCAAAAAGTTCCAAAGGCGTTCAACCCTTGCCCAGCTGAACACCTTTACAACAATGACTCCTCAGGAAATTGCTCAGTGGATCGACAAACGTAGTCGTATCGTATTCCCCGTGTCCTTTCTCATTTTCAACATTCTCTACTGGTCATTTATCTGGATATGAATGATTTATGTCAATAAGAGAGCTAAAGATTGCCATGCGTGTTCAATACGCACGTTGTACGTTCATTACGTACTATTTTTAATCAATCTCTCATTGCGACTCGATATATATGTCACGGATGAATGCCTTCCAAACATCCTACGAACACCACTTCTTAAGTGATATTTTTGTATCAAGACTTATCTGCATGTCTGCATGTATTGCATGTATCTGCGAAAATCTCGAAAATGTTGATCACTATTTTTTCGTTATAGTTAATTATTGATACTGTTTAATTAGATAAACATAAACTTAATTGTAGATTAGAGGCTACGTACTTTAAGTTTGTCATTATAAATGAACTAAATTTATTAAATTAATGATGTTTTAACTGCTAGATAAGTATATTCTATACCAAATTGTATGATACAATTGAAATAATTTAATATGTGTGAACGTTTAATATAAATAGATGTTTACATAAATTATTAATATACAATTAAAGACTATTCATTTTATAATTTTTAACTATCCGTTTGAAAAACGTACTAGTATTCTCTATACGTTATTTAAGTATGATAATATACGCGGTAGTATATAAGCTATATATAATTAAGGTACTATACTAGTAAGAATTTTGGATATTGACAATACTGTGAATTTTGTAATTTTGTGTGAATGGTGTAACGTAAATATTAAGGACACGCTCTTTTTTAAGTTGTATGTCTGTTTATTTTAATATACGTATAAGAATACTTTGAATGTACATTAGCTGTCGGAATAGAATATAATAGTCTTACATTATAATATAACTTATTTTCAAAGTGTTTCATATTCTGACATTCTTTACTCAAACTTTTAAATTTTTTGTATTTTTTAAACTAATTTTTCTTCCTCTTAATTCAACGCTAGCAAATACTTCAAGTACCTCATTCTTTTGGTAACTTTTCCTCAAATTATTGAGTTATATCTATTCGAAGTTGTCTTTACAATTATTTTTTTCAAAGGAAGCTTCTCTAGAATTTATTTTTGATACAAAATTTTTTTTTTTGGAGGAATATGACCAATTGAAAATCGTAGTAATATGAAGCGCTAAAAAATTCGTTACATTCACGTATATCACAATTCTTTAAGTATACTTCAGATTAATGGCAGAATGCGACAATTTTAGTTTCTTATCGAAACAATTATATTGACAATTGTAAACAGAATTGTTGATTTGATTTATTGTGAACTTTCGCCTAATTTTTTGAACAGAATTCTTAGATTTTGATGAGCTTAAATGTTTTTCCTTTATTCCTAGAGGTTTATTAGTTACTACCTGCATATATGTGTATATATATCCAGTTATTATACATTAGTTACATGTTATATTACCCTCAATCACATAAATCCTCTTACATTGTATAAAATATTGACATAATTTACATTTGGAGATAATTTTACATTATATTATTATATCTTCATTTACTTGAATTCTTTCTTTTTATCCCTTCTCCTTATTTCTCTCCTAATCATTCCTGATCATTTTCTTCGCTGGCCTATTTCACTTCTTTCTTTTTTTTTCTTAACAGTTTTGCAAAGCTCCTAGTATATTCGTATGTTTATCTTATTACTTTGTATTCTTTCTAGTTTTTCGATTTGTTCTTGTCCTATGTTTTCATTTCTTCAGCTATCCACTGATTACCACCACTCGTTTTTAATATATTTTTTTACTTCTTCGTAAATCCATATATGTTGTAAGTTTTCCTCTTCCTCTATGCACATTCTGCATTCCTTCTTCTCTTTAGACTCTCTTCCTCCTTTAGACTTATGCTTTCTCCTTTTATTCTTGCCCATCATTCCTTCATATATCTTGGTATTCCTGGTTTTTGTCAGTATTACTCTCTACTTAGTGAGACTTTTCAATTTTTGTAGTGTTTTCAGTATCCGGATCTGTCAATTTTGTTTTATCTTATCTGAATTTTTTACTCCAATCTAGTTTTTAGTATTCCCTCCCCACTTCCAATTAGTTCTAGAACTCTATCATTTCCTGTAAACTTGAAAATTTTAGTCCACTCCATTCCCGATTTGGGTGGATACCCGTTATTTATTCCTCTGATCTCCTTTTAAGTATATTGTTGGTAGTCTTTCCATATTCTTATTTATATTTTTCAGATGTATTCAAATATATATTTATTCAAGCCAATTGCCATTTTTGCTACTTTTCCCTGTACTATTTTCATTACTTCTTGCTATGTCCATCTCCAAATTTCCATTCCGTAAAGATAACCAGCTTTCCCAATCGCGTTCATTATGTATAGCCTTTTCTCAAGTGTGTGAAGTCTCGCCCTTTTCATTAATCCCAATGTTGCATTTAGCTCTTTCTAAGCTTTTTGACACTTTTTCTATGTATGTTCTGTGTCCTCCTTATACCATAAATCAGAAGCCTAAGTATTTGTATTCGTTTACCACTTTTATTTCACAATACCGTTCTGTCTCTTTTTCGATCTTACCTCCTTTCTTTATCACCATCTTCTTAATTTTCTTGACGTTCACCTTTCTTCCTATTCTATTTTTTGTAATGGAGGAGGATCGATAAAGCGGGTTTTTGGTCCTCCTGTTATTTGGCTAATAATTTAAACTTTATTTATTTTATTATTGTTATGGATTCTATATTCAATAATATAGCTAAATGACGCCAACTCCACTTTGCTATTCTCTCCCTATCTCTTCCCCCACTCATCTTAAAATTAGCAGGATTTTACTTGTTTTTCGGTATTTTCTTGAATTTTTTAAGGTTTAAAAAAAGTCTCATACAATGCAAAAATATAATACAACATTCTGTAATATATTGGGAGTAAAAGTTCGAGGATGCGAAATTGGAGGCTTAGCTTGATGAAGATTCTTGCAGAACGCAACAGGAACTTGCGGATTTATTGGGCGTAACTCAGCAAGCCGTTTCCCATCGCTTAAAATGCTTAGGAATGATCCAGAAAGTGGGATGTTGGGTGCCGTACGAGCTGAAGCCGAGGGACATCGAACGGCGTCTTGTCACGTGCGAACAACTCCTCCAACGGCAAAAAAGGAAGGGTTTTTTGCATCGCATTGTGACCGGCGATGAAAAGTGGATACACTATGACAACCTAAAGCGGAGAAAATCGTGGGGTCTTCCCGGCCATGCATCAACTTCGACAGCGAAACCAAACATTCATGGCTCGAAGCTGATACTGTGTATTTGGTGGGACCAGCTTGGCGTAATTTACTATGAACTCCTGTAACCACGCGAAACCATCACAGGAGCCCTCTATCGGACGCAATTGATTCGCTTGAGTCGAGCGTTAAAGGAAAAACGCCCAAAGTACGCGGAAAGGCACGACAAGGTCATATTTCTGTATGACAACGCTCGGCCACATGTTTCCAAGGTCGTGAAAACATACCTGGAAACTTTGAAATGGGACATCCTATCGCACCCGCCGTACTCTCCTGACATCGCCCCTTCTGATTTCTATTTGTTCCGATTGATGACGCATGACCTGGCCGAACAGCACTTTCGTTCTTACGAAGAAACCAAAAATTGGATCGATTCGTGGATCGCGTCAAAAAACGAACAGTTTTTTCGAAGAGGAATTCAGAAGCTGCCAGAAAGATGGGAAAAAGTTGTGATTAAGGATGGAAATTATTTTAAAGAATGAGATTGTAACGAGTTTTTTACAATAAAACCTCAAATTATTAGAAAAAACGGCGATTTTCTATTTGTACTCCCAATAGTATAATATATTATAATATAATCCAATATAGCATAATACAATATATTATAATATAGTACAATGAAATACAATACAATTCATTATTATTACTACTATTATTATTACTCAAAAACAAATAAAATCCTGTGAATTTTGAGAGGTGTGGGGGAAATGATAGAAAGGGAGTAGCGGAGTGGGATTGGTACCATTTAGTTCCTTATTGACTATAGATTCCATAGTAATAATAAAAAATAGAGTTTACATTATTGGCCAAATGCCAAAGGAGCCAAAAACTCGTCTTATCGACCCTCCTCCTTTCCAAGCTATTGAGTATTTCATGTAGATATTCTTGACCAATTTTCAGCTCCCTTCCCCCGCAGATAGGTGAGATTCTTGCTCTCTTCCAAACCTCCATCAATTTGCTCTTCTCCCATGCTTTATTTATCGATAACCTCCGTTAATGCCTCTAACCAACTATCAGTTATGTTTTTGAAAAATTCTCCTATGATCTCGTCTTGTACTACCAGCTTGCCTTTCTTTGACTTCTTCAATGTTTACTTAATCTTCCCTCTGATTATTTTTCTATTCATGATATCTTACTAACCCTAAAGTTTTCCAGAGTTTCCCCCCTTCCTATTAGATAGTGAATAAATAATTGTATTTGTTTCTCTATAAATTTTTAATAATCTTTTTTATTGGGTATAATATTCCTACTTTTTGAAAAACCGCCTTTGAACTTTGTCGAAAAAAACTTGTTTAAAGTAAAAACAAATAGAAAACGGGATAACGAAAAAGAAACGAAAAGTATATACGAAGGTACGAAAATTAAAGAGAATATAAATATAGATAGAAAAGGTAAAAAGAATTTTAAAAAATATAAATATTACTGTTTTCATTTGTTATATAACTAATTTTAGATTTCTGATATTTTTCATTTCTTCGTCGCGCCTTCGCTTATGATCAGCTGGTGGCGGCACCGGTCGGGTACCAAGACTTGTGAATCTGACGCCCAAAAAATTTTTTAATCATATTTTTAAGTTTTCATGAGCTAACGTTTTCTCCCTTTTTTCGGATTATGTCTCCACTTGAAATTTTATTTCCGGATTTTCCGTTTTTAAGAAAATTGCGAAAAAAAATCGGGCGTTCGTACAGCGCGCAAAATGCATTTAATATTTTTCTCCTGTTTAAAAAGAAATAATATCAATAGCGGATGATAGCTCGTTATTCCCGGATTACGAAACAATTTTCCATTTGTCGATTTTCTATCCGAAATTGAGGAAAATGTAAAAATTAGTAATATGCGGCAGTTAGTCGATAAAACAGGTCAAACGTTTGCTAATCACCAGATATCCCTATATGAGTTCTACATTGCGTAATTATAATAATAAGTAATTCAAATTCTACTCAATTAACCATTCACATTTGTGACGGCTAGCCGTAACTTAGTTTTTTTTTAATTTAATTTGAGCCTGCGTACTCGGCCTTACAATCAACGCTCTATCCTACTTTGTCCCACGCGCATGTGTTGACAGGAGCCTACGATCATCGCGTATACATCGTGAAGTGCTATCACGCTGATAATGGAAGGGGACCATAAAAATGCAATCTATCATTTTTTTCCCACCGAATTTTAAGAAAATATCCGTAATATTAAATAGATTTTCATCAATTTTGTAAGTTATTATAATGCGCATCTTTTTGTCACCGAATAACCAATAAATAGAACAATAATGTATTTTATAATAAATCGTAAAAGGTTTGAATTTTTCTGAATGTTTATAATAATCACTATGTATCGTTAAAATTAATTAAGTTTAGTACGATTTTGTATAAGTAATTATAAACTTTAGCGTTACTCTTGCTCTTAAAAGTGGCACTCCGAGAGCCATCTCTGGAGAAAAGGGCCCAAGTTAAAAGGGGACCGCCCTTTCTCTCTGAAAATTCACGCCCACAGACCAATAAAGAAATCCTAGATATGATTAGAAAATTTCCCACCAATACAAAATTTGGCCGTTATCGCTTCATGGGCCTGAGGAAAGGGATTCCCACCCAACCACCCACTGCTTATAAAAAGCTCTGTACAAGACTGGAGGGCAGTGTGGAGTGGGCACCAGGAAGTGATTATTATCTAACAAGAAGTGATTACCAGTGAGTAAGTGCTGAAGGAAGCATCAAAGAAGAAAAAGTCAGCCAAAATTCAATTAAGAAGCCACCCAAGTATATTCAGAATATATAGAGAGAGAAAGAGGCCAAAGAGCAGAGAGAGCGCAGCCTTAATAATAAGTAATTAGAAAAAATAAAAGTAAGTAAAATCTTATATCTGGCTATCCTTTTCTTTCTTCAAGCAATCCGCCCTTTTTTTTGGAAATTCATTAAGCGTGAGTCTGGTGAATTTTCATTAAAGTCCCTTAAGAACACATTAAGCGTGAGTCTGGTGTGTTCGTAATAACATTTGGTTATTACATTCCGCGCTAGCATACAGTTTTCTTCACGCAACAATATTGCTCGTCCCGGCTAATGTGTTACACGATAGCCAAATCAGAGCAACCCTGAGTTTACGCTTACTCCAAGCGTACCTGAGAGTGACCCCGACGTCACACATTTTATGTACATATACATAAATAATTTTTTCTAAGGTTTTCTATAAGTTTGTCAACATGCCAATTTCATAATTAATATTTTAACTATATAAAATAACATAATTCTGAACAAAGTAATAAAAAAATTGAATTGACTAGTTAAAATTGAATAAAACAATCATTGAACAAAAACCTATAGCTTAGTTTTATATTTGTTGAATTATTTAATAACGAACTTAATTTTACTTCCATTCTTTTTAACAATATAAAGTAATAATCCATTGTAGCATATTATAAAAATACTTCAATATACAGGTCAGGTTAAAATAAACGGTTAAAATAAAGAGATAGAGAAATAGATAGAAAAAGAGTGTGTGAGAGAGAGAGAGAGCAGAGACGCGCCAATACTGAACGAATACGAGAGAGGGAGAGAGAGAGACCCACATCTACTAAACTAGTGCGAGAGAATGAGTGAGACGCGTTCACTGAAAAGAAGCGTGATGATGAGATGCAAGCGAAAAAGAAATTGTTGAAAGAAAATGTACATCTGAGAACATTTCCAATAAAGTCGAACACACACTCGCAAACTAGGCAATAAATTTTACAATAACACACAAGGGATATTCACCACAGACTATATGTACAGAATTAGGAGCATGAATAGACAGTCGTTTATTTCTGGTTTATTATTGACACTAGGGCTGGTTCAATGCATTTATATAAAATAGATGTACTATTGACTCACCTACATGCATTTGTGTGACAACTCTTCCTTACTTTATTGTGTGGGTAGTGCGCTTAACACATATATGGGGATGAGGCATATAAGTACACATGCATAGCTATAGACATCTTTATATATCCCCAGCTACGCATGTGAGATATTAAAATCGTAATACGAACATATATATAATATAAGGTTTCTTGGACTATTTTCTTGATAAATCGTTCGTTACGTTTAGTGAATTTGATTAACATTACAGGTAAAATTAACTATCTATTATTATAGATTAATAATATTATTGCGTAGATAAAGATAATTCACGGACACTTCTAGTATTTTTCAACATTAATTACATTTATTTCATTGATATATGATATTGATCAGTCTACGAGTATTTTCGATAATATTTCACGTAAATAAAATACGTACGAATATAAAAGAATAATCTTCTGTGTCTCTATTAAGTGACTTGAATAATACTAAGAACATTAGTAGTGAATGAAAAGGAATAAAACTCATTACCGAAACAAATTATGCAAATACCGACAAAAATCGTAGAAAATTATCTTATACTTCCCTTACAGAGTTGTAATACGCAGAGAAAGATATTGTCAAGAGAATATCGTATTAGTACATTCAATCATGTAAATTTGACCACTAAATAGCAGTATATTATCTTACTCGTTTCTTGCAAAGTTATACGTAATACGGAGACATAGTTGATGACATAAAATTGCAGAATTCCATGAACAATTCAACGTTACGTATACGACATTTATATTGATATATAGATTTTTTTTTCACGACTTGTCTGCCTATATCGATTTGTTTCTATCTAAACGAATAGTGTACGATGTTTTCACGAGGCAATATGTCCTCACTGATAGCATGTTTTTGTTCAGTCATAATATATCATCTTATATCAAGTGGAGACTTGTGATTTTCTTTAGGGTCTTCTAAATCAAATAGTCAGATAAGCTGCAAAGAAAAGATATAGGTTCGTGAATATTATGGATTATTATTTCACGTATAGCAAGATATTTTTAAGTACTCTCGGACAATGGCCTTACCAATCTCGGTTAATAGCAAAAATATGTCAATATTTTTGGACGATGCAACATATCAGCATTATGATACCTGAGGTATTTAGTATTTACTTTACGCCCTTGAAGCCAACATTTACTCTTTTTCTATAATTCTTTTATTTCCAATTCGTGATCACTTTTTTCTGAAAGATAACATCAATTAAAATATTACGACTAAGTTTGTAATATTTAGCAATTTCACATTTAAAAGTCACATTTATAATTAACTGTATTTATAGTGATATAAATCAATATACCAATCAAGATTTCAACTATAATATCGGATTATTTTTCGTTATTCGTATGTGTTGCATGGGAAATCGAACCAATTTGTGTATTTCATTAATGTCTGATATAAATACAATTACTTTCCCTCACCTTTTTTATAAATTATGTAATATATTGAAGGCCTACTAACCCTTCCGAGTCAGTTCAGGCTTAAAAAAATATTGGCGATAATTTTCTCATTATTACTTTTACAATGTTATTATAAATTTCATATTAAAATGAAAAAGTATAATATTATTTTTCAGGCTATAAAACTATATGAATATAGAAAGAATATTGATTTAGTGATAGAATGTTTGCCAAATCTCCTCTATAACGCAGGTATAGGTGTAAAATTTATTAATGGTGTAATCAATCAACATAAAGTACGTATATACATGTATACATGTATATGAATATTGGGAATTATTAATTCAAACAATTACGATATTGAAAGATTATAAACGAACTATTTTTTCGTACCTTAATATTATATCTTTCCGTGTAATAATTTGATTTACTCTTTTTTTTAATATCATCTTTGTCATAATTTAAATATTTTCATTAATTTTTTGGTGGATACAGATCAAGCTAGCTCTGGAGAAAGTCAAACAGGACTGGAACAAAGTGCAAAACAATCATGAGCAAATTAAAATTCTACAAGATTTTTCTGATTCTGGACGATTATTGATTATTTTTTATATCGGTAAAAAGCACTCTAAAAATGTAGCTCCTATTACTTATAATAAGTAATGTATTTTTTTTCAGGTTTTGTCTATTTCGTTTTATTATCATTCATGTTTATTCCACTATCACCGATAATTTTAGATTTCATAAACCCGTTGAATGAAACAAGACCGAAATCTCCCTTATACATAGCGGAATTTTTCGTGGATCAAGATAAATATTATTATAGTATTTTAATGCATGGTTATGTGACATCACTGTTTGGAATACTACCTCTTTTTGGAAATGACATTTTTTTATCTAATTGCGTTCATCACGCTTGTGGGATGTTCACCATTCTCGGGTAAGTATTCCATATACAAACCAGATAATTTGTTAGAAGGAATTATATACATTTGAAAAACGTTTTAATTTCTTGTTGTTTAGTAAATGCAATAAGAAATCTAAATTTTCAAAGGCACGAATCACAACCCATGATATAACCTACATGAAATTATGAAAAATATATGAAAATAACTATATTGATTAGTTGAGCCTCTATGATTTATTGTTTTCAGACATCGACTCAAGAAGCAATTATCAAAAGAAAATGTAGATGGCGATGAAATATATAAGCAAACTATCGATTGTGTAGTACAACATCAAAGGATAATTGAGTAATTGTTGTTAATTTTCGATTCATTTTTAATTTCACTAACATTTATTACAACTATAGTTTTCAAATTCAGTATAGGATAACAGTTACCAAGATTGTAACTAGTCTGTTTGCAGGTTTTGTGACGATGTAAATAAAATCTACAGCACCTCATTTTTCTTCGTTTTAACAATATGCATAATAATGATGAGTGTAACTGGAGTAGTGGTAAGAAACGTTCAATAGATTATTTAAAATTCTACGTGACAGTTTTCGGATAAGTCAATATCAAGCACGCATATTACTCCATAATCCGCATTTTTCCAATCTATGTGTGCGTGTGCGTAAGCGTGCGTGTGTGCGTGTGTGTATGTATGTCTGTGTATGAAGTTGAGTAGGAAATCAGCGTATGGTCAGACCCTATATAGAGTTAATGACATGATAAATATATTTGTTATGACGTCTAAGATTAATAAATCTAGAATTGGCGAAGGAAGATAAAAGACGTAGTAGAATTCTTATATATTCCAGTTCATAAGACACTCAAAGTGGCATAAGTACTTGTATATCGTAATTATCAGTGCATACAGCTTTTATTATTATAGTCAGAATAATATTCTGTTTGTTTCCAAATGATAAAAAAGAATAACGAATGAGTTATACCACAATGACTGCTCCCATAAGCTGAATTGCCAGAATCCTGTTACGTCTTTTCTTTCTTTCGCCGACTCTAGATTTATCAATCTTTTAGACATCATAGAAACATTTAACATAGATAGCATTGAAATCTTATTCATTTTACCGATTAACCTATAATGTAGACTACATTGTATTCGAAATCAATATTTTACAGATTGCAAAAGCTATTGATGAACAAATAGCTCATTGGAAATTTTGTTTGTCATAACTGTAAAATTACTTTTCGACACTCCGTGCGGAAAGCACGTATTTTCCGCACACTCGGTTAATAACGTGCGTTCAAAAATGAGCTTTCCACACGTATAGAAAAATGCTATATGATACATGTTCGGGAAAGAGATTCTCGACTCGTGTATCTTTCCACTCTAGCTTCGGTCGGGCTAAACGCCACACAAGACAAGAATCTATTTGTTGGCACTTTCATCGTAATGTACTTTATTTGATTTTGATCTGAGACCACTTAACTTATATATATGTTTAGCTTTGGAAATGGTAAAAATTAGATAACCTTGTATGAAAAAGTTCTTTATTCAAATGTGAAAATACTATTTTTCCCATGTTGTTCGCAATTTATATATTGACACTACCGTTTTTTCTAAGGACGAATCGTAATCTTGTGTAGTATCATAGATTCACACTCTTTCTTAAAGAAATAATGCTACTCTCTATGTTGACTTTAGACATTTCTGTTGCAAAATATTTAGAATAAATAGCGACAAAGTTAATAATAATATTTGAATTTTGTTTGAACAATTTAATTCATTAACTTAATTTTAATGTGGACAGGCCGTGATAAAGTTGGAAGAAAACTTTAAAGATTGCTTCAGATTTGCTATGTTTACTATAGCTCAAATATTCCATATGTTGTGTTATAATTTGCTGGGACAAAAGCTTTTAAATCAGGGTGAAAAGTTTTCAAACTACATGTAAGTTCAATATAGATACAAAAAACAATATAAAATGTTTGACTTTAAAAATACGATACTTTATTTGAGAGGTGATTAATTTTAGTTGGGAATCCAATTGGTACTTAGCATCAAGGAAAACAAAATTCATTATTCAATTCATCGTATTCAGGAGCTCAAAGCCAGCAAATTTACAGGCTAATATTTTTCCACTGTCTTTAGAAAACTTTACGTCTGTGAGTATTAATTAACTAAATTCGACTGACTGGAATGTAAATAATTATTTTTGTGGCTTCATCGAAATAATTGTAATAGCAATAATTAACATATATGTTTATTTTATTAAGGTAATGAAAACCTCCATGTCCTACTTCACCGTGTTCAAATCAACTAGGTGAAGCCGAAAAGTTCTCAAAACAATATCTATTCTGTAATTAAGAAATGATGCAGTGATATCAAACATAATATCATAATTAACAAATATCATTAAATATCTTATTCTGAAATTTAAAGCGGAATATGAAATATTTTATCTGAATGTATGAATAAATACCACAGTTAAAAATCACAATCTTCTTATTGAATAATAATGAACATTGTTTGATTGACATTTTGGTTGACATTTTGGTTTGGTAGTTTGCAGTTTGAAATAATAACATTTTAAAAGGAATTTCTTGAATAGCTTACTGATTATAGCAAATAGTAGCTCTTTTATTTACTCTGGTATTGTCAGGATAATGTTTAGCGTATCTGCTTGAATGTTTGCTCAGAATTTTTTCGAAATTATCGAATACAACTGATATGAGCCAGCCACGCCATTACAGGATTGTATTTACTTATGAGAGAAATCATCTATCATTGAAGTAGAAATGTAATGCATACATATACGTTGTACTTTTGTTGTTAATTTACAACAATACTTTGTGGTATGCATTATGTTAAGTGGAAAAATTATTTTATTACAATGTACATACTCTACACAATATTCTTGTATAGATTCTATCTTGTTTATAAGACAATTGTGGCACCTTCAATTCCAGGGTAGCAATGATCATGATTGTAAGAATTTCCAAAAGAACATGATAAGCAGTAGAATTGTTTTCATGTTAAGCGCTGAGAAAAGATAAGAACAGTGCTAAATTTATCATTGGAAGAATAGCAAATCGACCTCATTACATCCAAATTATTTAGTGCTCATTAAGTGATTATAACGAGCAGATATGTGTTGAGGTCTTATAGGAATTCGAATTTGTAATTCATTCACATGAGTTTAACGTGGTAATGTAAGCAGGTTGGCTTCATTGAGGTCTCAGTTTTCTGCTTTGTGTTATACTGAGTGTCTGTATATTATTCTGTTTTTCAACTACATAACCTTTTAGAGATAGTTTCCATAATAGAAGACCTTACAATAAACTCAAGTTCTTTCTCTTAAATAGTTCTCCTACATGCGCACAAACTACCTAAAAGAAAGTATGTCATAGTCATCGAAACTATCGATGGTCTATCAATTGACAATCACATTGACAGCTTAGAAAAATTAATCGAGGTCACCCCGATAAAATTCATGCCTAAAATATCTGATGATTATATACACATCTTTCTTGCCTCTAAAGCTTTGATGGGAAGTCTCGAAGACAAATATTTTGAAGTTCTCAATCACCATCTCAATATCATCTACTCATGAAATAAATTATATCGTTATTCCGAACGTCAATCCAGTCAAGCAAGTTCTTATTAATGTATTGCAAGGAAAAGACATTCAACTTGCAAATGCAAATGCATTTTATTCGAACAAGCACAAGTACAAGTAAACTCGGTATATCTCATATTTTGTTCATTTCATTGTCAAGATTACTCAAAAGAAAACGATGAATCTCTACTACCCGAGTCAATTCCAATTAATTTTTATAATATTAATTATATGATTTACTGACTCTACGAGCTACTTTGTTTGTAATCCAAACAGAAGAACTAGCGAAATAATGCTCGAAGAATTCTTCATCGACCATTACACCCAGCTAACCCAACTGTAGCTCTTGTGTTTGCATACAATAATACTAACAGCTAACTTGACTAACATTTCGGTCAAATTCAACATACCGAAAAGACTTTTTCTTTGCCCAACCAATCTACAAGTATCGTCTTTGACGATAAAAAATTGAATAGACTCACATAAAGAATCTTACTTATATTATAAATCAAACTTTTCAGCAAACAATTAAGCCGTGTGAAAAAAAAAATTCAAGAACGATAAATCTCTTAACTATTCCTAGCGAGATGGAATTCAAAGATTTTTACTTGACTCTTGAAGCTTTTGTAAAGAAGTAGCGAGAGACAAACCGAAAATGTTATAGCCGCGGTCGACTGCACGTATTATTTAAAGGGATGGATGGCTTTCATCTTGAAAAAATCCAGCTGGACGTCCAGACTAAATTTTTATATGGAAATCTAGATAAATATGGATTCCATGAGGAATTGAAATGAATTTCCATGATAGTTTTCCAGGTAGACTCCATGATTATTTCTAGGTGGATTATTGCTTCTTAAATCCGCGTGAATTTTCTGACTTCAGGTGGAAATCATCGTAATTCATGATGAATATTTATTAAACCCAGCTAGAATTTTGTAAAATTCAGGTGAATTTCCGTTCAATCGAGGTAGATTTCTTGTAAAATCTAGATGGATTTCCTGGTAAACTCAGATGAGCATCATCATAATTTTAGTTGGTTTCTCATGAAATCCAGATAAATTTTCTGGAAATTCAAAGTGACTTTAAATCTATTTTGAATCAATAGAAATAAATTTGTAATTACAAAAGAATATTATTTCAGAAATGTATAATATATGATAAATGAACATTCTTCAAAAATGTAAAAAGCATTTTCGTTGGAGTATTTGTATATTAATATTAGTACAATAGCTTTACCTATGATATAATATTTTTAAAAGACATGATAATCAATGAAATTCTATTTCCAATACATATTAGGCATAGATAAAATATAATTATCTGTAACTATATTTATGTAAACACGTGGCTTACTAATATTTTTAGATTCGGCGAACTTAATATCTACATTCATCCTTATAACATATTTTATGTAGTAGAACTCAGCACTTATTGCATAATTATCACTAATCACTAAGATATTCTTGTATGCATAGTGTACTCTTTTCCATTTTCCATATTTATAAGAAATTCTTAGATTTATATGTAATGGCCGTTTTTCAAAATTGCATATGAATTATCTGATCTGTACAATAACTTTTCACATGACTTGAATGTACATCCGTCCTTCACAGTACTTCTCATCTTCCAAAACACCTATATGCGAATTTAATTTTTTCAATAAAGCCATTTTCTATATATTTTGTACATTCTATAACGGTGAATCTTGATCTATTTCGACATGTTTTTTAACTTCATTGTACTATTTTCGAATGATAGATGACGACATACTTCGCTCAATCGCTGATTCAGATATATTGTAATTGCTGTGAGCATACAATGGACTCCATTACAACATAATTTTGTGCTGAGTGTAGTAATTGATGAATGTTTTACGTCATGGCATCAGCTGTATAAAGAAATTCCGTATTAACAACGAACTTTATTAAAAGTAAATCTGCTCTTTGTAATTTAATGACAGTTATTTTTATTTGCAATATTATAAAATAGGCTTATACTAGAAGAGCCTGATCATTTAAATAATTTTCAAACATGAGGATTTCCTGTGACATCAATTTTAATATTGGTATATTGTAAAATAGAATCCAATTTGATCGCTCTACTGCTTTCCAATAATGTCGACCACTGAACATGATAGTCGAGTTAATTATGTAAGCACTTTGAACTTTCTTAATAAGGCTGATTCTAGCAAACCAATTGTTGCAAAATTGTTTGTTTAAGCCTCCATTGCAGTTCATTAAATATGGAACAAAGCCATCTATTACGTTGAAACTATTTCAAATCAACAAAGGAGTAACATTTTTTTTTTACCAAAAATTGAACCTTTCAATTTAACTGATCTACCTATTAGTTCAAATGTTGCCTCTGCTATTCGTCTTTCAGAAAATTCATCTAGCATAGAATATTTTCCAGAGAACCAAGTATCATGATGAATGCACATACCTGGATGTGTTCAGAACGAAAAATGAGTTTGGGGGTTTAATTAGCTGTACAAAAGAATGCTTAATGCTTCACATCTGGAAGCGATAGTGATTTATGGTTAGGCTGTGCAGGTGCAGAGTCTTCTTTCAACGTGACGCCATCAAAAAAAAAAAAAAAAGAAAAGGTACGACTAAATGTTCGGTCAAAATACGGCTATGGACTGAAGAAATACCTCGACTAGTTTATTACCCGGTGCTGGAGTGTCAATTGCAAATCTTTATAACGTGCATGTGTTTCTGACGTGATGACGCTAGCTTTCTCGATAATAATGCCAAAAAAATCAAACTCACGGAAAATGAATCATATGCATCATTGTTCTAAGGAAAATGAGCGCATTGGAATATTAACTTTAAATCTAGCGTTTATCTTATTTATAAAATGCAATCGTCGTTTAGTTCATAAGACTGGAAATGTGGCGTACGAATGTTGTGTCAAGTGTATGAGAATAGAATCTGTTAAGTTTTTGAAGCAAAATTAAATTACAACCGAGAGAAAAGATGCAAATATCGCGTATGAGACTTGAGTTGTAAAAGGCAAACTAGGTTTGATACTACGTTTCATTGCCTCTGGCTCTTACTCTTTGGATATAGGCCAAATAATCGTGAAAAAGCACGGAGCAGAGAGTAAAAGAGCGTACGTCGGTAAATCGTTAGAGGACAGGAATCGAGAGAGAAGCGATGTCCACGGTGTCGAAGTGGAGAGAGAAAATCGGGAGGAAAAATAGCATAAAGCATCGGCGATTCGGTCACGCGCTGACACGCATCAGAAAACTCCTGGCCCTTGATTAAACAAGTATCAATTAATCACACGTATGATTACAATTTGGTTGCAATTCATTTTGTCAGTCAAATTTATCGTTACTTTTATTTCAAGTGCGTTAGAATAATAATTTCTTATGTGTTACTTAAATATATTCTGCAAAATTTTGTTATCGGGCCAATAATTTGTGAGAAGGTTATAGCGATGTTCGCTAGCCCTGTGTGCGGCACTCTCCTCGCGTGAGCGCAGCGACCAAGTATACGCTATATAGCGACTACATACTTGTGTCGTTGCAGGATCTGAAGAGAGGAGCGCGACGATCGGCGAGGTGTCGCCGTGAGTGCGAGTGAGAGCGAGAAGAGCGAGAGAGAGAGAGAGAGCGATTTTGACTGATTTTTGACGGCGAGAGAAGTGGGAGCGCGCGGCGGCGCGAGGCTTAGAAAATGAAGAGAGAGGAAGGGCAGTTAGACGCCAGCTCTCGAGTAATTAGGGCCGCCTAAGGAGAGACTGGTGGAGACAAGAATTCGGCAGGAGAGGAACTACTGCCAGGAGCGCGACTACCACTTGCCAGGAGAACC